GTAGGTAATTTTTTTTCACCTTTGACCTCCTTCATTTATTTTACTCACACTCATTCCCCCAGCTCTGGAAACCACCAATCTGTTCTCTGTTTCTATAAACTCAATTCGGGGGTTTTATTTTTAGATTTTATGTATAAGTGAGATCATATCATATTTTTCTTTCTATATTTAACTTATTTCACTTAGCTTAATGCCTTCAAGGTCCATCCATGTTGTTACAAATGGTAAAGTTTTATGATTTTTTATGGCCGAGTAATATTCCATTGTATATATGTACCACATTTTCTTTATCTGTTCATCCGTCAATGAACACTTAGCTTGTTTCCATATATCAGCTATTGTAAACAATGCTGCAGTAAGCACGTGGGTGCAGATATCTTTTCAAGTTAGTGTTCTGTTTACTTCAGATAAATACCCAGAAGTGGGGTTGCTGGATCATATGGTAGTTCTATTTTTAATTTTTTGAGGAACCTCCGTACTTTTTTCCACAGCACTTGTTATTTCTTGTCTTTTTGAGGACAGCCATTCTAAAAGGTGTGAGGTGATATCACATAATGCTTTTGATTTGATGATTGGTGATGTTTAGTGCCTTTCTATATACTGTTGGCCATCCATATGTCTTCTTTGGGAAAACGTCTCTTCATGTCCTCCGACCATTTTTTTAATCAGATTGTTTGTATTTTTGCTATTGAGTTGTATGAGTTCCTTATATTAACCCCTTATTAACCTCTTTGGATATTAACCCCTTATCATATATATGGTTTGCAAATATTTCATCCCATTCAATAGGTTACCTTTCCAGTTTGTGGATGGTTTCCTTTGCCGTGCAGAAGCTTTTTAGTTTGATGTTTTCCCACTCGTTTATTTTTGCTTTTGTTACCATGCAGATACTGTTATTACTCCATCTTATAAATGAGAAAATTGAAACATGGAGAGGCTAAATACTTTGCTCACATCACACAGAAAGTAAATCATGGTGTGAGATTTGCACCCAGACAGTCCGACTCCAGAACTGCCCTCTTAGTCACCACCCTTGACCACACTTTGTATTTCTGTAGCACTCTACAGTTTATTGATCATTTAACCTCATTTAAGGGAGACGGAGGTAGAGTAAGCTACCGCTTCAGAACTGATTGACTCTGGGGGAGGTGATGACAACTGTTACCAGGATTGCAGCAACGGAAAAGTCTTAATCACAAAAAATCTCTGCAGTCTTATGTCTCGCCAAGCATTTGGCAGTCGCATTCATTTTTGACTCATCTGAGTTGCCAGATGGCATTTGAGAAAGAAAAATATTTCTCAGTATCTGTATTAGTTTGCTAAGGCTGCCATAACAAATATCACTAACTTGGTGGCATAGAACAACAAAAATGTATTGTCTCATAGTTCTAGAAGCTAAAGGTCCAAGATCAAGGTGTCAGCAGGTTTGATTCTTTCTAAGGTCTATAAAGGCGAATCTATTCCATGCCTTTCTCCTAGCTCTGGGTGGTTTGCTGGCATCACTCTGATTTCTGTCTTCATGTTCACATGGAATTCTCCCTGTGTGTGTGTCTGTCTCCAAATCTCCCCTTTTTATAAAGACATCAGTCATACTGGATTAGGGACCTACTTTACTCCAGTATGACCTCCTCTTAACTGAGCTAATTATTTAATAACCATCCTATTTCCAAATAAGGTCGCATTCTGAGGTACTGGTTGTTCGTGTAGAGGCGGTGCCTTCCTCAAATTTGCCTGCTCAGAAGGGATGCCTGTCTGAAACTATACAGAGTGCTTTGTAGACTAGCACTGGCCCTATACATGGATCTCCACCAAGTGACTTACTTAAACTTTCCCTCTTACACGGACGGCCAATTTTTCCACTGTGATGAAACTGTTTAGAGTCTAAGTTCTCTGAGACTCTCCATATGGCCCTCTAGGGTGATCAAGTCAAAATAAAAGTACCAAGAGACCAGCAGATTTTAACATAGAATATGAATGACCAACAGCTCTGGAATCTGAAGTATTAACAAATAAAAGACATTAATGCTGTTCCCAAGAAGAGCCAAACAGTCATGGTTTCCATAGTTCATTTTTCAGTGCCACGTGAAGGCATGGCATGGAAGGCTGTTGTTTTTAATAATCAATCCCCTTTGACTCTGTTCTTGGAATTATAGAATGAGTGTGAGTGCAAGGAAGGATTTCGAGGCAATGGGATTGACTGTGAACCAATAACTTCATGCTTAGAACAAACTGAGAAATGTCATCCACTGGTGAGTTACCTGATTTCTTTTATCCTTACTAAAAAATAAAATGCTTGAGAAAGAAAGTTAGGTCATTTCTTATCTGAGCCTAATAATGAACAAAATCTCTCTTACTTTCAAAGGGAGTCCCTAAGTAGAATATGAGTAGTTATTGCAACTTTCAGTCCAATCCATAGCTTGGAAGAACCAACATATGATTGCCAGATAAAATACAGGACACCAGTTAAATTTGAATTTCAGATACAAAATGAATCCTTTTCTAGTACAAGTATGTCCCAAAGTATTATACGGGACATACTTATACTAAAATGTGTTTGTTTATCTGAAATTCAAATTAGCTGTGTTTCCTGTACCTTTACCTGCTAAGTCTGGCAGAGATGAAAAGATAGAATTTAATTGTGATTAAGTTATAGCTGCACCAAACATGCAGACAGGACCCTGACACTGTGACACTGAAGGGTGACTTTCACCATCTTTCAGCCCCAAATTTGCAGTTCTCACCTTAGATGGGGCCCGATGTCTCACCGATGTAACTCATATCTAACTCTTTAGTTAGGAAATCAGACCGTTTCTTTCACCTTCGTTTTATCAGGCAACTTGTCAGTTTACTTCTTCTGGCATCTGGAGCTGTGTCTGTCAAGAGGGCTATGAAGGAGACGGCTTTCTGTGCTATGGCAATGCAGCAGTGGTAAGTCATCCAAGATGAACTCCAGAATGAAACTCTTTTTTTTTTAATGTTCTTAGTCAGGATGCCTTTCAGGTGCTCCACAAACCATTTGTTTCAGGGGATTTTATAGGAAGCAAGCTGCTTCTCACAGATGGTATATGTGCCCCGTGGGTCACAAATTTTCTAAAGGCCAAAGGGAGCTAACTTTTATTTGGCACCTTCTGTGTATCAAGCAGTTCTAGCTTCCCTTTCTTGCCATTCTACCTGTTTTTATTCCCAAATCGGCAACTAACTGAGCTATCTGGGTGCTCCTGTCTGGACTGTGTGCCTCCTGTTGATGCTCCTCCAGAGCATCCTGTTCTTACACATGTTCGTGTGTGCATGTGTGCAATCGGCAACTAACTGAGCTATCTGGGTGCTCCTGTCCAGACTGTGTGCCTCCTGTTGGTACCCAGAGCATCCTGTTCTTACACGTGTGTGTGAGCATGTGTGCGTATGTGTGTGTGAATACCTCTGTGTACCTGGCATCTTACTAAGTCCTTAACATGCAGCAGCACCCCATTTAAACCCCATTTTATAGATGAGGAAACTGAAAGGCTAAGCCAACTTGCCTAAGACCGCCCAGCTCCAGAGAGAAATCCAGCCCGTGGTTGTCCAAGTGCAGAGCCCAAGCATTTAACCACCAGTGTAGAGCATTCTACCAGTGCAGGACACGTCACACCAAAGTGTCATTGCTCATACATTTATCTCCCACTCCACTGGACTGTAAACACTCTCAAAGGCAGAATTTGTCTTGTTTTCTACTTCACTCCCACTGTGTATAAAGATTTGTTGAAATGAGAAATTAAGTGAATTGGCAGATCTCCTCATCAGTTGCTTTTTGTTCAATTCGCTACAGTTGGTTCCTATCCCTCCTCTCAGCCAAAGTCAACAAACCCCAGGACCTGCACCCCACCCAGACTAAGAGCCTCTCTCAGGCTTGCATCCTTGGCCGCCTGGGCTGGCTACGGCATCTGATCCTTGGCCTACCTGCTTATTCAGTGTCTTTCCCACCCTTCACTGCACACCGTTCCTTCCCCTCAGCCAGACCACAGAGCATAGACCCAACATTTTCTCTCCATGGGCCACATTTTCTAAAACCTTAAAACCCTAAAATTCTAAATCCCTGCTTTTACAATGTCTCTCTCCTCCTACAGAAAACAAGATGAAGTCCAAATCCTTGGCCTGGTACTGCAGGCATCTTCACACAGGCTCGACTCGCTTTTCTTGCAAGTTGCATAGCTTAGCTTTAGCTTAGCTGTGGCTTTCCCATCTCCATGCCATCTCTGTTCCCCTCTCCCAGGGACTCAGCCTCTGGTCTTTCTGCCATCAGTTCAGACCCAACTCATGCCCTCCCCTCCCTTAAAACAGCCCCTTTAAGGAAAGACATGAGCATCTCAGCTCTTGTACTTATGTCTTTACTAACTAATTTACTTTTGAACAGATATTTACTAACTTACTTAATAACCTCAACTACTTTCAAAAAGGAATCGAGACATCTCTGAGATTTATTGTCTTTATGTAAATTTGCACATAATTGTTATCGCCATTTTCATAGTGTTTGATAGTTTAAAAATGCTTTCACATACATTAATGCATATAATATTTATAATCCCAGGAGCGAGGCATCATCTCATTCAAAATGCTTTCACATACATTAATGCATATAATATTTATAATCTGAGAAGCAAGGCCTCATCTCATTCACTGCTCATATTAGACACTTGATTCTCAGAGGGGTTAAGTGACTTGCCCAAGATCACACAGCTAGTAAATGGCAGACTCAGGAAAAGTACCCAGTCTTTTTTAACTCAGAGTCCAGAGCTTTTTTTACCCAATCACATCTTCAAACGTCACTGGTATACTGACACTATTGTTTATCTTTTCGAGTCTTAACTTCCTCAAAACAACTGTAAGTTGTAAAAGAGCAAAAGGCCATGTTTCTCCTTTCATATCTTGTATCCTCCCTGCACTCCATCCTGGTGCCAGTTGTGGTGGTTCAATATATTATGTTCATTAATAAATGTCATCGTGGATGAATTAAAAATAAGAGCACCTAAAACTTACCGAGCGTGTCCTGCATGCCAGCCTTTATTCTAAGCACTTTAAAAACATTAACTCCTCCAATTTGCACGCCAGCCCTATGAGTTGGAGCTTTTATCATCCCCATTTTCCAGGGGAGAAAATGAGGCTTAGAGAGATGAAGTCACTTGCCAGAGGAACTAGGAAATGGCCAAACCAGAATGTAAACCCATGTGGTTTGGCTCCATGTTCCAAGCCACAACTCAATACTGGCTCTAAAAGGGGGCTATTTACTCTGTGACCTCTGTGACCCTCCTTTGGGCTAGATGGCCATGTTCTTACAAACCTAAACTCTTATTTGGAAGAACTTCAGGTTGTTGTTCCATTTGTAGTTTCTAGAATCACCTTTTTAACTCAAATATAGAGAGGATAATCAGGCCACTAAGCATGAAAGAATTGAATAGCTCTGGCAATGAGGCCGGTGAAGGCTCCATTCATATCCGCATCGAGGAGGCTGGCAAAGAAAAGGGGCCCAGCCCCGGAAGGCTAAGTCAGGCTACCCAGAAACGCACTGCAATTATGCTTCTCATTGTTCCTTCTCTTGTTTTCTCTCTCATCTCTTCCTCCCTCCCTTGCACGATATGAATAAGGAATTGTCATTTCTCTCCGCGGCAGCTCTATTTAACCAGTGGATAAATGTGAGTACCTTTGTTGGAATTTAGGATTGGAAATGTATATAATTTTAGAAATTTGGAACGCTTATAATAGAGAACTGAAAATGCAGCTGGTAAGCAGGGAGGGCAGTTGTCTAGAGCAGCGGTTCTCAACACTGACTAAACTTGAGAATCATCTAGAGCAGGGGTCCCCAACCCCTGAGCCCACGGACAGATACCTGTCCATGGCCTTTTAGGAACTGGGCCGCACAGAAAGAGGTGAGCGGCGGGCGAGCCACCAAAGCTTCATCTGTGTTTGCAGCCGCTCCCCAGCACTAGCATCACCGCCTCAGCCCCACCTCAGATCATCAGGCATTAGGTTCTTATAGGAGCACGGGTCCCTGATGCCAAAGAGGTTGGAGACCACTGACCTAGAGCACGCTTTTTAAATAGCCATGCCTAGGTTCTCACCCCAGACACTATGATTTGATTGGTCGGAGGTTTTCCCTGGACATCACTGTATTTTAAAAAGCTTTCCAGGTTCTTAACATGCAACCAGGGCTAAGAACTTTGGGTCTAGGATAAGCTGGGTAGTCAACTTTTCAATGAATTCCAATATATATGTATAGTTTCACTGAGGTCTTTTTTTTAAAGTGAACATAATTCGTCATTGTAATTCACCAAGTTAGAGTTGGGAATTATAGTTGCAATCTGGGAAACTTCCATGTGTGCTTAGCTCTGGGCCCAACATGCCCCAAGGAGCTTTTTCTTCTTCCCTGGAAAGTTCTGTAACAAAGAATCCAGTCCCCACCCTTCCTAGTTGTCTGAATCTCTGTCATCTTTGCCTAAGTAGACCAAGGTGGCTGCCCCAACCAGCTATTACACAAATGGTTTATTTCTTTTAAATAGACATGAGCCAAGTAGGTAGTGCCTGGCCAGTACCCACACTGGGACAGCTTCCTATTGCTTCTGTGTGGGGCCTGTCTGACCCCATCACATGGAAGAGCAGGGACCGAGGGTTCCACTGTGCATGTTGATTTCCATATAGACCAACCCCACATGCATAAGCTTGCCCGGTGATGTACTGGACCCAGCTCATCCGAGCTCGGGAGAGCACACCTTTCCCGACTCTGCTTCCAATGCTGTCATGTTGGTAGCTCGAACTTGGCCATGTGGGAATGTTTACCCTACAGCAATCAGCGAACCGTATAAACCGGGGCTTTTTGTGTGTTTATCCTGGAGAATCAGTTGCTAAACATAAGCACACCCCTGCTTTTACCCACAACTAGCTCCAGGTGAGAATGAAGAGGAATCAAGTCTGATTCCTCCAGTCTCTCTACCAAACAGAAAGTGTTCCAGTAATTTTCCCATCATCCTTATCCCAAAGGTTCCCAGGAGTCTCAAGGTTCTCTGCATATGCGCGCGCACACGCGATCCTATCAACACTATGCTCCGAATCTTTGCTTTGACTAAAGGGTAAATGACTGATAATGACCCCAAGTGTGACTTGATCAGGAGACTTTGCCTTTTGACAACGCTCACACGATTGAATAAAAGAAAGGAATCTGAGAAGGAAAGATGAAGCATCAGCCAGGAAGTGGGGTGGGTTTGGGAAAGGGATTTCCAGAACCTCCCCGGTGTCCCTGAAATTACATCAAAGGTAAATTGTCGTCTCTGCCAAGCATTACGTCAGCCCTGTCTGTCCCCTAACATGAGTCGGACCTCATTTCCTTTTCCTTTTGCAAGCCAGAACGCTTCTCTGCAACCCATACTGTCCGCCGCCTCAAACCTCACTGTCCTGGTGCCTTCTCAACAAGCTATTGAGGACATGGACCAAGATGAGAAAGCCTTTTGGTTGTCCAAGAGCAATATTCCCACCCTAATAAAGTAGGTATTATGCCTTTTTTCCTTCGTGATCTCTTACTGGTGTCAGAGTGAACGAAGCGCAATGGAGGAAAGCCACGTGGTCCTTCAGATCTGTGGACCAGGAACATCTTCTGAGACTGCCCTCACCTCCCCCGGGACGGCAATCGTCAACATTATTGACAGCCGGCTCTGTGCTAACCGCTTTACATAGAGCTCAGTTAATCCTTGCAAAGACTCTATGAGATAGGCATTTTATTTATTCCCATTTTATGGATGTGGAAACTGAAGCACAGGGTAAATTAAGTAACTAGCCCAGGGTACCATGGCTGATAATTGCAGGGGAGATTTTAAATCTGTCAGTCTGGCTCTGGAACCTGAATTTTTTTTTTAACTACTCAACGATACCGCCTCATGCATCAATATTTTATTGTGGTCCTTGTGAACTGTTGTTTTAGATATCACACGCTACGAGGCACCTACGGAGTGGCAGACCTACAGACTCTGTCATCTTCTGATGTGCTGGCAACATCTTTGCAGGGCAACTTTCTTCGCCTGGCAAAAAAAGATGGGGTGAGAGTGCACTGTAATCTGTTTGTTTAGTGGGAACATGTCACTAACATTCATATTGTACTTTTAAAGTTTTGTGTTATGGAAACTTCCAAACACAAGCAAAAATAAACCAAGAATATAACCTCTAACCTCCCTGCAGGCATCACCCAGCTTTAACAATCATCAACATATATTGATATGCGCGCACGCGTGCACACACACACACACACACACACACACACAGTTACTCTGTAGCAGTGATCCTATAAGATCTGGTCCTCTGCCCACTGGTTAGCCACAAGGCTCTTCCTGACAGACCACAGACTGATCCAGAAGGTCAGATATTTCAATTCTTCTGGGCAAAGGTTTGTGCAATTCCACAACTTTGATTTTTAAGTACGCTTAGCTAAGAGCTTGTTGCTATAACCTACTAATTGAGTCATTATAGGCTACTAAACTGTTGTATTAAGTTAGAGTCAGTAGTCAACAAACATTTATTGAGCACCTACTATGCTCCAGAAACTGATCGAAGCACTAGAGTTAGGGCAGTGCGCAAAGAGCCGAGACCTGTAGAAGCTCACCTTCTGGCACTTACTACAGTATGTCAAAGACTAGTTATCCAGTCCTCTCCGAGGAAGTCTGGCTGCCCAGAGGCAGTGCGCAAAGAGCCGAGACCTGTAGAAGCTCACTTTCTGGCACTTACTATAGTATGTCAAGGACTACTGTAGTTATCCATTCCTCTCCGAGGAAGTCTGGCTGCCCTGCGGCATGTGGCAGTGTCTTAAAACTCTTTCTGTGAATTGTACAAGATGAGAATGAAGACTCTACTGGAAAGTGAGAACTGCTACATCGGTGAACCATGGGCTGCAGTCAAAAATGTTTGAGAATTACTGCTCGAAAACATGTCTGCCTTCGTACTCATCAATGTAAATGCTATGAAAAGGCTCTGTGCCTAGTATTGCCTAAATGTGTGTGCCGCACCCGATAATTCCTTTTAGAAAACAGAAAAGAGCTACAAATGGTCCCACGGATTCTCTACATAGTCTTATAATTCTAGTGCGTCACATACCTATATCAGACAATAGGGTTATTTTTTATCATTGCTTTAAATCGCTGATTCTCTTAACAAGCATTAACTGAACGCCCACCCTGGCAGGCTTTTCCTAAGCTCTATAGAGTCAAAGATCAATCAATCAGTCAAGACCACTGATCTGGGAGAGCTAACCATCAAAGACACATTTTTAATGAGTTCATTCCTATGTCTGATATAAATGTCTCCCTTTAACCTAAAAAGATATGCAGGGTAGCCAGGAATGTTTTTTCAGGACCTCTGCTAATGTGACTTGGGAGCTGCTCAGGGTGAGACAAGTCCCCTCTGCACCCAAGGTGCCCAGGAAGAATTTCAAATAAAGGGTAGCGGTGGGGAGATGAGGGGAGGAAGCCAGAGAAACCAGAGAGGGAGAAGCCCAGCTATGTCATGGTTGGTCGGTGGCTACGCAGGTGGGTAGGTTGGGTTTTTACTTAGGTCCATTCCCCGTATAATTAATACTCTTGAAAAGTAGTTGGTTTCTGATCAGGAAAGTCAGTTACTATCTGTATTAGTTTGCTAGAGCTGTTATAACAAAGTAACACACACTGTGTGGCTCACACAACAGAAATTTTCGTCTCACCGTTCTGGAAGCTGAAAGTCCAGTATCAGGGGTGAGGGATGGAAGTGGCTCCTTCTAAAGGCTGTGGAAGGAGCTGTTCCAGACTGTCTGGTAGATGACCGTCCTCACGTTCACACGCTGTTCTCCCGTGTAGCTGTCTGAGTCCAAATTTCCTCTTCTTATCAGACACCAGACATACTATATTAAGGCCCACCCAAGGACCTCGTTTTCACTTGATTGCCTCTGGAAAGATCTATTTTCGAATAAGGTTACATTCCGAGGTTCTGGGGGTTAGGACTTCAACATACAAATTTTGGACAGGGAGGGAAGACAGTCCAATCCACAATGCTGTCTAGTGTTTTTCAAATAGCAGGGTCACTGTAGTGACCTCAGCCAGCACTTTTTTAACGAAATAGAAAGGAGTGGGATAGAATTGATGATCAGCTGCCTTCCACATAGTAGAAGAAAGTACTATTCATTTTGAATGTGTGTGTGTGTGCGTGTGTGTGTACATGTGTGTGTGTGTGTGCGTGTGATGTCTACAGTTTAAAGATATTTCTCATTGTGGGTCATGGTCCAAAAGTGTGAAGGTCACTGCTGCCCAGAAAGTGGAAAACTCAGAAATCATGTCAGTCCCCATGTGTACGCTATGGGACTCACCTTACCACTGCGGTTTGCATTTACAGAACATCACAATCGAAGGAGCATCCATCGTTGATGGTGACAACGCGGCCACAAATGGAGTGATACACATCATCAACAAGGTACAAAATTTCCTCCTCCCATACATGTAGCTTCTCCCTTTATGTATCTTCCCGTACAGTATCTTTTGGGAGGGAGGGGGAATACTTAGCCTTAATATAAAAGTAACCTGTATTGTGCTTCGTTACTCTTATTTTAAAACTGTTTATAGGCTCTATTCATTCCAGCAGACTTACTTACTATCTAGTCAGCCCATAGTCTTCAATGGGCCCTATCTAAGGTGTGGCCACCTATATCATATTTCTTATATATGGGAACATCTTACAAGGTTCACAAGAACCTTAGTATTGGGAAGTCCATATATCCAGATGGGATCTAATCGAGAACTGGAGGAGAGGCAAGTGCTTATGTATCACTTTTCCACTCCTCTCTCTGTACGTTGCAAGCTAAAATAATGAAATGGGGAAGGTCATAGAAAAAAAATGGAAAAGGGTAGAAAAAGTATTGTGAAATGTTCATTTTCTTCTAAGATGCAGTTCAACAGTATTCAAAGGCATGGAATAGAAAATAAAAGAATAATGGGAAATGGGGTCTTAAGTGATCCTATAATTTTCAGTTGCTATATTAGGATCTTCACTTAAAATTAAAATTAGAATTTAAGGTATATTGGGAGCTTTTGAAAGGTAGACGATAGAAGAGACAATTAACTAATTGGATTTTAAATAAAATTGTTCTCATTTAGCACTTACTCAGAAAATATCAGAAAAGATCAACTATCTCCACTTGGAAAAGAGAGGGTATTTGTAAGGCTCCTGGGTGCATTATTTTGCAAACACGTTGCAATTCTCTTGTATTATTACCAAGCGACATTAAGAAAGAGCAACATTTTTTGAGCAAGTGATTCATCACTTACAGGTAGCTATGCTGGGTTTATGGCTTCATTCAATGCAAAGTAACATTACTTTTCAGGGGCAGTTTTCTTTTCTAATCCTGGCTTTCCAAAGCACTAAGAAACTTTAAAACACACACACACACACAAAATTCCTCTCCTTCTCATTTACACTTTTTATGGACACAGCTTTATTAGTAGAATAGCGCCACAACCCAGCTTCTATACTGAGCATTATTATCACGGGAGCTAGTTCAAGTTCCACCTCCTCTTTGAAGCCTTCCCTGATCCCGGCAATCCATATCACCAAGGCTGACATAGTGTCAAGTTCTAGAGTCATACAGAATCTGGGTTCAGACACTTCGCTAGCTGTGTGACCTTAGGCAAATTACCTAACTTCTCTGAGCCTCAAATTTCTTCCCCTGTGAAGCTTAAACAACACCCTCCCTCCATGTGTGCTTCCTAGTGGGCCTTCAGTAAATATCAGTTTTATTCTCTTTTTCCTCTGAAATTCTATGGGATTTCTTTGCATAGAACTCACTTAGCATAACTGTGTCCTCTTGTCGGTATTGGTTTCTTATGGACTAGGTCCTGAACCCCAGTATAATGGCATGTCCTGGAGCAGTGGAGCTGCATCTTTTCCATGTCCCTCATCAACACTAGCCCTCATCTCGTGTACAGTCATAATAGGAATGATTGATAGCCCGCTAGGAACTAAGCATTGTACCAAGTATCATACGTCCCATTATTTCATTTGATTTTGACAATGACCTTGAGAAAGTAGGTGCTATTGTCCTCACCTCCCAAATGAGACAGCTGAGGGTCCTCATGTTTAAGTAACTGTATTGAGGAAAAAGTTACGTGAACACAAAAGTTTCATGGATGCGTGTCTACCTATTCAAGTTTTTTGCTTAGCCTCTGGGTTGCACTGGCTCCCTAAAGAGCTCCTTCTATACCTGTCCATTGGACACTGTGGTCACCTTCATCAGGGCCACCATCAACAGTGTGCAGGTTGTGCCCTGCATAAAGGTTCCTGGCCTAAAGATGAAATGGCGCTGAAATTCAGCCCACTTCACTCCCCAAGCTATGCACCCTGTTGGTATTGCAAACTATCAGAGGAAAGATTACCTTTTTTTAAAATTGCAGAGGCACTCTAGGGACTATTGGTGGCCCTCATAATTGCATATTGTTATGTGCCATGAACCCACCTATCCAAGAGCAGCAAGTCCTACCAGCATATGCTAACAGAAATCTGGGGCTTTCTTTCCCAGGTTCTGGTTCCCCAAAGAGGTCTAACTGGCTCCTTACCAAACCTGCTCACCCGGCTGGACCAGATGCCCGACTACTCCATCTTCCGGGGCTACATCATTGCAAGTACCACGTTCTCAGCATGACTCATTTGCTCAGGTTACCTGGGAACAGAAGCCCTTCACACGCTTTTGTTCCTTTTCCTTACAGCAATTTAACCTGGCGAATGCAATCGAAGCTGCTGATGCTTACACAGTGTTTGCTCCAAACAATGACGCCATTGAGAATTACATCCGGGAAAAGAAGGTCACAACTCTAGTAGGTATCAGGAACAATAACCAGGGAAATCGTTTTCTGGAAATTCAAACGCTCAACATATTTCAATGTAACGATCATGTATGATTTCACTCTTCTATCAAAACTTCCTTTCCAGGTACTTAACATACACTCATGCAGAGGCTCTCTCATACACAGACCTCCCCCATGCCAGAGCTGCCCACATTACTGTATTTAGTTTGTATTCCTGGAAGCTCACACTTAGGCCCATATGCACAAGGATTTAGGTGTCCCAGGAGCCTGCATGTGTGTCCACAGGACACAAGTGTTCCCTTGTCCCGAGCCAGGGCTGGGAGTGCAGGCCTGTCTCAGTGAAGCAACAACCCTCTGCACTCCATGATGGATCTGCCTGCCAGCAGTCCCTGGCATGAGGTTGCTCAGGCCTGAGTGAGTCCCCAGTCCCCCAGACCACACTCTCTGCAGGGAACACGGATCAAGCTCTTCACAATGTCTCATCAGATCTCTTCTCATGACCCCTGAGGGGAAAAGCAGGCTGGGGCATGGAGACTCTCTTCATAGCAGTTTTTTCCAAAGAAATCTTTAAAATCTCCCCCAACATTTTATGCCCTCACTCTGGGTTTTAGGGTCATATAATGAATTCTCAACCATCCTACATGGAAAATTTGCAAGTTCTCCCAGGTGATCTGTCTCAGATTTAGTATTTCATATCTATTGTGCCCTGATACCTCAGTCAAAACTTCAGTTCAACCAGCTCCTGTAATTCCCACGGTGCCCGGCACATTGGAGCAGCCTGATAAGTGACTAGGGACTGGCCCGCCTATGGGTTGACTTTCAATTCTGTGTGTTGTCCAGGAGGAGGACATACTCAGGTATCACGTGGTCTTGGAGGAGAAACTACTGAAGAATGACCTGCATAACGGCATGCACCGAGAGACCATGCTGGGTGTCTCCTACCTCCTCAGCTTCTTTCTCCATGGTGACCAGGTGCAACCCTTTCACTTAAAACCCAGGAATGAGTGTCTGAATCCCTATCATCATCACTTCCATATCGGAATGATCTCTTCTTTGGAATAATCTGTTTCCTAAGCCTTATCAGCAAAAGATAGTTGTGTGTGTTTCACCATAAAGTAATGACAAAACCAGTCTGTCAGGCTGCCACTCACGCTCCCTGTCGCCAGCCTTCGGATAACTAGTGTGGCTCTACCAGTCACGGTGTTTGAATCCCAGCAGTCACAGGGACCCCTCAGTACTGATTCCTACAAACCCAGCAGACAGTCCCCAAGCAGTCTCCAAGATGGAAGGGAACCTGACAGCAAAACCTCACTCCCAGGAAGTGGCACTGGCTCCAAGCCGTAAGGATCCTGTGATATAAGTAGGATCTAGCAGCCAAATGGATTAACATTATTATCATTGCAGTCCTAGGACCCACTGACCCCACACCAATATTCCAGTATTTATCTCATACGACCCCTAAATATGTAAAAGTGTTTAAAATTTATTTTAAAAAAAAAGAATTAGAGACTAAATATTTATTTCAAATATAAAATTTTGTTCACATATTTCAAACATCAAGTAAGATCAACTTAGGAGAATTTAACAAGAAACAATTATACTCTACTATAGATTGTCATAAAAAATAGCAAATTATTAACAAACTAAGTACTATATTAAAGTGAAAAAATTTCATCAGAAATTTTAATCAATAGTTATTTGATCCTTTTTAAAAAGTACAATCTTAGAAATAATTTTCTCAGTGGTATCATTGAATCATAAGTGAATATTGTGTACATTTTTTTTAACCTGCTTGGGCAAAAGGAAAAGTCTTTCTGATTCTTTAGTATTTAGGGAATAATCAAATTCCAAATATTTAACTGACTCCTACAAATATCTCACCTATTGTATGATAACTGAAGGAGACCTTTTAAATACATTTTCCTACTTTTTCAGGAAAAGCGATTTTTTATTGATAAAGAACTTAGATTTTTATTTTTAATTTATGTCATCTTTTATTTCATCATGTGGAAATAAATATTCCAGTGCAGTTATTTGAATCAATTTCAATTCTGTCATGTTTATTTTCCATTTGTTCAGAAATTCTTTGATCTAGAACAATTTAAAACAGAGGCTTTATCTCACAATAAACAAATAGTTCTATCTTACAGTAGAGGCTTTGCTTTTATCAATAATTTATTTACTTTCTCTTAGGACAATGGAGATGTACAAAAAAATGCTCTCTACATGAGCAGACCTGCGTTCAAATCAAAATTTTAATGCAGCACATAATTCTGTGCATGTGGTCTCACAATGAAAACATTTCACTTATTTAATGCCATATCAATAGTATTACAGCATCAGAAGTTCTGCCATTTTGATACTTTGGAATTTAGAAATTTGCGTTGCAATCACCATTTGACACCTTCAGTGAAGTTCCCTTGTGATTGTCCATATCTGCACAGACCCTGGAATACCTCTGTGGAGTTCAGCCATGAGTTATCCCAACGTCCAGTAAAAATTCACTGGACTCCAAGTCAATCGTAAGGGACTCTAACATTCAGTGGAAGCTCAAATTTTAGCACTTAGTAGAGTCATTTTAATATTGACGTTATGAGGAGCTTGGGAGGTGTCATTAATCACTTTTAAACATTTATTGGATACAAACTTGACATTTACTTAGTACAATAAAGAATTCCCCCTTCTCCTAACCTCAGCCCTACCACACCTACACACACACAGAGACACACATGCCACCCCAAGTTTTTAAAGAAGTATTTGTTTCCAATTATAGCACTTTTTTTAATGAATAAATTAATGGATTCACTTATTTTGCCTTAATCATTAAGATATCCTCTCCATAAAAAAAATAAAAACAAAACAAATTTCAACTTAAAGTTGAATTTGAGTTGGCAGCATATAGATGCTGACTAAGTCCCCGTGTCTCTGGCGCTTATGAACACACAGGCACAGATGGATACACACATATACCATGAGCTCCAAAGAAGCCCCAAGGAAAACATGGGGTGATGCTGACCTCTGAGCAGGCTCCACACTCTGGGAAATGATGCTATCTGGTGGCATGCTTTTTACAAATTCTAAAACTCTCCAAAAAATGCTAGTTAATTTTGTTCTTGTATCACTGTCACTTAGCATTTCTGAGGGGTGCTTGTAAATTGACCATGAAGTAGAGACATGCTGAAAAGGCGGTGAGTTCCATTCTTCATAACTCAGTTTTTGGAAGCATTCGCACCTGTCTACAGCACAGTTGAGCACATCCGTGGAGCCATTTTGCCAGTGGGCACCAACATAAGTGATCATGATTCAGAATTTTTCAATCAGAAACCAGTTAATTTGAGGGATAGAGAGAAACCGTAGAAATTATCTAGAACAAAGGAGGACATTGAGATTCAGAGAAGGAAATCAACTGGCCAAAGGTCACACAGCTAGATGGTGCCAGATGCAAAACTGTTACTCACACTCCCCTCTCGGAGGCCAGAGCTCTTTCCACCGCAATGTGCTACCTTCCACGTGAATATCTCCCAGGCTGTGGGCATTGATATCTTCCAATCCCCATCTTCCCTCTTGCTCTTCAAATCACTACGATAAAAACTTATACTTCACCCTCTCGTTCACAGCTCTATGTAAATGAAGCTCCGATAAACTACACCAATGTAGCCACTGACAAGGGAGTGATCCATGGCTTGGGGAAGGTTCTGGAAATTCAGAAGAATAGATGCGATAATAGCAACACTACTATTGTACGAGTAAGTTATATCCACGGCCGGCGATGCAACTAAAGAGTGCTGGCTTATTTTCTATAATTTTTTAAGCATAAGACTCATCTATTAAGACATCTCAATCCAATTCAAAAAACACTGAGTGAGCATCCCTGTTGTGCAAAGGAGCATACCCAGGTATGGCTCCACAAAGGTAAATAAGACATGACTTCTGCCCTCAATGGGTTCACAATCTAATACAATAAGTGTACCTTCAGTGCCTGGGAAAGGCTGCCTGGAGGGTTGTGTTGAGCAAGATTCTGAAGCCATGGCCTTCACCTGTGGCAGGTATTGGCCAAGCCTGGTCCACTAGAAGAGAAAACATGGATATGGATTATTTCAGTAATGGAGTCTTATCACTCCAACCCACTGGATGATGTAGGATCTTTCTGTTATACTAAAATCTGCTGACATTTATGGATACTTACTATGTGCCAGGCACTGCTTTAAACATTTTATATATATTAACCCATGTAATCCTCACAGCACCCTACAAATTAGGTGCTATTATTATCTCCATACTGATTTTACTGATGGAGGAAATGGGCCACAGAGAGGCTAAGGTTCACAGAGCTAACAAGTGGTAGAGAAGAATTCAAATCCAGTGTGGCCCCAGAGCCAGAACTCTGAACAATTATACTGTACACCCCAGTAGGTGCTAAGTTAAGAACTAGACACATTGGCCTCCTCCTGTTTTAGGAACAGGCCATACTAAAGAGTTTCTGTCCTTAGTTTATATTCTTTGTTTTGTAATAGTATATATTGCCTCCACCCTGGCCCCTCAGCTGGACCATGTGATCCCAAAACTGGCCACTGAATCTGGCCCAATTCACTAAATAATGAGTTTGCAATAAATGGGGGTTGTTATTGAAGGAATTGGGATTTAAGTGAGATAAGACCTCCACACGTTAAAGGATTATCAGCTTCAGAAGAATATGGTGGGAGAAAGTGATGCTCAAACATCCAAAACCTGAAGTAGCTGAAGTGGTTGACCAGATGATCTTCTCTAATATCTTTCTCATTTCCAATTCCAAATCCTAAAGACTGTCAGCTCCAAGGCCTGGGAAATATTTGCAGCATCATTTTGCACCCAAAGTATAACCACAAAATGTTCTCTTTGCCTCTGTCTTTCCAGGGCAAGTGTGGGAAGTGTCCCCAGCAGCCGATCTGCCCATTTGGAAGTAAACCTCTAGTAAGTATTTCTTCTGCTTTAACGTTATAGTTTCCAGATCTAGGTCCAAATTAGGAAGTGAATCTCAAGGGCACCTCATTTTCACTACCCTCATTCCTTCACCTGGTTTTAATTTCATTTCACCTTCTTATGTTGTGTGCATCTTTTCAAAGTCTTGAATTTATTTCTTTTGGACCAAAGCAAAACTTGAATTATTAAATAAATCAACACGGGGGCTCATCTCAACCAATGCACACTGCGAGAAGAGATTTTTCACTTTCCATATATTCTGGTAGTCATTTGAGGACAGAAGCAAGACATCTCATCAGAGAAGACATCATCCATATCCCGAACCATATATCCAGCCCAGATGAGTTAAACCTGCCTGATTTCCTTTTCCATTCGAAGTTACAACTAACTTTCTCTAAGAAACAGAGGGCAGACTTGGGGGAGGTGGATGTCTTTGAATTAATTACCAATCTGTGTTTCTCATAGCTATTTACTGTAAAAGCTACTCTTAATAATACTTCAACCATTACAAAGAATAAATACTCATGTACCTTTCAGAGCACGATAATAGTAATTTATAACGGTGACAACGCTGATTCTCTCACTTGAGTTTTAATTTAATCTTGTAGATTATAGGTCTTTGTAAGCAACCTTAAACCTTTCACAGACCGAAGCAGAGTAGAAATCAATACACAGAGAGAACTCAAGGCTCGGGTCAACCAGTGCATAGTCCCGGAAGAATGTTTTTGTCTGGTCTACTCTCTGATTCTTCCTAACTTGAGTTAGTTATCTAGAGAAAAGTTCTTTTTACGGAATACTGCCCTATGGTATAATTATTTGGATTTTTCTGCTTGGTGTTCTGGCAGCCAACACTGTGTTTGTGCGTCTTCTTATAAACCACGCCCCTCCCTTTCCAGAACATTTCGGTCAGAGAGACAGCCGTGCATCACCCACCTACTTGCTTTTAGAGATTGGAAAACGTTTTCTCCACCACAAAGCTGACAGAATCGTTACTGTTTCATAGGGCGAAGAGACGATGAAATGTATCTATACCATTTATTTCATGGGCAAGCGGTCCGTGTTCATAGGGTGCCGGGTGAAATGCGTGAAAACTGTCATCGTGAGTATAATGATTTAGTCATCCTTCTAATTATTGCAGTGATACTGGGACGTGTAATCATATGTTATATTTTTCAAAGGGCCTTTACATGTACTCCTTCTGCCATCTCCTCTTCCTCCTCACTATCTTCATTATCACTGTCATTCAAAGGAGTAGCGATAGCAATAAAACTCAGGACAGTCCTGTAAGTCAGCGCATAGAAACACTGCAACATTCAATTGTGAGATGAAGAAGGTGAGGGACTGAGAAGCTGAGAGGACCTCCCTACGCTCGCGCCGGGGTGAAATGCCCTGCAAGCATGCTCGTGAGCAACAGAGGCAGAAGACATGGCCAACTCCCCAAGGAAAGAGACAGCGCACCTGGGCATTTAGAAAACAGGAGCCCAGAGCTAAGGATCTCTGGGCTGCTGCTCTGGAATCTGCAGGGAAATTCTTTCTAACTTCCTGTCTTGCTTTCCCAGAAGACCAGACACCACCTCAGCCTCTCCGACAGAGGTGATGTGGTTTAGCTCTTTATGCTGCAGAGCTTGAGCTGCAAACTTTGTGTTAATGCTCTCAAGCCAAGCAGACATCCTATGGGGTTTCCCTAACCTACAAGAGATTCATGTTTAGAGTGCCAGAGGCTCGCCTGCGTTGGCCTCCCATCTTCAGTACCAGGTGAAATGACATACAAGGGGAAGGGGCCAGGCTTGGGGAAGGTGACCCTCCCCTCTGGCATCCCTTGCATTATCCTTTTCTTAGTCTTTACTGGCCCTCCTTTCTCACTTTTCTTCGTCCTCTTCTCTTACTTGCCTGTTGCCTATCCATCTTTCCAACCTCCTCTGTGGAGGCCTCCATCCTGTTTCTGCCCTGCCCTCTCTGAGAAATTGCTTAGCCTCTCCTGGTCCTCAGGGGTCCTCGCAGCCTCTCCAATCTAGGGTCAAAGCTAAAGGCACACAGCCCATCCCAGCGGCGGGATTTCTACACCTCAGCTGAACAAAACCGGAAGATGGAAGTGCAGGCCCAGCCCCGTCCTTCCGTTTCAGACGAGAGAGTGCTGTGCGGGCTTCTTTGGCCCGCAGTGCCAGCCCTGCCCAGGGAAAGCCCAGAACGTCTGCTTTGGGAACGGGATCTGCTTGGACGGAGTGAACGGCACGGGCGTGTGCGAGTGCGGGGAGGGCTTCAGCGGGACAGCCTGCGAGACGTGCGTGGAGGGCAAGTACGGAATTCACTGCGACCAAGGTGAGCGCTCCCCCACCCCACCCCAGCCCCAGGCCGGAAGAGTAACTCAGGCTGTCTCCCCAGGCCGGCTGAAATCCTACCTCTATTATCATGTGAATTATAAGATCATTTGTGTTGGGTAATTTGCACGGGGCAGTGTTTCCAAACATTTTCCATCACTAACCGAGACCTACCAGCCCATCCCCCCACCGCCACTCCTCCCCCGACACACACCCTGATCTGTTCACTGACATTCCCCAACCCAACCACGTTTCTGATTTGCCTTGTGCGCACTGGTTCTCATAGTAACACTCTCAGTTTGGGACTTTTGCTCAATAGTTTTGAAAAGCATATTTGTGCACATTATCTCGTTTAATCCACTCAGGAGCCTTATATACTTGAGTATGGTCATGCCAAGTTTATAGATGAGTATGTTAAGGCAGAGAGGTTGAATGACTTCCCTGCCAAGGTCACACCTGATGAGAGGCAGAATTGAGATTGAAGTGCACGCCTTGCTTGACTTCAAAGCCTTGCTTTTGACTCGTGCTGTCCTTTATGTGAAGATCATTCTATTGATTCACCTTCAACGAGCCACATACTTTGTTGTTTTCACAAAAATAGTGATCTGTTTGAGCTAGGTCATCTGCATCCTCTCACCCTGACTTTCTTGTGCCCAGGGACACACACCTGGTTGATTTGGGAGGAGAGGTTTCCTAATCCATGATGAGAAAACAAAGCATTTCTTTCACATTGTACTAAAAGCCATAAATTTGACCTGGTTGTCACTGTTTGGCCACATAATATATAATTGGCATTATAGCATCGATGTTATGTGGAAGAAGTATCTGTTTCTGTTTGTGCGGGAGTTCCCAGCTGAATGATTTTTCCTAGGGAAGAGATCCCTCAGGGGAAAAAAACAAAACAAAACAAAACAGTTCTCAAGGAGGCTTCTGACACTGCTGCATAACAAAGGAATTGCCATTTCCAGATGGTTGTGATTGAAGAGGGCAGTCACACCAGGTCTATACAAACCCGGTCCCCAATGGGCTTCTTTCTAAGTCCACTCTTAGGGATCCCAAGGGGTCACACATAGCCTTGGATCCTCAGATAACCTCAGCTGGGGACATTCTCACCACCCCACAGTGCGTGCGACACAGTCGCACAGCTATGGTCCCTGCTGAGGCATGACCAGCCCTCTAAAAACAACGGTTCTCGGGAACCAGGTTGGAGAATTAAAGGCACCGAAGCGAACCTTTGTAGTTAATGATCAGGGAGTTGTTGAACACAGGTCAGAAGTCTGACAATGTGTAGGCTTTTTTTTCACCTAGAGTGTTCTTGTGTTCATGGGAGATGCAACCAAGGACCCTCGGGTGACGGCTCCTGCGAATGTGACGTTGGCTGGCGAGGAGTGAAATGTGACAGAGGTAAGAGCGAGCCCTTCGTACTTCTGATCTGTTCTTAGCCTCCCTTTTCGGCAGCTACTTTTTTTTTTTCTTTCTAAACTAGAAATGACATCTTTATTTCTTCCTTGAGCCATTAATGTAATTCCTCCTTGCAGCAAAAAGTTTGGACAATAAAGAAAAGCAGAAAGAAGATAATAAAAGTCACTCATACTCCCAAGGCAGGAAAAACGTATCATTAAGATTTTGTATTAGCCCTCTAACATTTTTATAGGTATACAAACATATGTGTATAGGGTTGTATTCTACATACTGTTTTGTAGTCTACTTTTTTACTTCACAATATATAATGGAGATCTTTCCATGTGAATAAATATAGGTAAATATCATTATTTTCTTAATTTCTACATAATATTCCATTATATGACTGCACCACACTTTTTAAACCAATTTTCCGCTACCACGAACAATGCTGCAATGAACATCTCATTCATACACCTTTTCGTATTTGCTTTATTCCTTCCTCCCACTCCTCCTCTCACCAGTAACCTCATGATACATCTCATTGCGTCCTGCCATATTTCCGTCCATTCCATACTCCACACTGCTGCCAGAGAGAACTTTCCAGATCATAGATGTCTTAGTCTGTTCAGGATGCTATAACAAAGTATTGTAGACTGGGTAGCTTATAAACAGCAGAAATTAATATCTCCCAGTTCTGTAGGCTGGAAGTCCAAGTTCATGGTCGGGCTCTGGTAAAAGCCCTCTTCTGGGATACAGGCTGCCATCTTCTTGTGTTATGGCAGGAGAAGCAAAGGAGCTCTCTGGGGTCTTTTTCATAAGGGACTAATCCCATTTGTGAGGACTCTACCCTCATGACCTAATCACCTCCCAAAGACCCCACCTGTAAATACCATCACACTGGGGAGTAGGTTTTAACATGTAGATTTGGGAGGGGCGTATAGATCACATTCCTCACCGTCTCCCCAGGACTTAACAACCACTGTGATTCTTCATTGTCTCCAGGACAATGCTCAGTGCCTCCAGGACAAACCCCTTAGGAGTACAAGGCAGCTCACCAAGTGGCACGCAACCAGTTTGCCAGCCTTGTCTCCAGTGCACACTAGGCATAAGTTGCTTTCAGTCTAGTGATGGAAATAAATATTCAGTAGTGTTCAAAAAATGGTGGTGTGGGAGTGTAGAGCAAAGAACCTCTAGATTAGAGAGCAAGGAAGACAACTCCTTTGTCTGTGTGATCACTCATCACACCCCAGCCCGTGGCAGACATCACTCATCAATCACTGCACTCCTTCCCTCTGAGGCCAGATGGGGCGCCACTTCTTTCTCAAAAGAGCACACTGTGTAGTCGTTACCAATTAATCAAAGTCATTACCCATTAAATCAAATGTTTGGAGCAGATTTCAGAGAGTAGAACCTAAAAGATGATTGAGATCTCAATAGGTAGTGAATGGAGAGAAACAGACTTCCAGGTTCAAGGTATAGCACACACTAGGTATAGTAAAGGCACAAAATTGCATTGCATCCACTCCATTCCCTTTGAGCCTGTTACTGTTTTCTCTGACACAAAACAGACCACTTTTGCAGCCAGGTCTGTTTCAGGACCTTCTGTGCGACTCGCCAGGCCTAATGAGATTTCTCTCCCAAAAGCGCTTAGCATGAGCATCCTGCCCAAAGGGTACTCTTTCCTCATCTCTAACCATTTCTTTTGGATCCTCCTCTGCCAGGAGCATCCAAATAGCTGGGCATCCAAGAACAAGAACCTGTACTGTTCCAGGAAATTTAGGAATTAATTCAACAAATGGATAGTGAGAATCTCCTGTATGCCAGGCCCTGAGCTATTTCTGCACATAAAAAAAAAAACTTTTAACATTAGTTACAATTAGATAGGGGAGTTGTGTTTATATCACTTTATAATAAAATGATGAAAAACTAGAAAGAATAAGGAACATGGGAAATATAAATAAAATAGAAAATAAAGCACCGGAGAGGGAATTGTATCAACACCCAGCCCTGAGGAAGGATACTATAGTTTGCTCATTTTTTCATCCTCGCCACCTAGCACAGTGCCTGGCACATAGGGGACACTCCATCAGTATATTTGACTTTCATATTTGGCTCTAAGCTTCCTGGCAGCCAATATAGAAAAAATATTTACAAAGTGACATAGTTTTACATAGTAAACATGATATGTATCATCTACTACATAGAAAGTAAATATTTTCCTAGCACCAAGTATTAAAAGAAAGTTCTTGAGTGAGATTTAATAAAAGAGGGCTGACAAAGCAATTGGTTCTTTTTTTCAGAGATCACAAAAGATAACTGCAATGGGACATGCCACACCAGTGCCAAGTAGGTACCCTCTGAGTCTCCTTTGGGGACAATACCAAGGGAATAATACTATTCCCAGGCCTTATCCTCAAGAGAGTAGTTTCCTGAGAATGTTTATGAGGATTTGGGATAAATTTAATATGACACTAGAAATATCTCTGAAGAGGCCGCCATCAACTTGCCAGATCCAGCCTTTTGAACAAGCCGCCACTTGTGTTACCTGGCATGTTGGCAAAATGCCAGTTGTCACCCCCAGTTCACACCACAGGGACTCTTTCACAGAGGCAGGGGGAGCCCAGTGGGCCTCTCACTTTCATCAAAACTTACTCCCGATTCACAACTAAGCCTCTACTTCTTCACATTTCAATTTTATGTTCTTAACTCCCAGGGGGCTTAATGGATTAATTAATTAAGAGCCTCGTAACTGGAGTCAGACAAGAATTCAAATCAGCCTCTGTCATTGTCATTGAGTGCATGACCATGAGTCAATTATTTAATGCCTCTAAGCCTCAGTTTCATCTGTAAATGAGAATAATAATAATATATATTCTTCAAGGCTATTGGATATTGTGTTAAGTTACCTTAAGAAATGCATGAAGCATACCCCCTAACACACAGGTAACTCTGAAGACTGTTAGCTCCCCTCCTTATCCCTGGGCCGATGCCCACAGACACACACTCTAGTTTACCTGATAAATGACTGCAGTTTTAGCTGCCCATGCCAGGGCCATGCTCGGAATGGACTCCCCTTAGGCAGGACTTCCAAGTGCCTCCTGGGGCGGCAGCTAGGATGCTGGGAATGAAGGAGACGGGTATCATGTGTTTTTCTACAAACGGCATTCGCCCTTTCTCATTGCAGCTGCCTCCTCAACCCAGATGGCACAGCCTTGTGCAAATGTGCAGCGGGATTCCAAGGGAACGGGACCATCTGCACAGGCAAGTGAGGCATGAACTTGCTCCTGGGAGACAAGGTAGGGTTAGCTGTGGAGAGATCTGTGTTCCTGCAGACTGAATGGGCAGCTGCTACCGACCATGGATGGTGAATTGAATGTAACAGGGCAGCTGATTGTGCCTGGGGGGCGGGAAACCCCCGGGAAGGGATGGAGCTTGTGGTTCAGAATGGGTAGCCCAGCCCCACTCTTTTCTTCTGCTAGCAGTGGTTCACAGCCTTGACCACAATTGGAGAGCTTTAAAAAAACATTGGTTTGATATTTATCTTTCTCTGTCTTAGCTGCAACTAATTTAAAAAAATAATAAAAATTTAAATTTAAAAATGTCTTAATTTTTTAAAAAAAAAAAAAGCTTTGATTTGATTGACCTCATGTGTGGCCTGGACATGGGGACTCTGGAGTAGTACAGAAAGGGGCCTGCCTGGTTCTTCCTCCTACTATCCACGTTATCTTGGGCAGGTCTCTTAACTGCTCTGATCCCCCTTAGCTCATTTGTAAAGTAAACGTAAAACTATCCCCTTCTCATAGTGATCAGGGGATGAAATGATCCTCTATGTACAATGGCAGAATGATACAGCTGTTAAAAACAGCTCCAGCATTAGACTCCCCGGGTTGAATCTAAGGTCTTATAATGTGCATTTTCTTGGTGAAGTTGCTTGACTGCTCTGCATCATTTTTTCATCTGTTGAGTTGTCAATAATAAGAGAATCTCTCTCATCCAACTGGATGGTTGGGTGATGACCTGAATTAATATCTGTGAAATGCTTAGAACAGCCCTGGCACAACACTCAATAACTATAAGCTAATACTCTAATCGTTCCCAACGCCTATTTGGTGCTAGAAAAAAAACAGAATACCTTAGCATCATTTTTCTCCAGAGCACTGTGTCTCAGCAGGCTTCAGTCCAGATTATGGCTTAGCTGGACAATGATCACACCAACCTGCTTTCTAAACCATCTTACCCTGGGGATTCTCCCAGCATGCAAGTACCCTGACTCTGGTCCCAGATGTTTCCTGTAGTAGGGTGTGTACAGTATCCTAGTGAAAACAGCTAGAAAGGACAAATAACTAGAATGTTTTTCTTGCCCTGTTTTTTTGGGAAAAGAGCGAAACCAGAAGACAGAGGTTAATATGAAAACAACCAACATTTCTATAACATTTTCATGTATATTATTAGATGTGATTCCCAAACCTGTAAATAAACCTGTAAAGGTGGACCCCAAAGTTCAAATTCATTAAGTGATTTATCCAAAGTCACATGGTGCGCGAAGGCCAAGCCAAGACTCAAGCACATACCTTGGTACTCCAAGTGGATCTAGGTCTTTGGTCCACTTTGAATTAATTTTTGAATAATGTTATGAAGTTGAGGTCCAAATTTATTCTTTTGCATATAGATATCCAGTTGTCTCAGTATTATTTGTTGAAAAGATTATGCTTTTCCCTCATTGAAATATCATGGCACCTTTGTGGAAAATCAATTGACCATAGATACATGGGTTTATTTCTGTACTCCAAATTCTATTAGATAAATGATAGATAGATGATAAATAGATAGATAGATAGATAGATAGATAGATAGATAGATAGATAGATAGATAGATAGAATATAAGGGTATTTATATTCTTATGCCAATACTACACTGTCTTCATTACTGAAGCTTTGTAGTAAGTTTTGAAATCAGGAAGTGCGAGTCCTCCAACTTTGTTCTTTTTGAAGATTGTTTTGACTCTTCTAGGCCCTTTGAATTTACATATGGATTTTCAGATTATCTTGTCAATTTCTACAAAGAAGCCAGCTGGGATTTTGATAGAGATCGCATTGTATTTGTAGGTCAGTTTGGGGGAGTAGTGCCACCTTAACAATACTAATTCTTCCAATCGATGAACAGGGAACATCTTTCCATTATTTAGGTCTTTTTTAAAATTTCAACAATATTTGTAGTTTTCAGAGTATAAGTTTTATACTTTGTTAAATGTGTTCCAAAGTATTCTATTCTTTTTGATGCTATTGTAAATGGAATTGCTTTCTTAATTTCATTTTCAGTTTGCTCATTTCTACTATATAGAAATACAGTTGATTTTTATTTATTCACTTTGTATCCTGTACCCTTATTGAACTCATTTATTAGTTCTAATAGTTTTTTAGTAATATTCCTTATGGTTTTCTATGTCATCTATATCCATATAGATGGTTTTACTTCTTTTCCAATCTGGATGCCTTTTATTTCCTTTTCCTTTAATTGCTATGTCTAGAACCTCCAGCACAATGTTGAATAGAAGTGGCAAGAGTAGACATCCTTATCTTATTCCTGACCATGTGGGAAAGCATTCAGTTTTTCACAATTAAGTATGATTTTAGCTGTGGGTTTTTCACAGATATCCTTTATCAGATTACAGAAGTCCCCGGCTATTACTAGTCTGTTAAGTGTTTTTATCGTTAAAGATATTGAATTTTTTTGAATCCTTTTGCTCCTTCAATTGAGATGATCATGTGCCTTTGTCTTTAATTCTGTTGATAATACCGTATTACATTAATTGATTTTTGGATGTTAAACCACCTTGCATTCCTGTATAAATCCCACTTGGTTATGGTGTATAATCCTTTTTATATATTGCTGAATTTTATTTGCAAGGATTTTCTGGAAAATTTTTGTGTCTATGTTCATGAGGAATATTGGCCTATCGTTTTCTTGTGATGGCTTTGTCTGGTTTTGATATCAGGGTAATACTAACCTCATAAAATTAGCTGGGAAGTCTATCTTCTAGTTTTTGGAAGAATTTGTGAAAATCTGGTATAGATTCTTCTTTAAATGTTTAGTAGAATTCTCCAGTGAAGGAGAGATATTTGATGCTTTGCAGTCTTTTGAATTATCCATATTTAATCCAATGCCTGCCATTTTGAAGTATTTTCCACTTCTCAATGACTCAAATAAAAATGCATCAATGGTTTTACCCCCTGTTCTCTTCTTCTCTACTCTGGTCATCTCTTCTCTAGCAATCAATCCCTGCGAAATCAGCAACGGAGGTTGCTCTGCCAAGGCCGACTGTAAAAGAACCATGCCAGGAAGCCGAACGTGTGTGTGCAAGGCAGGCTATACTGGAGATGGCATCGTGTGCATAGGTAAATGCCATCCCTCATCCATCTGGTGGCGGTTCTTTAAGAGTCGGAGCACTGTTATGTGATCTTCATGTTTGGATGCTGCCAAGATCATCTTTCAGTCTGTCTGAGCGGGAAGGTATGAGGATGTGGAAATATGATTATGGAGGTATGAAGGTGTGTGATGTCCAAAAATCATTTTGGAAGGAAAAAGGGGGAAACTTTTTTTTAATTAAACATTATGGTGGTGACTGGATTTTAAAACATTAATTAGTTCTTTTTTATACAGGTAGCATATTTTCAATATAGAAAAATTAGAGGATGCATGTAGGCTGGGGAAAAGAATTCTGGAAATAACCACTTTTACTTCTATTGTATTACCCTATTTTGCTATGTATAGATGTAATTTTTTTAAAACAAAAATTGTATCTCATGATATATGTTTACTGCTTAGCAATATGATGTGATAACTCTCCCTGAAAATAAGTATACCTCCAAATCATTATGGCTGTATACTGTTCTTCTATAAAGGTATGCCACTGCAAGTTGTCTAAATTTTAACTTTTTAGTTGTAAAGAAAATTCACACCAAAATAGTACAGAAAAAGACCCACTTGCTTTTTACCTCGATTCAGTTACTATTAATGTTTTGCACCGTTTGCTTTATTTTTTCTCTCTTTATATATGTGTATTTTATATATATATACATATATTTTTTTCTATTGCACATGTTTGAGAATAAGGAATGAGTCTTACATAACTACAGCAGTTATCAACTTCAGTAAATTTATTATTGATATAATACTTCTGCCTAATTACCATTTATGTTCTAATTTTATCAACTGACCTGATAATGTCCTTTTTTGACATTTTTTCCTCTAGTTCAGGATCCCAGTCTAGGGTTGGGTATCACATTTAGTGATCACATCTCTTTAGTGTCCTTTGACCTGGGGTGTTCCTCGGCCTTGCTTTGTCTTTTGTGACATTGACATCGTAGAATAATAGCATCCACCACCTCAACTTGTTTTTGCTAGCATGTCCTTCATTTGGGGGTTCGTGTGCTGTTTTTTCATGATTATATTCAGACTTTGTATTCCAGGTCTAAGATCACACTAGCGATATTGCCTCCTCAGGACACCACACTAGAAGCTTGTGATTTCCAACTGCCTCTCGTTTGTGATGTTAATTTTGACCACTTGGTCAGTGTGCTGTCTGATTTTTCCACTGATACAGACACTTTTTCCTCTTTGCTACTAATAAGCAATCAATGTGGAGATACTTTAACACTAAGCAAATATCTTCATCAACATGCCGTCCTAAATTTAGCATCTATTGATGATTCCTCCCTGAACCAGTTAAATTGCGATGGTTGCAATGATTTTTTTTTAATTCCTAAATCTTGTTATTCATAACATGTTGGATTAGACTCCAGGGTTCTATTATTTCAAGTTCTTGGCTGCAAATGCTCATACTCATTCAACAGAGGGACAGAGTCAAGCCCACAGATTATGCTTCTTCTGGCACAAGCCCATCCCAGAGAGTCGATTTTGAGAAACCATATCTGGTAGCCTCCATACTGGGTTACTTTTGCCTCAGAGTTCTCAGAAAACTGAATCACACTTTGATACCTGTTTCCCTCAGTCAGTTCGCCATCCTGGTTGGTCCCTCGAGATGTCTTTACTTGAAAATGAGGCTTGATTCTCATACCAGTTTTGGCTTTTTGTTTTAAAGAGATCAACCCGTGTCTGGAGAACCACGGTGGCTGTGACAAGAATGCAGAGTGCACGCAGACCGGACCCAACCAGGTAAGCTATGCCCCTGGGGGTTGGGGAATACCTAAGATTTCCTACGAGCAAACTCCTGGGTCTTTAGAGAAGAGGGCTGAGAACAGACCTCTCAGGAGCAGCAGCAGAAAATTAATACTTTAAGGGAAATTCTGAAAGAATTCCCAAAGAGACCGTTCTTTGGGAATGAAGAGAAATGGGAGGGGGAGACAAAGGGTACTTAGGAGAAGGGGCTTTCCTGGAGTGGAGAGAAGTAGCCGTCCGCAAACACTGCATGGTCCCAGAAGCACCTAGAAGGTCCATGACAATGTTCCCCTTTCTTTCAGCTTCCCAGAGCCCCACAATTCTTCTGTGGCTTGAGGCTCTGAAATTCATGTGCCACAGCAGAAGATAATGTCGTTAGGCCCTCTGTCAGTCACATAGTCCCCAACACAGTGAACCTCGCGGTGCCTCCCTAGGGAGCAGGTTTGGGGAGGTGGGAAAATGTGAGGGCTTCAGCACAAAGGACAGGAGAGGTCACAGGGTGAAAAGGCATAGGCCGGGAAGTTGGTGGCTCAGAGACCCAAGCCGTGCCTTCCTCAGTCTCTGTCACAATGGTCATGCAGGAGATTACGTACATCAGAAACTGAATGGTGAAGTAAAGTTCCCCAGGGAATGTTCCATGGACTACATAGAGCCATTCAGAGACCTCAGTGCCGGGTCTCCCAATAGGCAGATCAAGCAAATGCCTAAAGCATGCAAAAATAAAAACTATATATATTTATTTTGAAAGAATTGTGTGTGTACATATATAGTCACAGGAAAAACCAAAACAGTCAATGTTGGTCTACCTTGTACACATTTTGGGGTCCAGTAGAGTTCTTGTTTCTACATATGGGGTGAGGGAAACCTGTAAGCTTTTTGGTGCTCAGGGCCTCCTCCAAATCTAGAAGGCAATGAGAGGGACACAGGGTTGACCTCTGAGATAGGACCTTTGCACAGGAGGGGCGGCTGAAGGGCATCTTGGTAAAGATTTGAGCCCAGGTCAGGGCCCATAATAAAGGTTGAGAAGGAGGAGCAGTGAAAACCTAATGATTGGCCTAGGCTGTTCCAGCCAACGAGTTCAATTTCTAACGGGTAGACATCAGACCAGAGCCACCTCACCTGTGTGGGAGCCTTTCGCGTGGATTAGAGAAGCCACACCTTGGGGAGACACACCTGGAGCAGATGTCCCTTTCTCTGGACACACAAGTTGGGGACTAGAGCACAGCTGGGTTTCAGCCCCACTCACTCCCATGCCCAGGTGCTCCTGAGCAGAGTACATGGGACATGAGCATGAATTAGACAGTTCCCAACTCCTGGTAGTCAGTGTCCCCTCCCTCAGCTTGAAGCACCCACCTGACTCCTCTGGCCAAACAGTGGGGTCAACTGATGATTTTCACATGTGCAACTGATTTGACTCCAAAGCCATCATCAAACACCTCCTGGGGTCTTGGGGCTGACTGAGCCCAGGTGGAGAGGAGCAAGGATTGGGTATAAATGGGAGTGGGCAGGAGCTCAGCTTCCTCACAGCCGAACCTTTACCAACCAAGGGGAGAAAAGACCTGAGCACCCAGAAGGCGAGGGACCAAATAAGGTGACAAAGTTTTTTAAACATCAAGTTATCTTGACAACAAAGATGTGATACGTAGGAGATCCCAGCTCTAGACAGAAGCGTGCCAAACGCGCTAACATATAAGATGGCGAATATCATATAGAATAGATATTACCAGTCTAGAATCTTCTAATGTTCCTACTCCTGTTATGGAGTTCAGGCGTGAGAGCCAGCAGCCCTCTCTGTGAGTGACCCGTTTCCCTCTCCCCCCGGGCAGGCCGTCTGTAACTGTTTGCCGAAGTACACCGGAGACGGGAAAGACTGCTCGCTCATCAATACCTGCTTAACTGTGAGTCCGGCTCGGGGGCCGAGGCCCTCAGAGGTCAGGCCTGGGGTGCCGCCTCCCCCCTTCTAGGAGGTAGGGTGTTGGGGTGATCGCCTCAGAGCCGCTTTGGCCTCGAGGCTCATTTCTCCCTCCTGTTCCAGTCATAATGTCGTGAAAGTCCAGTCTCTGCTCCTGTCTTCACATGGCCTTCGCCTCTGTGTCTGTGACTTCTTTTCTGATGAGGGCCTGGTGGACTTAAGACTCGTCTTATTCACCTAAGAGGATCTCATCTCGAGATCCTTAATTATGTCTGCAAAGACTTTTTCTAAACAAGGTCACATTCACAAGTACTAGGGCTTATGACGTGGACATACCTTGTGGGGGGCCACAGTTCAACTCATTGCAAATGGGGAAGCGTGAAGGGCTTTGCCCAAGATCACCAAGCAAGCGCATGGCCCAGCCAGAACTTGAACCCACATCTCTCTGACTTGAAGGCCATACTCTGGGCCACTTCTTGTGCTGGTTCCTCCCACAAGGCAGTGACCCCAGAGGAAGCCCTGTCCAAACACTTCACTTTCCTTATTCATATCACTGTCCGCCTAAGAGCCTCCAGCTGTGGGCCTGAGAACAGTGCAGTCACCCATAATTAAAGCCCTTCCTCTCCAAGTGAGGTCCCTACTGTCCCCTTGTGTTGGTCTGGCAAACTCCTCAGGAGAAAAATGTCCCCGCATGAAATGATTGTGTAGGGATCACAGGGAAGAAGCTGCAGAAAGCAGGGGGTTGGGATGTGGAGCTATTACAACTAGTACTATGGCCAGCTTTATTTTAATGGCGGTTCTTCCCGTGGCTATTTCTCAAGTACAAGAGCCATTAACTCGTGGCTGCTCTTCTTTGATCTGCATCTATGACTGGATTCTTTTCATGAAGAAAGGAAGTTTGTTTTCTTGCAAGATGGGCATGTTTTTACACTGATGAGTATAATTCAATAGAGAGAAGGAAATTGATACTGAAGGAGAGAAAATGGATTGTTACAGGAGGAAATTACATGAATAGGTGACAGGGATGGGACCCAGAGCCCACTAGTGGAGAGGTAAGCCTCACCTAGGAGCAGGGGCAGCGTTAGGTAGGTAGTCAGTCAATTAGTTGGTCAGTCAAGAAGGCAGTTTGTTAGTTTGTTAGTTCATTGGTTAGTTAGTTGGTTAGTCAATTAGTTAGTTAGCCAGTCAATTAGTTAAGTCAGTTAGTGAGTCGCTTATGGGCACCTGCTTCATGTGACCCTTTACTATTAATTAATGAAAACGTTTATGCCTGGCCATGCTAAATAAATTATTAGTTCTGCGAAGGCAGAGACTGTGTGCATCTGTGTATCTGCTGGAAAACTGCGCACAGCACAACACACATCTCGGTCGATGAGCGTTCACTAGCTACCAGGTGCCGTTTTAGGCACTGGGAATTCATCAGTGACCAAGCAGCAAAACCGTTTAAAGAGCTCGCATTCGGAGGGGAAGAGATGGACACTTCGTGTGTAAAGGATTAGTCAGTTAGTCGTTAGTTCACTTGTTAAATAAGGAAAGCAGAGTTGTGAGTTCAGGCCCAAGTAGGTATAAACTTCAGGACAAGAAGATGAGGAGGCTCTTATCTGTCTATTTTCTCGTTGAGGTATGAGTTGAGCTCATCAGTTGAGAGTGAAGGACAGTGATTGAGAGTTGAGGAGAGAGGCAAAGGTGCGAAATGTCTTCTCCAGAGAGAGATAGGGGCACAGGGAAAATAGTGTTTACAGGAGACAGACATCTCTTCCATACGCGGTGAAGAGAGCTTTCAGGGAACAGGGGGAGGCCGTTGGGAGTTTGCTTATGGCAGTGAGTTTCAGAAGGCACTGGGAGGGCGGGAAGGGTGGGATGGGAGGTCAGATCACAGGTGTATAGAGCACCATGGAGGAGAGTGTCCGCGTGGTAGGAGGTGACCTCGGGCCTCTGCTGTTGACTGAGATAAACAGAAAAGTGGGACAAGAGGGGATTCATCTTGATGGTCTTAGAGTATGCGGGGTATTGGGACAAGTAAAATCTAGGGTATATAGCTGGAAGATCCGGGGACCACGGGAGGTGGTTAATGGTCTTGCAGGAATCAACTTTTCTGAACAGCTCACTGAGCTGTGGCAGCTTGAGGCAGGAATCTAGGATTGTAGGTCCCTCTTGGACTGAAATATCGTGATCCACAAATAATTTTGGAACAGCGATTGGGAGGGAAGGAAGATTTTGCAGGCAGCCTGTACGACTGCTTCTTGCTTGGGCTTGCAGAGAGCTTCTTGGTGTTCTGAAGGATGTCGGCTTTGAACCATACTTTGCTTTGTTTATATTTTAGGTCTTTGCCCCATCATCCACTATTAATAAGCTTTTGAGGACAAGGACAATGTTTCGTATCTATTTTATGCCAACTGCCTTCTAGCTGATGACTTACCGTTACTATGATGGGGTTGGAGTTTAGCCTAAAGCTAGGAAGAGTCAAATGAGATTGGAGCCTTTCTTGTTAAACCCAGGTGCCGAGAAAGTTCCCATTTGGCAACTCTGGGCTTATCTATACAGAACTGAAGAGCTGCTCAAACGGACCTGCCATCTTGGGATGTGAGGCTGGGTGAATAAGGCAACCCTTGCAACTGTAGGGAATTGGAAAGCAAGTTCAGGAAGAAGGCAAATAATGCAAAGCGGTCCATTAGAGAGCGAGACCAAAAATAAATTTCAGTACAGAATTGCTTTGTGAATATTGGCAGAGCTGGCAAACTAACTGGTCTGACTTTCATCCCCCACTCCTGGGAAATTTTGCCAGAAAAACGGTGGCTGTAGCGAATTTGCTATCTGCAATCACACTGGACAAGAAGAAAGGACCTGCACTTGCAAGCCGAACTACATTGGGGACGGGTTTACCTGCCGTGGCAACATCCACCAGGTAACACAAGCCGGGCGTGTTCCCGTAAAGTAAACTCTACTTCTCTCACATGCTAAGAACCCAGGTCGCTGAGAAATGTGCAAAAGTTTTATACCATGGAAGTTCTGGAACAGTGTGAAAGACCATTCTTACATAAATTGGTGATGAAAAGAAATTTTGTTTACCCCTGGAAATTCACTTGACCTGGAAGGTGGTGATTCAGATCAGTGGTTCCAGATTCAGAAACACCTGGGTTTGAATTCAGCTCTGCCAATTAGTAATGTGACTTTGAGCAGATTATATCACCTTTCTATGCATCAGTTTTCTAACCTGTAAAAGAAAATAATAATGGTACAAACCCCATCAGGTTGTTTCAAGACTTAAATGAGATAATGTGTTTAATGGGCACAGCCTGCACGGACATTAATTGCTGTTGGAGTGTGTATGTGTGTGTGTGTGTGTGTGTGTGTGTGTATGTATGTGCGTGCGCGCGTGCGCGCGCACCTATCCTGGGCATAGAGGATGAGGTGGTACGATATGTGTCGATTTCTATCTGTTATAAAATAAATGTTCCATTATTTGGTTTTAAAAGGGACTAGAGTATTCTGGCTGTTCTTGTTAATAGAAAAACTAAACCTGCCATAAAACTATAACTCAATTTTTTTATACTTGAACTTTCAAAAATACTCTTAAAGCTCAGATGCTTCTGGAAATGGCCGAACCTTTCTTCGATAAATCAGATGGTTTATCCAGAAAGGTGTTGGAGCTCACAGCTTGTCCATGTAGTCATCCTTAACATCAGTTGTAAGCCTATTGATGAGGCTGGAAAAGGCCCATTGTTGCAGATTTGCAGTTGAAAGCATGGTGGCTGCTTTCCGTCTTAGGGCAGTTGTCCTGCATTAACCCTGTGTTGTTCTTGTGTGCAATTCGCAGATATTAAGTGAACCCGCCCTGTCTTTGTTTCTAGGAGCTCCCCAAGAACCCAAAAACTTCTCAGTATTTCTTCCAGTTGCTGGTAAGAATATGTGTGTCTGTCTCACTATAAGAACTGGGTCTCAAGCCATACAGGATAAACCTGTAGCCTCTCAAATAGATGGGGGTAGAAGAAAGTCTGAGAATCTGGATTTCTGGAATAGGTTCTGTGTTGGTCGTATGTGAACTTCTCAGGCCTCAAGTGGACAGCATGAAAGAATGAAAAACTGTCCCACTGGCCCGTTCTACACATGAGAATGTGGTACGTGAAAAAACTGCCATCATACCAGTAGAGAAATTGGTGTACTCTTTGAGTGAAAATATTCTGTTAGATCTTTCTGCACATCGCACATCCGAATAAGTTCTAGATATGTTGAAGAACAAAGATTAAAATCTAGAGGAATGAAATCTAGAAGAAAATATAAGTAACCATAGGATCTCAGTGTTGGCAAGAAGACAACCAAAAATAACAGGGGTCACTTCTCCGTGGTAGGATTATGGGTAGTTGTTTTCTTATTTATACTGCATTTTTGAATCTTTAATATAATAAGCATGTGTTATTTTTATAACCAGATAAAAATAAACATTATTTCAATGACAAAGAATCTGAATGGATTTGAATCTAAGACTCAATAAAACGCAGATTCTCCCCATCCATTGTTCATTCCCCTCTGCCACAATCCACTCTATTTGTTTGAGCCCCTGCCTGTATTTATGTTAAGTATGTGACACGTGGCCCCTGCCTTCCTTCCCATAGGAACATTCTGTACGGGACCTGGTTGGTTCAGGCCCCTTCACCGTTTTTGCACCTTTATCTACAGCCTTTGATGAGGAACCCCGGGTAAGCATGAAACTTAAGCAGGCGGATGAGGTCTGGGACTGAAACACAGTCTTTGGGTGTCACCCTGGAACCAAAGGTGGAGACATTGCTGGGCAGGAGGTTTAGGATCAGCTGCACCAATGGAAGGGGCTGCTTCTTAGCATAGGGACCCCTATCAGGGGAAGCATTCAAGTGAATTTGGGGTAACCACTGGCCGGAGACCCTCTAAAGGACATTCCTAAATAGAGTAGGAAGTTGGAAAAGAGTCACAATTCTTAAATGATCCAAACTTCCCAAAGAGCCAAAAAAAAAAACAAAAAACAAAAAACAAAAAACCAAAACCAAAACCAAACAAACAAACAAACAAAACAAACGGGAATGCTAGATTAAAGGGATTTAAATAGGTTCTTGCAGGACTTATCAGAGCCTTTACTATCCTGACATTTATTGGGACTCTTCATGCTGGATTGCCCATTAATACATATTAATGCAGCAAACATTATTGAGTATGCCGGACACTATTTCTGGTGCCTGGTCTAGATTAACTCATTTCATCTTCATGACAATCCTGTGAGCTGAGTGCTGTTATTATCCTCATTTTATAGTTGAAGACACTGAGAGAAGTGACTTTCCCAAGGTCACATGACTAGCAAATGGTGGTGGAAGAACTCAAATATGACCCCAAAGCCTGCGTTTTTAACCACTGCACACAATGCCTCTCTATGCATGTATTTTGGACACCAGCAAAGCAAGGACACCAGCATTTTTCACAAGAAAACTTTTTTCAAGTAGCATCTCACAGGACCCGGGGTCCTTGCCACATGTATTATGAAATGCTGAACCAAAGGAACCCCAAGTTCCCTTCCGAGATTCTACAGTGGAAACAGGAAAGAAGTAGGGCCACTTTCTCCCCCTTGCCTGAACAGTCTCTCATCTGTAACCCCGACCACAAGCCAAATCTGACTCCAACGTCTGAGGGTCCAGGCGGAGAGAGAGATGTCGGGGCGGGGAGGAAGGAGGGAAGGAAGGGAGATGCATGGAGTAGAGGGCAGGAAAAGGCTCCTGGCTCTGGCAGGAAACCTTCGATCTTCTATTACAGATTAAAGACTGGGACAAACAGGGCCTAATGCCCCAGGTTCTTCGGTATCATGTGATTGCCTGCCACCAGCTGCTCCTGGAAAACCTGAAATCGACCCCAAATGCCACTTCGCTCCAAGGGGAGTCAATCGTCATCTCCGTCTCTCAGGTAAGAGAGGCCACTTCAGGAAGGTGCCCATTTTGCTTGGGCCTTCTTTTTTCTCCTCTTCCTTAGAGTAACACCAGTAATAACAAAAATAATAATAACAATAACAACAAGCCAGGTACTAGATGTTTGATATGTACTAACTTATTTAATTTTCAAAATAATCCCATAATTGAGATACTATTATTTTCTCCAATTTACAAATTAGAAAACTGAGCTCAGAGAAATTAAGTAACTTGTCCAAGGTCCCCCAGCAAGTAGATAGTGGAGCTGGAATTCAGACTCAGAAGAAGGCAGCTTCAGGTGGTCAAGTGGAAAGGCTTCTGGCCGCACTGGTCAGAAACTGGAAAGAGATGAAAGCTTTTGATCAAAGCCACTTGACCAGGCTGGTCTATTCCCTCCCACAACATAGAAACAAATAGTGGCTATAGAATTCATTGCAAAGAGAAAAAAAAGCATGTGCTGGGAGAAGAGGGGAGGGTTGATGGTGTAGAGAACACACGTGAACGAGAAGCCAACTTTAATCTGCTTGTCTTTTCATATTTAAGAATCATAGTGAAATGACTGTTTTGCTATTAACTTCTCTAGGTGAAACTTAACGTTCTTGTCTCAATTTCCTTTTCATAATCATAATTTAAAATGTGGGGAAAAGGGGAGAAGGGTTAAAGAAGTACAAATTAGTAGCTGGTCATGGGGATGAGGAGCACAGCATAGGGAATGCAGTCGGCATTAATGTATTGGCTCGGTAGAGAGCCAGAGAAGAGAAAGAGCAATCAAGGGGAACATTTTATAAACTATATAAATGTCTAACCAATGTACTGTGTACATGAAACTAATAAAATAAATTCTTTTAAAATGTGCTAAAATTGGACCTTTGGATTTCGCACACAACTCTACTTAAACGTTCACTTTTATAACAGTTTAATACGTTGGTGAATATTCCAAAAGAAGGAATTTTGTGGCTATTTCTATTCACACACTTTTTATTTTCTTTTCTGGTTGATTTCAGGACACTGTGTATATAAATAATAAAGCTAAGATCATATCCAGTGATATCATCAGTACCAATGGAATCATCCATATCATAGACAAAGTGCTGTCACCTCAAAACATGCTTATCACCCCTCAAGATGCCTCCGGAAGGATTCTGGTGAGTGAACTCACTGTCATACTCTCAGCCCAGAGAGACTCATAATACCAATAACTTATTATCTCAATTCTGATTTTGAGGCATTGTTTTAAGACATTTTAATTTTGCTGCTTCGATTTCAAGCTAATAACAACATTTACTAAAAGCCTAGTAAATGTTATTAATAAGAAGTAGATAAGTTTATTTTAAATAGATAAATAGATTTTATCAGTTTTTCTTTAGTGTACACAAGGGCAGGTGGTCTTGAATAAATTTGGGAGATGGAGAAATTGCATAGATGGATATTAGATAGATAGATAGATAGATAGATAGATAGATAGATAGATAGATATCACTAAAACTAAACCTGGAGTAAACCTCCCTCTCAACAGACAGAAAAAGACAAGTTTAATTTTTATTGTTATATATTCGTATTGGCCAGATACTTTATTGCAGACAACAGAATCCACTATACCTAACTTAAACAAAAAGGAGTTTCTTAAGTTATTAACATCCCAGATCTCTTGGAAAGCCATCTAAATTAGCCTAATTCAAATGCTGCACAGCTAGCAACAAAGCAGCCCAGGGACACCTGCACAGACAGGACGCCTGACTTCCCCACAGGGCTGTCCCAGCTGTAACAGTTCTGCCAGTGCCACCTGTCGCCAGTCTCACCACCTAGGACACAGGGCTCTGGACACCAGATGCCTCCACCATTGTGCTTGTCAGAAGATCTGATCTCCCTGCCAGCAGCCACTGCCACCTCCTGTTGTTTCTTTCCACTAATGTCTTGCAGAAGCGCTTCTCCTTGGTGGACCTTATATCACATTTGGGGCTCTAGCTGCAAGGCAGTCTGGGAAAATGTAGTGCTTAGCCTTCCAGCCTCTGTACAGAAAGGCAAGGGTACAATGGAGCTGAAGTGGGTGCCAGTGAGCCAATCAGCAGTACCTACCATGTCATCTTTTCCTTATTGTACTAGGTTGATCTTTCATTAAAGTGCTTTGTGAACTATATGAGAAAAGGTATCATTCCCATTCTTATTATCTTTGCAGCAAAACCTTACGACAGTGGCAATAAACCATGGCTACATCAAATTTAACAACTTAATACAGGTAAAAACCTGGGAGAAAAGTTATCTCAGGGGATAACCTACATAAAGAGGTTTGGTTGGGGGAGGGTTTTTTGTTTGCTTTTGTTTTTTGTTATCGTTTTGGTTTGTTTGTGGCACCAGCCAGCCATTGTGGGATCTGTACGGGGAAGTCCTAATTTCCTAGAGAACAAAGTCATTCTCTGCCGCTCCGTTCCCAAAATGGTGCGTGATTTGTTCAGCGATAGAGTTAGAACCTGAAGTATGTGAGGCCGGAAAAGAAATTAGGACACGCCAGTCCCTGAACTATCATCTGGAACTATCACCTCCATTATAGCGGTAGAAGCTGAGGTGGGGAGCCAGGGAATCTGTGCCTGTGAGGCAAGTAGAAATTGCATTTAAAACCTTATCTTTCTGACTTCAGACACCGTTCCCATGAGTAGAGTAGAGAAACTTCTTGTTAAAACAAAGACTGCTGAGCAGAATCGGAGAATAACTGGGTTCTTCTCCTGCTGCCCCAAAAGTCCCCAGACAGGCCCCAAATGGCACACTTTATGAACCTCTGTGGAGACCCATGATTTCCAAAATCATCTGAGGCTCAGGCTCTCTGGGGAGCTTTTTAGAAATGGAGATTTCAAGGTGCTCAAAGTGCAAATCTCCAGGGATGTTACAGACAAGTAATCTTTGCCCGCCTCCCCACTCCCAAAACTTTATAGTCACCCCCACACCTGGGCATCACAGCCTTTCACAGCAATGTAGGAAACTTCTCCGTGGCTCAGTTAAAGGAACTATAAAGCCTACTTCTCAGTGTTAGAAAATCACAAGAAAAAATGTATATGGTGCACTCGAGTTGTAGAAGGCTCTCAGAATGATCCCTCCCCACTCATCCGGCAATTTCTTTCTTGAGTCTGTGTGATCTAGAAATCTTATAAAAATACATAAGTATCTCAACATTGGGAGGTTTCACTTTTTTAAATGAAATATGAGAACAAAGCTAAAAGGGACTTCCAGAAATTAAAACATCTGGGCGGGAATAGCAACAACAACAAAAAAAAACGATATTCGTTCAGGTTTATTTTCCTATTAACAAAAGCCCAGAATTTGACTTCTTTTCTAAGTTTTCTTAGAAAACTTAGGGAGTGAGTGGCTAGAGTGCACTGGGCCTCTAGTTTCTGGGGCAGGCACGGAGGGGGCCACCCCACTCCCCTTCCACCCTCCCCTCTGGCTGCCCCTGGTCCTCAGACAGACCCTCTGTCTCATGGCTGACCAGCTCCCTGTGTTTTAGGGTGCGGGCTTGCTGAGCATCATCTCTGATCCTATCCACACCCCCGTCACCCTCTTCTGGCCCACTGACCAAGCCCTCCAAGCCCTACCCGCTGAACAACGGGATTTCCTGTTCAACCAAGATAACAAGGACAAGCTGAAGGAGTATTTGAAGTTCCACGTGATCCGGGATGCCAAGGTATTCTGTTTCACGCAGATGTGAGTGAGTTCTGGGAAGCCCCGGGGTGATCGATCCAGGAACTGCTGGTGTGTCTCCCCTTCAGCGACCCCTGTCCCACTGTGTCCTCCTCTGACTGGCCATCATTAATTGACCCCTGCAGGATACCACACCTGGTTCTGTTTCTCCAACCTACCTTTTTTTCTTTTTTTATTTCTAACTTTAGCCAGTACCCAGGAGCAGCATTCTTTTCCCAGACAGCAGATCAGCTTTTTCTCTTCTCATCATTCGCATGGCAAAATGGCTGCTGACCGCGGTTCCCATGTTTCTCCAGATGGACTCCTTCTCTCCCAATTCCAAGATTTCTAGGCAAAGGACTGACTCACTCAGCTGTAACTAGTTGTTCATTCCTCAGCTGAGCTATTGTACTGTGCTTGATCAGGGAATCAAGATCTTGTAGGAACATGACAGCTCTCGCTGAAACCATGTCACTCTCAGTCCCCAACCAGGACCCGTGTTTCTCTCCAGGAGTGAGCCCGTTCCATCCAAGAATGTCAAATGTCCAAACTTTGCTTCATTCACAGGACCTATATTAGTTTCCTAGGGCTGCTGTACCAAATTACTACAAACTAGGCAGCTTGAAACAACAGAAGTTTATTCTCTGAGGCTAGAAGTCTGACACGGTGGTTCCTTCTCCAGATTCTGAGGGAAAACCCGTTCCCTGCTTCTCTCCCAGGGTCTGGTGGTTGCCGCAAATCTTTGGTGTTCCTTGGCTTGTAGACGCCTCCACCAGTCTCTGCCTATGTTGTCACGTAGCTGTCTTCTCCCTGTGTGTTTCTGTGTCTTCACACGGCATTGTCCTCTTCTCTCTTCTCATAAGGACGCAAGTCCTATTGGATTACGGGCCCACTCTACTCCATTATGACTTTATCTTAACCAATTACATCTGCAATGATCTTATTTCTAAGTAAGGTCACATTCTGAAGTAGTGGGGGTAGGGACTCCAATAATACTTGTGGAGGGATATAATTCAACCTATAACAGTACCCATGTCATCTTCCTAACACACTCATCCTGTCATTGGCTCCGTATTCCAAGATAGCATCTTCCATGGACTCCCAAGCATAGATGGGGGCTGAAGGGTGACTGAACACAGTCCAGCTGGTGGAGAGTTTCCCTACCGAAAGAATTTCCAGCTTCCTAGAAGGCTTGTGATTATGGTACCTTTTGATTATGTCTACCGTCATTTTAAAGCTGGAATCATTAGAACTCTTGGAAAGACTTGTATCTAAATTTGATTTGCCGGCAAAGCTCCTTTGGGCCCTTCTTCCGTCCAAATTTGGGGTATTCATGTGGCACCCTCATTCCTACAGGTTTCAGCGGCGGATCTCCCTAGATCTACTGCCTGGAAAACCCTGCAAGGTTCAGAGCTGAGTGTGAAGTGCGGAGCTGGCAGTGACATTGTGAGTACTGTCACCCAGGTGGAGGTTGGGAACACATTCTCGACATTCTCCAACCACTGCCCCTTCAAGGAAACGTTCATTTTTCCTCTGCGACAGCAAACTCTTTTCCCTCACTGCCTTGAGGGGTGTTTCCCCTGAGAGTAAACAAGTAAATATGAAAAACCTGATAAATCCTGGCCAGCCTAAGCCCTGGGAAGAAGTGTCAGGAAGCCCACATCCCTTACGCTCATGGAGGGCAATTTTTAGTTGGTGGTTTTAGTGTTTTGTTTTGTTTTGTTCCAGTGTGAGACGCTTCTCTGAAGCAGGAAAGTGCATTTCTTTTTTCCTTCCCAGCCCCTCTGTGGCCTCATCTCCAGCCCTCTCTTGGCAGTCCGAGAGAACCAGCTCCGGGTTCCACCTTCCCAGATCAGCCAACAAATTTGCAATTTCCACCTTCCCTGGCTAGTTCCTGAACAATTTTACCTTCCTATACAGAAGGTACTTCTGTATGATGAATGGATCTGATAGGATAGTAGTAGCTACATCCTATATCTTGCATATAATGGAAAACCCAAAATGATAGTGGCTTAAATATATAAGGGTTGCTCTCTCTTGTAAAAGAAATAGGAAGGTAGCCAATCCAGAGTTAGTATGATGGGTCGATGGGGGAAGCTCCTTCTGTCTTTCTGGTCTGCAGCACATGTTTCCAGCCTCAAAGTCACCTCGAGGTCCAACATGGCTGCTGGAGTTCCAGCCACCATGTCCACTTTCCAGGCAGTAAGAAGGAGGAAGGGCAAAAGAGGTACAGCTCCCAGATTAGTTGATTCACTTCAAGGGACTTTCTGAGAAGTCCCATACAACATTCTGTTTACATCTTATGATCAGCCAGAATTCCTTCGGTGTTTGAACTGAAATTGCATTGAATTAATAACTCAATATGAGAAATGTTAGCACCTTTATATTTCAACTTCTGGGAAATTATCCGAAGGTACTTACACTTTTGAGATCAGCTGTACTATGTCCATAGACCAAACTATACACCTATCAAAAAAATACAATAAGAATGCCCATTGCTTGTTCTATGCACTAATATAGCTTTCAGAGCATTTTGCAATGAATGTATTATTTCATTTGATCTTTATAACAACCCTATGCAATGCAATCATTAATCTTATTTACCTGGTGAAGAAAATTAAACCTCAGAGGAGTTCGGTGACTTGTCCACAGTCACAGTGCATAAGTAGAAGAAGAGAGATTTAACCAGTTTTCTAGTGTTCTTTCTGCTGATTCAAACTGTGTCCATCCCGTCAGTAGATGCTGATATTTATCTTTTTTTCTTTTCACAGAACGTTCAAAAAACATTTTGCTCCCTGGAGGGGAAAATATATCTGTCAACTTACTAATTGGGTGGACTTTAGGGAAGAAAGTGCTAATGTTGTTACAAGCATTAAGTGAAATAATATATCTAAAGCACAGTTTAGACAACACCTAGTACATGTGAAAAAGAAGTTATTGTTATCATTATAAAGTTAAAGCCCATCACTTGTGTATCCTGGAAATTTGTACCAGGCACGTGGCTAGGTGCTAGCACTAAGTAAGAAACATGAAGTGGCCATGTCAACAAAGTTTATCCTGAACCACAGACAGGTCATCCTTGCTCCACCCTGTCACTCCCACTGCCACTGTTTCTACTTTGGTAGAGGCGGTTTTACAGAGTGGCCAAGAGTGTGAGCTCAGAGGCTGATTTCCTGGGTGTGAATGCCTGCACCACTACTTACTGGCTGCACGACCTTGGGCAAGCTGTTTAACCCCTCATTGCTTCAGTTGTAAATGGGAATACTAGCAATAGTAACTACATCTTAGGGTTGTTATGAAGATTCAAAGAATTTGCACAGGCAAAGCACATAGAGCTGGACTTGGCACATAATACGTGTTCAGTGTTTCAGATATATATACGAATGGATGGACGGATGGATGGATGGATGGATGGATGGATGGATGGATGGAAGGAAGGATGGATAGATATCTGTTTTTTCTTAGTTTTGCAGGTATTGGCCACATAATATGGCCTAGGAAGAAGAAAAGTCTAAGGAGGATTGTTAACCTCTCTCTTTCTGTCTGTCTCCATCTCTTTCTCTCTCTCAGGGCGAGCTCTTCCTGAACGACCAAACATGCAGAATTGTACAGCGGGAGCTCTTGTTTGACCTGGGTGTGGCCTATGGCATTGACTGTCTACTGATTGATCCCACCCTGGGAGGCCGCTGTGACACTTTTGCCACATTCAATGTCTCGGTCAGTCCTAAAAATACTACTCTTTTTGTAGTAAGAGAACCTTGCACCAAAGAACAGCTCTCATGACAGCATGGACCCTGCTGTGAAACCACTGAGGGCTAGTCCTCAGTGAACCTAGGACCCGAAGATCAAAGGTCAAATGACAGTGTTCTTCAGATTCAGAATCAACAAGCATCTACCTAACCCTGCATGGCCTTGCACATTTTCCTTTATCCAGCCAGCCACCCATCCATCTATTCCCTCGCCAACATTTATTGGGTACCAACCATGTGCCACCTATTCTGCCAGTCATTTTCAAGCCCACCCATCCACTCAGCTGTTCACTCATTCATTCAACAAACATCTTTTGAGCTTCTGCCAAATTAAGCCATATGAAGTTGCCATATTTGACAGGGTGTGACTACAAAAATGGCAATTTCATATGGTTCAATCTAATATTATATCCCACCCACACTGTGATTAATTTGCTCACTCATTAACAACATTGACTGAACTATCGTAGGCCCTGCACTATATGACGCATTTCCACATTTCACACTCCTTCATCCACACAGTACCATTTATTGAGTTTAGCTCCACTGCTCATCCTATCTCTACAATAATCCAATAAGAGATGTAGTTGTCATCGCCTCTATCATGTAAATTTGGAAACTGAATCTCAAAGAGGTGAAGTGACTTACATGGCAAAGGCTGTTGATTTTAATACATGGCAACTTGTAGATATTCAGTAAATATTTCCAAAGTATTAAGATACCAGTCAGCCAAAGGAGATCAAATCCTAATTGTCTTTTCTGCTATAGATGTTGTGGCCTTCTTAACTTCCAAAGTATATTTGCACACATTTTTTCGGTTAATCATTTTTCCTCACCAATCCCCTGAAGATCAAATAGCAGCAAGAATTATCATTCCTGTTATATTGATCAGAAAACTAAAGATCAAAGAGTGTGATTGGCCAAAAGTATCACAGCTGATTTATAGTAGAACTGACACTTCATCCTCATTTCCCACCGCCGTGGTGCCGTATGCCTACATAAAACTGCCCTGGTCCACCTCTGCGTAACAGGGAACTTTAATCTCAAAGAACTAAACCAAAGAGCTGAGGTCCCAGACAGACCTTCAGAATTCTTTATGGCAAAGTTAGAATATGTTTGCTTTTATATCCTGGATCATAGCCAGAATCTTAATCAAGATTCAGTTCCTAGTCCACTCATCAAATCATTAACCAGAGCGTTTCCTTCTGTTTCCCAATGGTCTTAATTTTTAAGTTTTTTTTTTTTTTTTTTTTTTTTTAATACTAGGGGGATTGTGGGAGCTGTGTCTATACTCCCAGCTGCCCAAGGTGGACGAAACCAAAGGTAATTATTAATGTGGTGATAATGTTTAGAGAGCTACAGGTTTGTTTCATTATCAGACCTCAATATTCTGATAGGTGTGAGCATGTGTGCATGTGTGTAGTTATGTAGGTATGTTGTATAACTGTAATTTATGTCATTCTTTCAACAACCAGGCCAATGGGGTGAGAGATGAACATTCTTAACCCAGATAACCTGTCGACTTACCATTTGTCTTCTAAGAACTGTCTAGAAAAGTTATAGGATTATAGACCTAGAAGGACATCAAAAAGTATTATAATCATAAAATAATGGCTTCATTTTGTTGACTGTTATCCATGTCCCGGACTCTGTGCTGGGCCCTTTGTTTATATATTATCCCTATTCTTCATTCTAACACTCATACTAAAGTATCATTACTTCCACTTATGAAAAAAAATGAGCCTCAGGAAGGGTAGGCAGTCAGCCCAAGGCCATACAGCTCATTAGGAGCAAAGCTAGGAGTAGAGCCCACAAAGCAGTGTAAGACTGATGGTTAAGCCAATGAAATTTACAGTCCACGGATACGGGGTCAAATTCCAGTGAGGAATCTTTAGGAGATCACATAGTCTATACGTTTTTGCCTCTGTAAAATGTATAACAATTCTGTATATGGCTATTAATAAGTTTTTAAATGTGAATACAGAGCCTAGCTCATAGTAAGTGGTCGATGAATATTAGTTTTATTACTTATTACAAAGCCAAGTTCTTTCTACTCTACTAGTAAAGCCTCTAACAAAAACACCCCTCCCAGATGGTTTTGGGGCCTTGCCACAGACCACTCCCATGATAGAAAGCTACCTCTCCCCCACTTCTTCCCCAGGCAACCGCACCTTTCGCAAACACTCTAAAAGTCAGCCAGTCAGTCCTTCTTCTTAAAACTGAGAGAAAATATTTCTCTATCTGCACCCTCCCTCATTGATTTGCCTATCTACGCCCCCCAAGAAAAAAATTCCCTGTAAAGGCCATTGAGTCCCATTTTTTATTTGGGCAGTACCCAGATCCTCCACTGGGGGCGGACTAGAGCCCAAATCCAGGTGATGGTTCACTTCTTCCATCAGGGTGTGAAGCAGAAGTGTCTGTACAACCTGCCCTTCAAGAGGAACCTGGAAGGCTGCCGGCAGCAGTGTGCCCTGGTGATACAGCTCTCCAGGTGCTGCAAGGGCTACTTCGGGAGAGACTGTCAGGGTGAGGGCGCCTCCTACTACCATGAGATTCCGAAAGGACTGTACAATCACTGTGCAGCATTTGAAAGTTTTGAAAGTACCAAAATCATAAAGTATGTATGTTGGAGGATGGGGGTACATTTTTCCGAATGACACTAAGAAAAGATCCAAAAGCAATCGTTCTGAAGAGTTGTGTATCTTTCCTTTTACTTTTTTCTTTTGTCGTATTTTGTTTTTTAGAGTTGAGACTCTACTGTGCATGGATCATATCATGCTTTTTGTTTACCATTATATCATAAGACATTTCCCATGGTGCTAGAAACACCATATTTCATTTTGTACTGTAGTCCATGATACTAATAAGCACATGAATTTAAGTGTATCTGGTAGAATTCTACTTTGGCAGAGTACTATACTAAGATGATATGTGTAGACATTATTTCCGTAAAAAAAAAAAAAACCTGTTACAGGATGTATAACATCACCCCCCACCCTTAATTACCTCACCAGGAAAGGGATCCTTGTCAAAGGGCATTTAGGCCCATTCTGAACCCCCTGTGTCTAAATAAAACTTCTGACCGATAATATATCAACAACAGCAGTGTAACAAATGTCATAGTACTTCCCATCTGCCAGGCACTGTTTTAAGTGAGCACACTGATTGAGTGCTACTTCTCATATATATCAAGACATTTAAACCTCAGAGCAACCCCCTAAGTAGATTACATTGTTATCCCCATTTTACAAATGAGAAAATGGAGGCACAGGGAGGAGAAGAAGCAAACGCAGGGACTCACAGCGTGTCTGTAGAAGCCATGATTTTATCTACCATGCACACTCCATTCGCCCTGATCCAGTTGAGAAATTTCTGGGCTGGGAGTCCACACAATCACCCAGCCTCCACTCTCCATCACTGCAGTGTGAACCACTCATAAAAATTAGTGCTATTATATTTTTCCAATGCTTTATCTGTTCAAAATGTTCTGTTGTACCTCATTTGATCCCATGTCACAACATGGTATGGGTCAAGTGGGTACTTTATCATCGTCATCATCGTCGTGATCTAAACTAGAGCTAAGAGAACTGAAGCTCAGAGAAAATTTGTTATTCAAGCCAGACTGACCCCAAAGCCAGTTCTTCTGACCCCCAAAATACAGTGTCTGGTACAGTACATTGCCCTGCCAAGGTGGGATCCTATCAAATACATTTAAGTTCATGTCCTAAACGTCATGACACTATGTGTTGTAAAGGAGGTTGGAACCCACAGCTGAGGAGGGGTTAACAGCATATTTACAAAGGCTGGGGAGACTGTTGAGTCCCCATGGTTTCATCTCTTCCAGCCTGCCCCGGAGGACCGGACACCCCATGTAATAACCGGGGTGTCTGCCTCGATCAGTACTCGGCCACTGGAGAATGTAAATGCAACACCGGCTTCAATGGGACGGCGTGTGAGCTGTGCTGGCCAGGGAGATTTGGGCCTGACTGTCAGCGTATGTAGTACCCACTCCCCTGTGCTTTTGCCTGTTCAACTGTGTGCTCCCATCATCCACGACATCTTCCTAACCTGGAAGCATCCTTCTTCTCCTCTCTCCCAGCCTCCCACCACCCATCTGCCTGCCCTTACATGCTTTTTCTCTCCTTGGATGTATTCCCAGTTTCCATCCAATGAAAGAGCTTCATCTCTAAAAGTGAAACTCACATCCCCTGCAGCCACCAAGACAAGCTGTGGCTGAACAACATTCATTCATTCTATTATTCAACCAACGTATATTACTGAGTCCTTACAAATATTGATAGATAACATTTATGGAGTGCCTACTATGTACCAGGCAGACACATTTTTCCATTTAATCTTTATAGCAGCCCTTTTAAGGTAGGTACTGTTATTATTCCCACTTAGCAAATGAGAAAACTGAGGCACAAAGAGGCTAAGTGACTTGCTCAAAAGCCAGGAATTGTTCTAAGGTGTGAGGATACAGCGGTGTGGGGAGGAGGCAAAAATCTCAGGTCTCAAGGAGTGTATATTCAAAGGGAGGGGACAGATAAAAACTGCAGAAGCAAAAATAATTATAAAAAAAACAGAACAAGGTAAAGGGGATCGAGAAAAAAAGGCACTGTTTTAGAAGTCATCTCACCCAGGGACAATTTGAGTAGAGACCTCGGAGAAGTGAGGGGACCAGGATATGGACCACAGCTCTGTCCAAACTTTCAGCAGCGCTGGAAATGTTCAATGACGCGGTTACCATCAGGAATGGTGGCTACTAGCCACCTGTGGCCACTGAGCACTCAAAACGTGTGACTGACTCATTGACTTTTAAATTTTAATTCGTATAAATAGTCACATGTGGTGAGTGGCTGCTGTGCCGGACAGTGCAGACAAGGGGAATGGCTTTCCTGAGAAGAGAGATGAGCAAGGGCCAAGGCCCTGAGGCAGGAGCAGCCTTGACACGCGACGGACAGCAAAGAGGCCAGGCTGGCCGAGCAGAGTGAGCAAAGAAGAGGAAGAGAGGAAGGAAATGACATCTGAATGTCGCAGGAGCCAGATTGCGTAGGAGCTTCTCGGCCAGAGAAAGATCTCCGGCATCTTTCTTAGTGCAGCGCGGCCAGCAGAGGGTTGTGAAGGCAGGAGCGTCATGAGCAGATGAGAGAGGACAGCTGCCGCTGCCCTGTGGAGAGTGTACTGCAGGAGAGCAAGAGCGGAAGCAGGGCCACCTTTGGGGGAGCTAATGCGACAGTCGACCAGATTGCGTAGGAGCTTCTCGGCCAGAGAAAGATCTCCGGCATCTTTCTTAGTGCAGCGCGGCCAGCAGAGGGATGTGAAGGCAGGAGCGTCATGAGCAGATGAGAGAGGACGGCTGCCGCTGCCCTGTGGAGAGTGTACTGCAGGAGAGCAAGAGCGGAAGCAGGGCCACCTTTGGGGGAGCTAATGCGACAGACAGTCGTGGTGACAGCTGGTGCTGCCTCGGGCTAGGGTGGCGGTGCTGGAGGTGGAGAGAGGTAGAGGGATTGGTTCGTAGCTTGAAGATTTTACTGTTAAATACGTTTCTCTGTTAGGAGAGCCGGGTAAGGCTCTTTCCCCCTTCTATGCTGTCACGTACCCCATCACATTCTCTACTGCTGTGTCTGTAACACGCCACATTTATAGTGACATGGTCAATAGGCAATTACTCCTAGACTATAAGCTCCATGAGAAGCGGGACCGTATCTCTTATGTTTTCCACTGTAACCTCATTTCCTAGTAGCGTCTGTTCCATGATAGCCACTGAATAGGATATTTTTGAATGTTGGAAGGAAGGGAGGAAGGGAGGGAAGGAGGGAGGAAGGAAGGAAGGAGGGAAGAAAGGAAGGAAGGAAGGAAGGAAGGAAGGAAGGAAGGAAGGAAGGAAGGAAGGGCAAAAGCATGGTGCCTCCCACACTGCCAACATAGCCAACAGGTGGTGAGCGAGCTGGTTGATTGGACTTCAATCCCTGATCACTGATTTCTGATCATACTCCAATTTGCTTTACAGCCTGTAGCTGCTCAGACCACGGACAGTGTGATGAAGGGATCACAGGCTCCGGGCAGTGCCTCTGTGAAGCAGGATGGACAGGCCGCTTCTGTGACACTCGGGCAGGTCTGTCATGGGAGTGGTCAGCCGCCAGTAGCACCAAGCTGCAGTAGACCCTGCTGAGAACATCCTGCTGAGGTTGGGGGCCTGAGCAACACCTGAAAAAAGGAAAAGCTAACACAGCAGGCGTTCCCTTTTCCATGTGGAAAAGATGACCTGGATATGGCCCAGGCATCAGGAGGTTTGGCAATTTGAAGGAAAAGTAGATGAAAAGATTTAATTTAGACCCTTGAAATCAGCATGCAGTCCTGGGCTCCCATGGAAGGACCCAACCCAGGCAAAGAATATAGGATCAGCAGAAATGGGGGGCATGGTCCTGGGCCCAGGTGAGCACAGACACACAAGCTGAGCGATTTCATAGGAAACGCACAGCTTTGAAGCCCAAAATTTGACCCCTGATTCTGCTACTTACTAAACAAATGGCCTTAGGTAACCCACCCCTTCTGAACCTTGATACGCTCATCCTTAAAGGCAAGTGCATATTGCACACTCCACGGGGGAGGATTGTTGTCGAGGGTCAAGGGTCATATTACGAAGCGCCCAGTGTGTGTGGGCACTTGGAAAGAGTAGCTGCCATTGTCATTGTCATCATTATCATTGCCATAGTCTCAAGCCTTACTGAGTAGTCAATGGTATAAATCATACCCAAAGCCTTATGTTCTTTGATCTAAGATGTGAAGGTTAAATTCTCTCAGCGAATCAGTGTCATTTCGTCCTCCTTGGGGTCAGAAGGGCAGGACTAAGCTCTTCCCATGGGCTTTGGCAACCTGAAGTTCCCGAATTCCAACAATACCCTTAACTTAGTTCCTTGTCCTCCCTTCTCCTCCTCCTCCCCTAATCCCTAACTGTCTTGTGGCTTGGTGCTGCCTGTTGATGCGACAGCCCCATCTAGTCACAAAAGCCCCAGACTTCTCTCAGACTTAGTAGTACCCTCAGAAGGCTGTGGGATTTCTGCTCCAATTTAACCCCTCTGTCCAGAACCGTATTCCCTCAGGACCAGAGAGCTCATCTGCCAAATTCATCTTTGCTAGCAAATTTTGAAGTATCAAGTTTTAATTAGTTTCCCCTGAAGATGACATATTTGCATTTTTATCTGATTAACACTGCAGAAATGAGGTCTTAATATGAAGGAGTAATTCTCAGAATCTCCAGGCTGGGAGGGACCTTAGCAAGTCACCCCACCCTCTCACTATAAGGCGACACTTTCGAAACACAGTGGCAGGCCAGAGAGTCTTGGGGATGACACCTTAGGTGGAGCAACCCTTCTCATCCCTACGCAGTGACCTTTGTCTTTGCAGTTCTGCCCCCAGTGTGCACACCTCCTTGTTCTGCTCACGCCACCTGTAAGGAGAACAACACGTGTGAGTGTAACCTGAATTACGAAGGAGATGGACTAACGTGCACAGGTGAGTCCCCTTCTCGCCCATGAGTGAAACAGCAGCCAGGTGCAGGAGCGGAGTGAGACTCGGTCAGAATGCCTGGGCTCCATCCTGGCCCTTCTACTTCCTGCCCAGGTCACTTAGTGATACCTACCCTCTCTGGGTTTGCTATTAATGGGTTTGCTCACACCAGAACTGCCTGCTTCCCAAATCGTGGTTTTGAAATTGCGTTGCAAACTGCGATGTACTTTATTTCATAGTGTTTTTCTAACTATGAGTAATGCAGTCTTACTTCAAAAAATTCAGAAAATACGTTACAATATTTAAAAAGCAACAGTTAAACTAATATATACTTTTACCACTCCGTGAGAACCACTCTGAACTTTGCAATGTCCATCTTCAGTGGTTAGGATATTCAGTGGTTAGCCACACACAGACCCAAATGGACAGTGGCATAAACAAGATGTTTAGATGTTTATTTTTATCTCATATAACAGTTTGGCAGGAGGCATCCAGGGCTACATAGGGTGTCACTCTGAAAAGTCATCTGAGAGCCCAGACTCTTTCTATTTTCTTGCTCTGCCATCAGTCACTTGCCGGGCCCATGATGGCTACTACCATGAACACATCCCAGGCAGCAGGATGGAGCCCAAGAGGAAGGAGATAAACCTCCTTTCCTTTAAGGACACACCCAGTAATTGCTAAAATCCAGTCTGCTCTTTTCCCATTGGTTGGACCCTCATCATCTGTCACATCTAGCAGCAAGGGAGCCTGGGAAATATAGTCTTTCATTGGGCAACTGTGAGCCCAGCTAAAAATCTATTACTATATATAAAGGAGACAGTAGGTATTGGCGAAAGCTACCAGTCTTGGCCACAAGTACTTTCTTTTATCATAAAGATAAATATTCATATAGAGATATAGATTTTCTTTTTTTAAAAAAAAAAAAAAAGGGGGGGAGGTCTTGCTATACCTGCTGTTTTGTAGTGTGCTACAGGTAGTCCAGAAGTGGGTCAGCACTTAACGGTGGCAGCAAAGACCCAGGTCTGTCTTTCTGCCCTGCCAACCTCAGGGTGAAGCCTTTTGTCCTCATGTCCATTCTCTCGGGGTCTCAAGTGGCTGCCACGTCTCCAGGCAAAAAGACAGGCAAGAGAAATCAGATGGCTTTTCAGCTACTCCTGAGGCTAGAGATAATATATTACTGAATTAAAATTTGGAGGGTTTTGAAAACAAAGATCCTAAGAGGCAGCATCACACAGCTGGGAAAGCATGGGCTGTGGAGTCAAACCAAATTGGGTTTAAATCTCAGCCCCGCCACGCTTTAGCTGTTTTCCCTGTCAGGTCAGTGAAGTTCTCTGAGTTTCCGTTTATTCATCTGTAGGCTGGGAATACAATGTCTATCTCACAGGTGCTCAGTAGTGCACGAACCCTACACATACTTATACACACAGGTTAACTGTCCTAACATTAGAAACCCAAACTCACTTTTTTATTTTGAATAATTTTAGTAGAAAATGATTACCAAAGTGGAGCCTAGAAGTATGTGACATAGGGGACAGAAGCGGACAGATATCTTCAGGCCTGGTCTAGGGTACTAGCTACAGGGTATTAGTGTTGGCAAAGGCTAACACAGAGACCGCAGCGCATGGGGAGAGAAGGTGCCGACACGTTGGGGCCCATTCACTCCCTTGGTGTTACTCATCCTGTGACCCATACTCCCTAATCCGAAGCCCCAGTTACACAGTAGCTCACTGAGCCCTCTCTCCTGCTCTTGCAGTTGTGGATTTCTGCAAACAGAACAACGGGGGCTGTGCCAAGGTCGCCAAGTGCTCCCAGAAGGGCACAAAGGTGTCCTGCAGCTGCTCGAAGGGGTACCAAGGGGATGGCCACAGCTGCACAGAGATAGACCCCTGTGCGGACGGCCTCAACGGCGGGTGTCATGAGCATGCCACCTGCAAGATGACCGGCCCGGTGAGTCTCTCCTCCTCAGGAAATTTGAGAGCAGTTTCTTGTGCCTCACTCAGCCTTGCTTCTCTACTCGTCTTGCCCTGCAGCCTCTTCCTAGGCATTCTTCCCACCTGGGTCTATTTTTTCTTAAGTGGGCAGGCGAAATGCAAGGTGATATTCTAAGCAATAAAAGGACATGAGAAAGCCACAGAAAGCCTATCGTTTAGTGGATAGACGTGTACCAACACTAAGTTCTTAGTTTTGACAAGTGTACTGTGGTTATGTAAGATGCTAACATTCGGAGAAACTGGGTAGAGAGTCAATGGGACCTCCCTCTGCTATCTTGCACCTTTTCTAAACTCCAAAATTATTCAAAATAAAAAAGTGTATTAAAATTTTTTTAAAAAGCTGGTCAGAAACGGCAGGAAAAGTGCAGGTTTGGGCACTCCCTCGAGCCTTTCTAGAATGGAATCAGTGCCCTGTTTGTTTATCTGGTGGGAAGAGAAGATGGTGGAGGGTAATGTCCCTGGGGTTATCAGCATGAACTTTGAGTCTAGGCTCCTGCACTTACATGCTGTGTGGCCTGGAGCTGACTACTTAATCTCTCTGAGCCTGTTTCCTCATTTGCAAAGTAGACCCTCTAGAATTATTGTGGAAATTAAATGAGATCATTCATTGATTCAAGAAATGGTCTTCAAACGTCTACTATGCATTGTCGCAGGGATGTAGCAATAAAAATTCTATATATGAACGAGTCAAGGGAGGGGGCAGTGCTCAGTGCAGAAACAAATGTACAGGATATGTCAGAGAGCACCCAGTCGGGGGGAACATAATCGGGCCAATGTGATGGAAGCGGCTGGGAGAGCTACTTTATTCAGGGGCATCAGAGAGGCTCTCTCCAGGGAGGCAACTTATGAGCTGAGACATAAAGGATGACATTTCATCATGAGCCTGTACAAACACAACGCGTCCCACCGGACAGGAGAGATGATTATTCTTGGTCCTTCCACATATCTCCTATGCTGGATGGTGGCCCGCGGAGCACTTGTGCGTCCTGGGATCCTAGAGAAAGGGCTTTTTCATCTTTTCCTCTCTCCCCACAGGGCAAGAAGAAGTGCGAATGTAAAAGTCATTACGTGGGGGACGGGCTGGACTGCGAGCCAGAGCAGCTGCCCATTGACCGCTGCTTACAAGACAACGGGCAGTGCCACGCCGATGCCAGCTGTGCCGACCTGCATTTCCAGGGTCAGTGTGGCTAGGGGCTGCTGGCCCAAAGCGCTTGGTTTTCAGGCTTGGGGGAGGGATCTGTGCAAGGGCGAAAGAAAAAAATTTTTTAACTTAAAATTTTTAATTTGTTTTTTAAATTTTAATTTAAATTTTAATTCGAATTTTTAAAATGAAAAACTGGGAACCAAACAGCCCAAGCATTGGCCGGACCCAGGGCCCAGGAGGCAGTGGGCCTCTGTAGTGGAGGGTCCACGTAAACTCAGAACTGGACCCTGAGCCTCGAGAACCAGGAGGGAGCTCGAAGGTCGTCTCTCATGAGTTTTCTTTGCTTTCTGCAAGTTGCTTAGTAACCCCTGCAACCAGTTGATTGGAACTGAATCTGAAGAGCATAATTTAGGGTTTACATAACCAAAGAGGAAGCACCTGCTACATTCAGAAGCAATTTCTTAGCAACTGTTTTGATAGTAGCACATTAATTGGCATAGGCCCCACTCACTTCCAAGGATGATTTGAATGTCTGATAATAAACTCACAGGCATAATGAAGCTGAGAAGTACAGAGGGGCAGGCATTTGGGCATCTTGGAGGAAAGCCCAAAAGGACCCAAATACTCGTTCTGAGCCAGGGTGAGGAGGGGCCTCAGAGGTTCAGAAAGCGATTCAGGGCACTGCATCTTATGGCTGATGGGATGTCTCTGACTAGGTTGGTTCTGCTTTACAGACATGATGATTTTAGTGAAGCAGTTTTTACACATTTAAATAATAACTATTGACTTAATACCTGTTATATACTGTCTTAGTCCATCTGGGCTGCTACAGTAAAGTACCATAGTTTGGGTGGCTTATAAACAACAAATTTATTTCTCACAGTTCTCGAAGCTGGAGATCTGAGATCAGAATGCCAGCACGCAGGCTTCTAGTGAGGGCCGTCTTCTAGGGTGCAGACTGCCAACTTCTCATTGTGTCTCGCATGGCAGAAGAGGCAAGGGAGCTCTCTGGGGTCCCTTTTATAAGGGCACTAATCCCATTCGTGAGGGCTCCACCGTCACAACCTCATCACTTCCCAAAGGCCTCACTTCCTAATACCATCCCATTGGGGGTTAGGATTTCAATATATGAACATTGGGGGGACACAAACATTCTGTCCATAACATATATCAAGTCCTAAGACCCCTCAAATTTCTTTGAGAGATGAGATAGAGGATGCGTATTAGCAGAGAAAATATCTAGGATATATAACATTGTCTGCTTTCAAGGAGATGCCCAATGTAGCTGAAATTTTTATCATACCAGGAAAAGAAAGTATTAAGACAGAAGACAGCAATTTGTCTGATGCTGATGATGCAACTGAAATGAGACAGAAAATGAGACAAAAATTGAAAGCAGGGACTCGAACAGATATTTGCACATCCATGTTCACAGCCGCATATTCACAATAGCCAAAAGGTAGAAACAAGCCAAATGTCCATCAACAAATAAATGAATAAACAAAATGTAATATATCCATATAATGGGATATTATTCAGCTTAGAAAAGAAATGAAATTCTGATACATGCTACAACATGAAGGAACCTTGAAAACAGCACCCTATCTAAAATAAGCCAAACACGAAAGGACAAATTTATGATGCCACATATAGAGACTCGGTAGATTGTCTTCCACTTTAAAGTCCTTCAAAGTCCTTCGCAGGAAGTACTGCCAACCAGGCAGGCTGACCTGGGCGATGCCTCACCTTCCCCTGCCAGATTCCACCGTTGGCGTGTTCCATCTTCGCTCTCCACTGGGCCAGTACAAGCTGACCTTTGACAAAGCCAAAGAGGCCTGTGCCAACGAAGCTGCAACCATGGCAACCTACAACCAGCTGTCCTATGCTCAGAAGGTGGGTCCCCAGTTAGTGGCACCATGCAGGCAGGATCTGCTGGGAGGAGCTAAGCACTCTTCTTACCATGGGGAGACTTAGGCTGTTGCCTTCTTGGACGGGGGTACAGGAAGCTCCTGGAGCTATAATGATTTGTCACATCCTTTAAAGTGTCTACAATGTGAAGGGTGGTTTGTTGATATTACTGTCCATCCTTACAACATCCCTGGAGGTACAAATAGGGCAACCAACGCTCTGAAAAGTTAAATAATGTGCCCAATGTCACCCAGATAAGAAGTGCCAGATCCAGTATTCAAATGTGCCCTGACTCCAAAAGTCTGTTTTCTACCATGGCATTCAACTGCCAAGACAGAGGTACAGAATGAGAGTGCATAGCTCACAGCTGAGAACCGGAAAGAGATCAATAACCACAAGGCTTGGATCTCCCTGAACCCACAAAGCAGTCGAATTTCTCTGAAATAGCTAGAGCTCTCTATGTCTGGAGGGGCTGTGAAGTGGATTGCCCCAGCTCAGCCACAGCCAGGCAGGAAATGGAGCTCTGGCCAGCGCTGCTCTCTTGGCCTCTAAAACCAGAAGCCCTGTCTATTGGGAAAGGCCAGCATCTTGAAGGTACCTGCTAGTGACTGCCTACTGCCTTAGAGGAGGTGATTTTTTGCTCTTCCTTCAACCTCCGTCACTACCAACTCTCTCCACCTTTCTTCAGACCTGATGTTTCTTTACCAAGGAGCAAAGCCTTTGATGCCAGAACCAGCATCTTTGAGGGGCTGAATTTCTGCTCTCCTGCTTGCTGGTTGTTTGGCCTTGATCAAGCCATTGCAACCTCTGTGCTACTTGGGATGTTTATAGGAGGACTAAAGGCGATAGGGCACAGTGACTGGCACACAGTAGGAGCTCAGTTGTTAAGAGTAAAAGCTCTAGAGTAGACTACCTGGGTATGAATCTCAGGGCTGTGTGACTTGGAGCAAGTTACTCAATTCTTCTTTGCCTCAGTTTTCTCAATTATATGATAGGGATCTTTTTAAGTTCCTATCTCAAAGTCTTGATGACACATGAAAAGCCCTTGCAATAGAACCTGGCTCAGAATAAGCTCTCAGTAAGTGTTATGGTGATGATGATGGTGATCACAGTGAGGATGATGATAATGGTGGTGATGGTGATGATGATGGTGGTGATGATCAACAGGGCTCTATCAACTCATAAGCAGAAGAATTTGCACTCAGGGTTAAATGGCTGATAGCAAATCCTTAAGAGTGGAGAGAAGAGAAATGAGTGTGAAGGATTCAGGCACCTATAAGAAAGAGAAGGCACCACTTTCATTCATCCAATGGCTTAATCGACAAAAACTTAATGAGCACCTACTATGTTTCAGGCTTAGGGACACAGTAGGCAAAATGAGACTCCATAGAGTTTACAGTCTGATGGGGGAATCAGATGTTAACCACAGGAGCCCACAACAAATATGAAATTGCAACTGATCTGTGGCCACATGTGTCCCTACAGGCCAAGTACCACCTCTGTTCGGCAGGCTGGCTTGAGAGTGGGCGGGTCGCCTACCCCACAGCCTATGCCTCCCAGAACTGTGGCTCCGGCGTCGTTGGGATAGTGGACTATGGACCAAGAAACAATAAGAGTGAAATGTGGGATGTCTTCTGCTACCGGATGAAAGGTAACTGCCCCAGCTATACTTCAGATTCCAGGCCATGAAGCTGCCGAGCAATCCTCAGCCTGGCCAGCCAATCTCCCAGGGTGAGCTTGGCAGCCCAGATCCCTGCCTCACTGCAGTGGGACCCCATGTGCTCCTGCCTTCCAGATGTGAACTGCACCTGTAAGGTGGGCTACGTGGGAGATGGCTTCTCGTGCAGTGGGAATCTGTTGCAGGTCCTGATGTCCTTCCCCTCACTCACAAACTTCCTGATGGTACGTACCATGTCTGTTTGCTTTCACCTCAGGGAAGGAGGGGTTGCTTCAAAGCAAGTATGATAGAAAGGTAAGTCCTGGAATGAAGGCAAAGGCTCATAGTCGTGGTTAAGAGCATGGACACTAGACCACATGGTCTGAATTTGAAGCTTGGGTTTGCCACTTGTTGCTTCACCTTAAAGTTACTTTCCTCTCTGGGCCTCAGTTTCCTCATCTGTAAAATGGAAATAATGAAAGCACCAACCTCATAGGGTCATTGCGATAATTAAATGAGTTAATATTTATAAAGCACTTAGACCCGTGGCTAGCACGTGGAAAATGCTATATTGATGTTAGTAGTATTATTATCTCTATTTGCATCTAGATTGGCTTAAAAGTCTGATCTACAGAAATGAGATGCTCTTTTGTCTTCATGGGCAGGGTGGGACACAATGAGCTAAGCTTGCTTGGTGATCACCCAGTGAGCCAAATTACCGACATGATGTCAGCTTGCATTTTGCACTGCACTTAAAAGTCACTTCAATATTCTGCAAGTTGTGTCTAACGAAGAGGAAGCCTTCTTCCTTGGAGAAGGATTTGTTATTGACTGATCTAAGAACTGAGCTAATAATAACAATAACAAGAATAGGTAACATTTCTTGAGCATTTACTTTGCACTGGGCACCATACTGAGCCCTCTCAGAGCACTTTTCACTCAGTCCACAGAATGTAAGCTCTGTAAGGGAAAAGATTTTCTCTGCTTGTGGCTGGCATATAGTAGGTGCTCAGTAAATACTTGTTAGAAGGAATAAATCCTCATGCAACCTTATAATGTCACTTCCATTATTCCCATTTTGTAGATAAAGAAATTGAGACTTAGCAAGGTCAAGGACACAGCCAAGGAGCGTGGACTAGGCATAAATATAGGGCTTTCAGGATCAAGGCAAAAGTTAGAAGGAGAACCCCAAAATGGTGAGTCATTGTCCACAGACCAAAGGTATCAACCTAACTGGTATAAAAATCAGGATTACCATAAATAGTCTAAAGAAAAACACCCAAACCAACATTTCTATGTGGGAGCTTGTGGCAGCATGTCAGAGAAAAGACAGTATCAGAATAAAACCCACTGGCTGTTTGTCCTTCAGCAAATTAATTTCTCAGGGCATGAGGAGTCCTGTCTGCACAAAGACAGAGTTGAACGGGATAGTGTGATTTCTTAAAATTTGTTCAGTGTGTATTTATCGTGTGCTTGATATGTCAGTGAACAAAATAAACCCAGAAAATAAACAGAATAAGCAAGTAAATAATGTCGAATGCTAGTAGACGATACATACTACGGCGGGGAAAGTAGAGCAGGGAGGTGAGGTGTGGGGGAGGGGTGCCGCAGTCCTCCTATTTTGCAGAAAATGAAGAGGGAAGGCTTAGTGAGAAGGTGACATCTGAGTAAAGTGTGAACAGAGGAGAGGGAGTCAGCCATGCCGATTCGGGGAAAGAATGTTCCAGGTGGAAGGAACATCCAGGCAAAGGCTGAAAGGCGGGAGTGTGCCAGGCAAATTGGAGGGATAGCGAGGAAGCTGGTACGGCCGGAGCAGAGTGAGTGAGAGAGAGAGGGGAGCTGGGCACAGGGTCAGCGGGGCAGCAGTGCCCAGGTGGTTTGGGCCTCGTGGGCCGTTTTAAGGACTTTGATGTTTCCTCTGAGCGAAGCCAGGGACATTGCAGGGTTTTGACAAGAGGAGACTCAAGATTTGACTTACCATTTCCAAGAGCTGCGTGGGCTGCCAAGTCTTCTGGGCTTATTAGGAACTGACCTGTCAATTCGCAGCATATTGAGAATGGTCCATGATGAGGCTGTGACTTGAGACCTTGGGATTCTTTGCGGAAAAGTGCACCCAAAACCCCCACAGAGTAGTCAGAAGAGACAGCAGAAGAGTGAGGCTAATGGCAGGAATATTCCCAGACGCGAGCCTCTCCAGCCACTGCTGTCCTTACACACCAGAGCTGGCACATCTGATGGCTTCCTTCCTCTCCCCAGGGAGTGCTGGCCTATTCCAACAGCTCAGCCAGAGGCCGGGCGTTTCTGAAACACCTGACTGACCTGTCAACTCGCAGCACCCTCTTCGTGCCACAGAACAGCGGGCTGGGGGAAAATGAGGTGAGTTGGGTCTCCGGCGCCTGTGCCGTAGACTAGCACTTCTAAACAGAATCAGTTACGTACGATCACAGTGATGCTATGTCACAACCCCCGCCAAAACTCAGTGGTGGCTACACATTTATTGAGTTTTCACATCTGCAGATTGGCTGGAGTTCCTCCGGTCTTGGCCAGGCAGGCTCACCTGTCTGAGATGGGCTGGCTAGCAGCTGATCTAGGCTGGCCTGGCTGGGGCTGCGCTCCGCAGGGCTCACCCTCCAGCAGGCTAGCCCGGGCATTCTCATGGCGATGGCAGGAAGTGGTGAGAGCAAGCCCGATCCGGCCAGTCCTGCCTGGTCACATTTGCTAATATGTCACTGGCCCAAGAAGTCACATGGCTGAGCCCAAAGTTAGAGTGGGAGGCTTTCAGAGTTACATGGCAAAGGCCAAGGCTATAGGCACGGGTGAAGAACCAGGGCCACTGATGCGACCAGTCTGCCACACCAAACTTCATCACGTCATGGCACACAGGAACGGGCAGTGTTTACTCAGTCCTCCCACGGATGGCTGACCTGTAGGCTCTGATAGCCCCAGGCCCTACTCACCCCTCACCCCTAATGGCTGAGAGGAGCAACACCTCTGCCCACTTGTTACCCTCTCAAGGCTCACTTCTCCCAGGACACCATCAGGAAGCTCTGCTTGGATCATAAAGATGACTTTCAATGCACATCCTAGCGAGAGGTGAGCCTCTAGCATGGCCCAGACAACCAAAAGCCTGAAAAACACTTGACATTTCGTCATCTCCACATGGAGGCAGAAAAGCCAAGGCCATGAGAAGTGACTTTTTTTTTCCTGTGTCATCCTTATCGTTAAAAAGAAAAATATTGTTTGGCCCTTCAGAACTATCTTGTGTTTCTCCTTTCCTCTCAGACGCTGTCTGGGCGGGACATCGAGCACCACTTCGCCAATGTCAGCATCTTTTTTTACAATGACCTTGTCAACGGTACCATCCTGCAAACTAGGCTGGGAAGCCAGCTGCTCATCACCTCCAGCCAGGATCAGGGCCAACTGGTATGAAAAGTCTTCTGGGCTTATTAGGAAAACTGGAGATAATATATGCCCACTATCATAATGTGAAACTACACTCTTAACCTGCATGTAGCAGATGGTATTAGCTGCACACCATAGCACATCACACAAACTATTAGGCCACCCTTATTCGTTGGAAAATAAGCCATTGGTGAGGACCAGTCTCAGAAGTTGGTAATGAGGGACTGTAAATGAAACCACCTTAAAGCCGTCTGATTCTCTGCCTTCGTTTCTGTCAGACTATCAGCCTATCCCAGGCATGAACATGTAAGCCTTGAAGTAAATGACCCTACTATGAAAACCACTTCTGCCACTTACTAGCTGTAGGAACTTAGACCAGTTATCCAACTTCTCTGTGTCCCAATTTCCCTGTCTTAAAAATGGGAATGATGGTGACGTGTGGATGATGTTGACAATGATGGTGATGATGATATCGGTAGCAGTGGTGGCCGTGATGGTGATGGCGATGATAGTGATGGTGATGTTGGTGATGATGGTGATGGTGACATTAATTTTGATAATAGTGATTGTGGTGATGCTGTTAATGATGGTGATGGTGTTGATGTTGAGACAATGGTGGTAGTAATGATATTAATGGTGATGGTGATGATTATGATTATTTTGATGGTGGTGGTGGTGGTGAGGGTGGTGAGGATGATGATGGTGATTTTGATATTAGAAGTGATGTTGATCGTGGTGGTAATGATGAGCTTGACAACCTTGATGTCAAAATCATAGGCTCTTGTGGGGATTCAGTGATTCAAGACTTACAACATGCAAGACTAGTGCCTGGCATGTACCAAATGCTAAGTGTGGTTTTTTAAATTTTTACCTAATAAAAGATTTCTACTATTGAGGATCAGTAGTTTAGACCAATGCTTCTCAAACTTTAACAGGCACTTGAATCACCTGCAGATTTGTTTAAATGCAGGTTACTTAAGCAGGTGGAGTGTGGGGCCTCAGGTTCTGTCAGGTGATTGCCGACACCACAGGCCAGTGGATCATGCTTTCATCAGCAAGCATTAGATCACTTAAAAATCTCTTTTCTAACAATGTGGGGTGACGTTCAGGGCAGTGGATCTGGAGTCCAGGGCCATGGGGTTTGCCACTTACTTCCTCGGTGATCTTGGATTAACCATTTTCCTCCTGAACCTTCATCTGTCAGACAAGAGGGCTGGACAAATTACCCCGTAGGTTCTCTGCAGTTCTTAGATCAAGTTGTTGGCACAAGGACAACTAATGTGTTCTGGTTGTCCCGATAGTGAAGGTGTCCCTACTGACAGGAAGTGGGCTGCCTGTTGGTGAAGACGGGCCTGAAACCCAGGCTCCGAGACCTGAAGCAAAATGAACAACTTCCTTTCACCTAGGGAGAAAGAGTCAAATGACCACAGATCTTCAGCCCTCTTGTTTCCCTAGGAGACCAGGTTTGTCGATGGAAGAGCCATTCTGCAGTGGGACATCTTTGCTTCCAATGGGATCATTCATGTCATTTCCAGGCCTCTAAAAGCACCTCCTGCCCCAGTGGTGAGTATCCAGGGCTCCTGGAGAGGCGCCGGCAGGAGGCCGATGTCCACTGCCCAAGAGGCAAACTGTTGCTGGAAGCCCTGTCCACCCGCCTCCCCTGGGAACTGGAGGAGCCTCCCCGACCCATGGCAGCTGGCCTTGGGGATGCCTGGCCCTGGTTCTTCCACCCCTATTCCTCTGCGTTAGCAACCCAACATCTGTCACCATTAACACTTCAATGAAAGGGACAGGATGGGCCCGTGAAGGAACCACTGGAAGAACAGGAAATCCTGAGCCCCTCCGCTTCACAGCTGTGTGATCTTGGACAAGTCCCAGAACTTCTCTGAGCCCCATTTTTCTTACCTGCAAAATGAGGGTCATAATGCCTTCCTCTCTGGGTTCTTGGGAGGACTAGGAGTTAATGGAAAATAATTAGGACAGTTCCCAGCACCTGGTGCATGCTGTATAAGAGTCAGGTGGTTGGTTGGTGTTGTTGGTATCTTAACTTTGTTCTAAAGATCTGAGGGAGGGGTGAGCACAGCTGGCTGCTGGGAGGTTCCATAGCATAGTGGTTGAGTGCGTACACTCCAAAGCCAAGCTTCAAAGCCCGCCTCTGCCACTCATTGGCTGTGTGATACTAGGCAAGTGCTTAACCTCTCTGTGCCTCAATTTCCCTATATAAAAATGGAAACAATAATAACTGTCCTTATCCCTTTGGGCTACTATATGCTCAAATGGATTCTTTCATATAAAGGGCTTAGAAGAGACACTGGCAGTAGTAAGAGTAGATACATGTTAACTATTTTATCATGGTTTTTATTCCAACTTGCTCCAAGATGCCCCAGCCCAGCAAGAATGCAGTAGGCTCCAGAAAGCATAGGTCTTTGGGGACCAAAGCAGCAGTTTTAGGTATCGACCCCCCCCCTTTCTGTGTTCAGACTGCAGTCCACACTGGCTTGGGGACAGGGATATTCTTTGCCATCACCCTGGTCATTGGTGCCATCGCTTTGGCTGCGTATTCTTACTTCCGACTCCACCGGAGAACGACTGGCTTCCAGCGTTTTGAGGTAAGAGCAAGAAAAATGGGAATATGCGACGGGGGTCTCTTTGCAATCCAGCCCTCGGCGCTGGGCAACTTCAGCTGACGGCAGCTTCCAAGAACTCACCCAGCCGTGGGGCACTTGGCACACACATCCTGCCTCCTGGGTGGGGTCTCTGCCCCACGAGCAGCAGTGGTGGCTGCTCCAAGCCCCTCTCTTCCTGGCCGAGAAGGTGATGGGCCACCAATAGCACAGACCCTCTGTGCCAGGAATCTGGCTTGGTAGCAGATTCGCCAGGGCCCAGGAGGCACACATCTTGGAGGATTCACGAGACAGGTGCCCACTATGATTGGCTTGGGCTTCAGGACTGATTCTGAGGTGGGGGACCGGGTGGGGGACCTGCACAGTGAGGCCTCATGCTGCAGCCAGCGAAACGTAATGCCTATTTGTTTTTGAATTTGAAACATTTCGCCCTATTGGAACTGTTGAGCCTCTATCTGGACTGTAGAGTGACCCCTGGGGACCTGGCCCTCCCTCTCCGCTCACTGCCTCCTCCAGACACGCCTGGTAAAGACCACAGTGTCCCCAGGCAGCCCCTCACATCCTTCTAGCAGATAACCTGCCTATCGATTCGCTTCAGAGGCGAATCTCAAAAATATCATTTTTAGCACAAGTGTGCATGCTGTTGAATCCCTTTTAAATTAAGTTCAAGGGCAGGCAAAACCGCTCCCAGGTGATAGAATTCAGAACAGCAGTTACCCCTGGTGGGATTGGGTGCTGGGGGTCCAGTGGCTTGAGAGCACTGCCTGGGGGCATGGAAATGCCCTATATGCTGATTTGGGCGATGGTCACACCTGGGTGGGACTATTAAGAGGTCATTGAGCCGACCACTTAAGATGGGTGCATGTTACTACATGTGAATCAGATCTCAAAGTACTATTAAAGTTCCAGAGGTGGAGGTGGGGTCTGGGTTTGCTTTACCTGTGGACTTGGAGGAGCTGCCCCTGCCTTGGGGACATCCTGGCTCTCAGCCTCGGTGCTTGTCTTTCTGAGCAGTCAGAAGAGGATATTGACGTCACAGCTCTTGGCAAGCGCCAGCCTGAGAACGTCTCAAACCCTATGTATGAAAGCGCCACCTCGGCTCCCCCAGAACCTTCCTACGACCCCTTCACGGTAAGTTTGCCTTTTTACCCTAGGGACAGGGCCAGTTGGGGTGCAAGGAATGATGTCTTGCAGCAAATCTCTGTGGACAGCGTCACACCAAGAACAGCTCACTTCTAGAACACGTCTCCGGGCAATGAGCCTAAAGGCAGTCATGGTATTGCAGAGTGAAGCCACGTCTCGTGCAGTGCTCCTGGGTTCTTTTGTGGGGGTGGCTGAAGCCTCCAACAATTAGAGACAGGGGCGAACTAGGGATTGCCCCACCCAACCTCATGACCAAGTGACATGTCACAAGAAGAAATGGGCTAAATTCCGCCACAAACATTTATGAGGTAGCCGTGGCAAAGTAAGACATAAAGCCTTAAAAAGAGTGTGTTTCCTTTAGTTATACTTAAAGTTATATTTACATTGCTGGCAAAGATGGTTCTGCCTGTCGTCAGCTGCTGCTTGCTTTCGGAGCTCCGTTCCTTTGATGAGGTGTTTTATATCTAGAAGTACATGCTCTGCTCTCATATCCCAGGAAAAGACCTTTAGTTAGTGATCCTTGAGCGCACTTGGGGCCCCCACTGACTTCAACCCAAGGGGAAGCCTGCAGCAAGGTACCCCAGTCACACTGAATGTGGAAAGTACACCCTGCCTGAAGTTTATTACCTGGGCTGGCCTGAGAAGCTAGGGATAAAACTTAATTCTTCCTTTTATATAAAGATAAGAAAAACTGACAGCCAGTAGGATGCAGGCCCTTTTGTACCTCATCAGCCTGAGCTGATGGCCTTACTCAGGTCCAGGGAAATACAGTACTTGAATCTAGGCTTGTTTGGTTCTAGAACCCTCCCGCAGTTATAGCCAAAAAAAGAGCTGCTGTAATCGTTACGTGCATGGACATGTGCTGTTCCTCCCCCGCAAGACTAGATCCTGGTTGAATATTTGTAAGTTGGCACTGAAACGTTACAAAAATATTTTATTGCACCATTTTCAGCTTGTGTTGTGCTATAGATGTTTTTTTTCTGCAGTGAACCAAATGTAAATACCATGTGGTCCTTAGTGCCTGTGGCAGCAGATATCCTACAGCTGCAACAGATTGAAAAATAACCAGATCATAGATCCTCTTGTTTTTCAATCGAACCGATGTAAAAATTTCTAGTACAGATTGCAAAGTTAAGTTCACCTGGGCTGCTATTTTATTTCTGCAAGCATTATGTTGAAATCATGTTTAAAAATGGGAGAAAGTTATCCATTCTGTTCAATGCATTCCGTGCCTTCTCAGCTCTCTTCCAAGGGCCCATCAGCACCATGCATAAGACTCACGTGAGGCGGGCGAGAGAGCATCTTGGATGCAGGATTCAGCTAAACCTTCCAATCAGACCAGGTGGAAAAAATGCTCCAGTAACGAACCCCTGCGCCAAGGGTGCCATTCCCCAAAGTGACGTGCTAGATTCTCATGTCTTTTATATTTAAGGACGGGAGATGCCTATAGACTCTGGTGCCAATCCAGACATCTTGAATACATCCATTATGCTAATTGACAGAGCTTTGGTGCTGATCAGAGCTAGACAGCAGAAAGCTTGGGGCGGCTGCCTCTGGAACACGGCTTCTGATTGACTCGAAAGCTCAAGGGCCACCCCTGGTTTATGATGAATTTTCAACCTGAAAGAATTTTTTAGTAATCATATGAATAGCCACCTTTGTGAGGTGTTTGTACCTTCCTTAATAGCTAATTTAATCTTCGCACCTCCCTGTAAGGTAAATATTAGTATGACCCTCTAGAAATGAGGAAACTTCCACAGAGTTGAAATGATTTGTCCAGGGCACACAAGCTTCAGACAGCAACAAGAGCCCCCAGCAGTGGCCTTAACCATCGTACCATCTTCCCTCCCAACCCGATGCATGGAGGAATGCTCCTGCCACACGCGTCCCCGGGGCATTGTGGAAGAATCGTATTTTAAGCTGTAGGAGAGGGAAGTTTTTCCTCAACCATCTTAGGGTCCCTGGCTGGGTCTGAAAAGTCAACTGACAGATTCACAGCAGAAAAGCACGCGAATATTATTGAACGTTTACATGGACGTAGGAGCCTTCACAAGAGAATGACGCCCCGAGGAAGGGACCAGAGCAGGAAGCTTTTATACTTTTAGACAAAGCAGCAACATATCTGTGAAGATTTGACAAGACAAAGAGGTTTGGGCTAGGGGTTAAGTTAGTTTAACAAGGTTGGTTTGTACAGATTTCCTGACCCCAAATTCTTCATCTCTGGGGATGTGTCTTCTTCCTTCTGGTACCAGAAAGGGACTTTCCACATGGGAGTTTTATGACCTATTTCAGGGAAGAAAGAAGATGGGGGGAGGAAGTCAGAGGGACTTTCCCGCTTCTGCCGTTTTAGCTTTCTTTTTTAAACTCTTCAGCTTAAGATATTTAATATGCCAAGGTTCTATATTTTGGGGTAGTGTGTCCTGAACCCCATCGAGGCCTTGGACTGGTGGCTAAAACAAATGCTCGTCCTGGAAAGGGTCAACAAGTGGAAGGTCCTGTGTCCTCCCTGCGTTTCACAGGCGACTCTTTTCCAGGTCTCTGAAGAGCAGCAGCTGGAGAGTGGTGACCCTCTGGGGGTGCAGTGAGGGCAACGGACCTGCAATGGCCGGCCATCACCCACAGCCACCTGGGCCAGCCGAGCCCTCAGAAAGGCTGTCAACTGTGAATCCTTAGCGCCAGTGCCTTTTGGGAACCTAAGGTCTTTTAACATTTGGAAGTATGAAGCATCTGAGCTGTACCGCATCTCTCTGGTTAATCTGGAGGACTCATTTCTGTGACTGAGGGACCGTGTCAAATGCACCCACCCACTCAGGGGACTTCTCCTTCCTCTGTTTGCTGTCCTTCCTATGTACCTTTAGATGGCACTTACTGCATTCTCCCCAACTCGATAGTAACTGTGACCTTGTCTTATTTTCCTGTTAGATCACAAGCTCCCCGAGGCAGGGTCTCACCTCATTCGTCTTGTGTCTCAGCACTTAGCACCATGTCTGACACATGAAATGTACTCAATAAATGTTTAAGGAACGGAAAGTCAGTGGAATAAATCTACTGTTCTGGGAAACAAAAATACCATGCGTCCCAGGAGGGGTTAAACTTTGAAGATAAAATCCACTTTTTAGAACTAATAATCAGAGCCTTTTCAATTAACCGTCTGCCTTATGAATTATTTAATTCCGTTCTGTTTGCCTGGTTGTGTGTATTTTAATAAGATATGATAACAATGAGATACCACTTCCCACCCACTATGACGGCTGTAGTCAAAAAGACAGATAACAAGTGTTGGCTAAGATGTGGAGAAACGGGGACTCTCATACTGCTGGTGGGACTGTAAAATGGTGCGACCCCTGTGGACACCCGTTTGGCAGTTCCTCGAAAAGTTGACCATATGATCCAGAGACTTCACTCTAATGTATATACCCAAGAAAGATGAAAATATAGCCATACAAAAACGTACAGATGCATGTTCGGAGTATTATTCATTATAGCCCAAAATGAAAGTAACTCAAATGTCCATCAGTTTATGACTAGATGACCAAGTTGTGGTATATCCATACAATGAAATGTCATTCCACCCTAAAGGGGAACTAAGGACTGGTACATGCAACGGCATGGATGAACCTTGAAAACATGCCCAGTGAAAGGAGCCAGCCACAAAAGACCACGTACTTATGATTCCACTTACATGAAATGTCCAGAACAGGCCAATTCCTAGAGATAGAAAGAGGATTAGTGGTTGCCAGGAGTACGGAAGAGGGGAATGGGATTAACCGCTAAAGAGGTGTGGGGTTTCTTCTTCTGGTGATAAAAATGTTCTGCAATCTTACATTGGTGACGTGCAGGACACTCCATGCAACACAGACTGTTCACGACACCACTGAAGTCCCTGCCCTCAAAATGCCAGAAATGCCCTCCAACCCACCCATCACACATTTCCAGATTGTCCCTAGCGGGGTAGCCCTGGCCAAGTGTGAGACCCTCTGCTGGGACACAGAAGTGAAAAGCCAGGATGGGCCGACCTCGCACCCCTCCTGGTTCCCCTCACCTCACAGCCCACACAGCTTTGTTCCACGTCATCGGGGGGTTTTGCTGAGCGAAGTCCAAAGTTCTGGAAGCCCCCGAGTGTCTTAAAAACTTCACAACTCCAGGAAAGGGGCAAAGTCCCAATTTCGGGCAAAGGCACAACTTACCCTTCCTCTAGGACGACATGCCATGATGGGAGCGATGCCACGTTTCCAAGAAACCGCTCCCCAGAAAGGATGTGGGACAGATTTGCCAGTGGGTCCACCAACACCACCATCGCAGGTACCAGAAGGCAAGTGACTGGAAGGAGAAACAGCAGGCTACCCACGAGAAAAGCAAACGAGCTTACGGTCCTGGCATGATGAGAGGTCAGGATATTAAACACACACACACACACACACACACACTTTTTAAAAAAGCTCTTCGAAATATAAATTTATTCAAAATCTAGTAGTGATTTGACTTCGTAACACTCCTAATTCAGTAATATTCAGTATTTTCTTAAAACACTGCTTCCAATTTCCAGCTTTCCTGGTCATTTGATGGCAAACGTGTGGATCACCACTTTCTTGTTCTCAAGGGGGGGACTGTCCGCAGCACAGAAGTTCCAGGTGTGCTACCTGCTGCCCACCCACAGCTAAGCTCCCACCACCTTTCCATCGGTGGCTTAATTACACAGTCTTCGAGCTCTGAAAGCAAGCAGGTGTGCTCTGCTGGGCGTGATGGAATACGAGTGGTGAGAAATGAATCCTAAATCTGTCACCCCTTCTCTCAGGGACATTTCTTTTTGGGGTTATCTTAGAATTGGATATGGTTTGGCCACTAACTTAAGTACACAATAACGGAGGACTCAGAATAAACTGGATGATACAATTCACTTTTATTTGTCAATTAAGTTCAATATCATATAACATAAAATCAACATTTAGAATAAATAGCAAATTCATATTCAGCGTAAATAGCGCATCTACCTCGTTTGTGTTTACTGCACCTGATATCACACAGGCAACACTCTGTCATTCGAAATAATCAGGAAACAGTTCTCTAAGAATGCGAGACTACAGTGCTGGAGAAAAAGTGCTATCGTGGGGTGGGGTGGGGGGTCCCCAAAAGCAGAGGCGCTGGGATGGACATGCACGTGCAGGAAGTTTACAAGGTGTGTTCTTGGGATCCACACCCGGGAAGGGAGCTGCGGGGGAGGGTGGGGGGGGAAGGGGTGTGACCTTGTCTGAGGTAGGGCTTTCTTCCCAAAGCTGACAGAAGACCTAGAACTTGGGAGAGTGAGTCTTTCCGTTATGAAAGGTTATCTGGGCAGCCAAGCACAATCACCAACGAGTGTGATGAGAGGTATATTCAGCTAGTGCCCGATCCCTCAGCTCAATTACACACGACAATTATGCCCTGTGTGGGAAACAGTATTTCACCACTGGCTATGTAAGTAAATATGCTCAGAGACTAGCTCTGGGCTAGTCAGGGGAATATGGTGCACTCACCTAGAGAACGTCTTCCTTCTGTCTGCCCCCACTATGGGGCTGTTCATCTGCATGCATTAAGGTAACTTTGCCACTGGCACCAACCCGTTAGAGCAGGGGGTTGCAAACTATGGCCCGAGAGCCAAATCCAGCCTGCGGCCTGGTTTTACAAATCAAGTTGGAATGGAACAGAGCCCACCCACTCCTCGGTAGAGGCGACAGAAAATGGCCTGCCAAGCTGAAAATATTTACTGTCTTCCCCCTTACAGGAAAAGCTTGCTGACCCCGCATTAAGGAAACATCACTCTCTTTCCTTTCCTTAACCCACTAGGCTGTTAGAGGTTAGCTGAACTTGGAGCCGAGCTCCCAAACACCAAGGCAAATAAAAGAGCGGGGGTGGGAGGGAAACTGGTACAAAAAGGAATTGAAAGTAAGAAGGCAACACACAGGCTCCCCCGGAGTCGAACAGAGCAATCAAGGATCCCTGCCTCTGGCCAAATTTGGTCTCTGAGCCTCCGAGACAAGGGCTCCCAAGTGGGCCTTTGGCAGCAAATGAGCATCTGGCATAGTGGAATTCAATTCCAATGCTGAGCACACTGCACTCTCTACTGCTTCAAAGGCCTTTTGGGAGGAAGAGAGAGGAAAGGCCATTTAGTTCACCCAAAGCTAAATTAGCTAGAAGGAAAGATGACTTTTCATTGCTCCTTTGCAATAATTAAGAGGGCCAATGCATTCACAGCAACTGGTAATTCAGTCTCAGATGCGCCCGAATCAGTAACAGGTGGTTTATGTTACAGGGCATTAACGGCAACAGCGGAAAACAAAGCTGAGCTGAAGAGTATTAAAAAAAAAAAAAAAATCAGGGCTATGTTAGGAGGCAAGTGGGAGCTCTAAGCCAAACTAAAATATTTTAAAAGCCAGGTTTCATCTATAAAAGCAACTCTAAAAGAATCAATTGTGCAAAGTCCTTTCCAAGGCTACCCGCCTTGGGTACCGTGGGGCCTTGTGTTCGGCTGACGTGGACTGCCCTTGGACTATGAATTTTTGTTCACATAATTCTTAGAAAATCAGTCTAACCATTGCCAAAAGTGGAAAACATTTTTAAGTGCGCACACTACTTTTATGCTGTTTACTTCCCAAGTTGCGACTTTAAAGGGTGGAGAACAGATCCATTCCCCTTGTGCCAATGTGCTTTCACCAGCGTGTGCACCAGAGAACCACCTGGAAAGCACCCAATGCCCAGCGCAGTCATGATAACGACTAGTTGAAATCCATCCTGACCGAGCACAGACGAGAATGCCGCTGTCCCTCGCCTGGCGGTGGCTGTCCTGGCCCATGCCGCTGGCCCGGGCATCTGCCACATGGTAGGTCTCAACACGGCCGTGTTCAGTGGCCCGGAGACTAAAATCGTAATTGGTAATAAATTGTAAAATTCATTATTCACACCCAGAAAACGTATTTCTCCCCTGAGGCTTGGGTCACCTAATCTAGACATCCATGAAAGCAGGCTTGAAAAACAGTTCTACTTCATTCTTCTGTAAACAAAACACCCTGAAACTGGCATCTAGGAGACATCTAATGAATATGAGATTAGATAAAAACTAAGAAAATTTAAAAAAATAATAATACCTACTTCATCGCTCAGCTTCTCCAAAGCGGAAACTATGAGCCAAAAGCACCAGCGTGACCTCTGAGGACCAACACCGAGCAATTCTGGACACCCACCAGTCCCCCATAAACTCTGACGCTTACACCACCCGGGCACTGACAAACAGTAAACAAAGACCCATCCCATTCCAAAAAAGGAACGGACCATTGTGTTTACAATAAACTTTAGAAGGAAAAAAGGGGTCCAACAGGGTCTATTGGGTCTAAAAGGGTCTCTCTCTTTCACTATTATAAACAACAAGAAAATACCACAAGTAAAACCCCATTATAACAAGCAGCATTACAAAACATGCTATTGAATTTATGTTTAAATGCAAAAATCATTTAATTTCTGCATTCTGGCAGGCAGCCTATGGAATGCCAATCTAGCATCTTGCCAATATTACAATAAAAATGCCAAATTACCAAGCACTCCCCACAAGCCCCCTTCCTGTAACTGCCATTCATTAGGTTGGAGAATGTATGTCATCTGTACTGTCCTCAGAAAGAAATGAGAAATACTGAGTTAGCTAAGTCATTTCTAACTCTTTTTCTCTTAGTTTCAATGCCTTTTATCCTCTCCCACCTTAAACACAGACATCTAAAGAAAACCACCCAGACTCCCAAAACAGCCACACGCACAAGGCAGGAGAGAAATCTAAGGAGAAGAGAGGGCTGAATTCAAGCGTGCTCCTCGGCTGACGATCCACGAGCGCGGCAGGCCTACGCAGGATGCCCCCAGAAAAGAACAGTCTCTGGTAATGCGTATGTTTTAACAAGATACCAAAACAGCCCAGTGAGGGTCATGGTGTGGCACTTCATTGCAAGGACCATTTTTATTTCCTGTTCCGTTTTCTGTCCTCCAATAAGCATATCAAACCAACACTGTGGTGGCACTTTCATGTGTAAGAAACGCCTGGGGACCCACCACAATGCGTTGGCTCTTCTGACCTGCTTGGTGCTCACAGCCTTATTCTACAAAGTCTGTTCTGCCAGCTGAAAATTGAACGAAAAGCTCTTCTCTGGGGAAAAGTGTGAACGCACCCATCACTTGTGGCACCATTTGTCCTTCCCCAGCATGGGGTAAGACATAGGAAGCAGATACTGATGACCATCGAGGGCCAAGGACTTGCACCTTCTCCTGTTCTTTCTCACATAAGACTTTCCAGAGAGGCTGTCTTCTTTCAAGTGATGCACCAGGACGCCAAAGCCCTGGTACCGGATGACTGGGGAATGGGCTGCTGTTTGAGGACCATCCCCGCTACTTACTGTCGTCTTAGGCCACTGTACAGCTCACTCAACCATCAGCTTTCCGCGAGCAGTTTATCGCTGCACGTCACTGTGCCCCTCTGTTCCCCATGCACTGCCCGTGACTGTTCAATACATGTTCCAAGGGAGACTCAAGGACAGTTTCAAAACTTCCCTGAAAGACTGACATTAGTTCCAGTACCCCCACAAACAGGAAAGCTGGTCACAGAGTGTCCATGTGGAGCTTGCCTTCGGCCCGACATGTGCAGGAAGGCGGGACTGGTGGGCCGCTAGCTTCTGTCTTAACGACCTCGGAAGTACTCTCCATAAGGTACAAAATAAATAGCAGAAGGCCTACTTGTGTCTTTTCCGAAAGCAACACTCATATCCACACGAAGTCAGCCCCGTCATGTCTGCCCAATCCGGGGCCGTGGCTGTTTCTGGCTTTTTCCACAGGTGGGCACCAGGCTACTTGGCCTGGGCCTCCTGCAGGAGGGGGAGTCTGAAGCTGGGGGGCCCGTCGGACCATGCGGGAAGTTCGTGCTGCAGTGGAGTCCTCCTGGGGTAGAACGTGTGGTTGACATCGTAGTTCAGGAGGCAGCTCAGAGATGCCATGTAGATGTCGGCAAACCGTGACAGGCGTCTCAGGAAGTAGGTTGGGTTCTGGTCTGTGCGGAACAAGCTTCCAAACTGGGCGTTGAAGAAACTTTTGGTCATTTCCCTGAAGAAGAAAAGAGGGGTGCAACTGAAAATGATTCAAAAACAGTCTGTTTTTCAGTTACTAAAATCAAAATCACTTTTCTTTTTTCACAAGACTCATTTTATAGGAGAGAAAATTAGCTAGGAGAGCAGCTTCAACTTCCACTCAGGAAAACAGCCTGGCCGTCCATCACCCAGATGACTCTGATCACATTTCCCGTTGAGGCCAGCTGGACAGAACGCTGTTAAGGCCCAGTTTCAGTGTGTATGTCCGTCTAAATCTGCGTGCTACATTTTCCGAACAAAAACAGAGGAGGCTGGAGCTGCTTCTGAAGGTACATGGAGAGACACGAAACGTTCTGAGTCTCAAAACCTCCCTCATCTACAATATGGGACCGAGACCCCCTTTTAATAAGGTTATAGTAAAAACTATATAAGGTTAGGGAAATAAAAGCATATTATAAACTCTGATATATTTTGATATTCAAGAAACTAAGGATTCTTTTATAGTGATGTAAATAAATCTCCACTATCCATTTCTTGGTTTCAAACACCTCATTACCCCTCAAAACCTAGGTTATAATTTGCAAGGCTGTTCACCCAACCCCAGAATCTAAGCCACTGCAGGTGTGCGTACGTGCATCACCATCTGATGGCTAGGACATCTTCACACAGAATATTCCAGCAAAATGGCTAAATACCATCTGACTGTTAATAAATCAGTTACAAACATAATAAGAAAAACATTCATTTACGCAACTGTGTAATAAAAGCCACTATTTGGTAGTGACTGTTGTCATAGGGTGACAGGAGATGTAAAAACCAAAAAGTAGAATATTAAAAAACTCAATTAGGTTTGTGGGTGGAATGACACAAACGGTGTTTAAATTTTTACTGAAAAAAATCTCTTTGAGATATGAAGTCGTTAGAAACTCGAATTCAAAACCCAAATCTCTGATGGGTCAAACAGGTCTGGCCTTCGGGGGAGAGGGACCTGGAGTCAAATCACAGCATATGCCTATCACACTCTCACCCAACATGTCTACAGCAATGTGAGAGTGACAAGCTAGAACAGGCCACCGATAGCCGACGCCCTGAGAGGGAGGAGGAAGGATGGAGTCAATACATCCAATGAGCTCTGCCCCTCTCTGTGCTTCCCCCGGCAGTCAGGGTGTCTGCTGCTCGGAGGCCAGAACCCAGGCAGTGACTGCTACTTCCCAACCTTAGAGACAGCTGAGCTTGGGGCAGGGGGAAGCCAGGGACAAGAGCAGAAATGACCATGTAAACAGTGTCCAGGTGGCAGCTCTCAGGGAAGCACGGCTGTCCACAAGGCCTCTTCTGAACAACCATTCCCTTAAGATGTGCACAACCATTCCCTTAAGATGCACCCCGCCACGCTGTTCTGATGCCGGCGGGCTTTCTTCACCAATAAACAGGACAGTACCGAGTGCAGGCACGTTGCTGAAACAGCCGTGGCTACGAATAAGCACCAGGGTTGTAGGAGCTCCAAGAACTCATTGTGGCTCAGAGCCCACCTCCAATACTGTCCCAGGAGCCACGCTGTGCGGCAGGCATTACCAGCGAGTAGGCCGCCAGCTGCCCAGATGGGAAAGTCGAGCAGACCGGGAGAAGGGATGGGAGGGAAAGGCTCATTCGAATCAGGCAGGGCCTGGCAGGGAATGTGGAAGAGGAGTTGCGTGTGTGTGTTTATGTGAGAGAAGGGCATATTTGTTTGATTTTCTTAAAAAGAAGCAAATGGCAAGGGTAGGAGATGTGAGGGAGGTTACTGCTGACTCAAGGAAATGTCACACATCACTTAACAGCAGATGGGTGGTTCTGGACACTGGGGCTGGCACATTTATACCTGGAGCTAAAAAAGAATGTTTGAAAGCATGCCTCGGGCCAGCCCCGGGGCGGGTCTGTGGGCCCAGCATGCGCAAACAGGGGGGTGGACCCCCCACATTCAAAGGGGCCGCTCTTACCGCATCTCCTTCCTCTCCTTCTTCCACTCCTGCAAGACCAGCTGGGACTCCACATCTCTGTGAACCTGCAGGGCACAGGCCAGTTACTGAGACCGATTTGGTGGTGCAGAAACTCATCAGGCCATGAGAATTTGTTAATGGGCAGCTTTTACTGGAGAAATTTTATTCGAGTTTAAGAGAGAAGACACTTGCGTGAAATAATACATTTTTCAGACTTCCCAGTCCCCATCCTCTCTCTTCACCAAAAATAGTTTTAAATCGCCAATAACAGAAATAGGGTTTAACAAATTAAATGGAATATTATGAAGATATTAAACAAGGCTCGTATTAAACTAGAGCTATTAAAGTATTATTAAAGGCTGTGTATAAACATAATGCATATGTATGCACAAAAAATATATGTATAATATACCTGTAATATATCCCCATCCTCTCTCTTCACCAAAAATAGTTTTAAATCTCCGATAACAGAAATAGGGTTTAACAAATTAAATGGAATATTATGAAGATATTAAACAAGGCTCGTATTAAACTAGAGCTATTAAAGTATTATTAAAGGCTGTGTATAAACATAATGCACATGTATGCACAAAAAATATATGTATAATATACCTTCAATATATATATATTACATATATAAATATATAAAATATATATTACCTGTTACACATATGATGTGCATATATGTACATATGCCAACATAAAAATGGCAGTTAAGTAGAAATAGGTGTAACAAACAGTACATCTACTAACTGGAAGCATGTAAAAATATCTGCATATATCTGGGATATAACATGGAAATTTTTCTTTAATTTGTACAAGAGTAGTGGAATTACAATTTGTTTTCATTTTTTTTCTTAATGTTATCTTTTAAACTGTTTAAGAGAAAAAAAAATAATTGCTTTTGTAAAAAGCAAGCAGGTTGAGCACTTGAACAAGATGGAAAAGCAGAGAATTTTCTGATGGAGCTGAAATATGGCAAAAGGCAAAAGGAAAATGACAACTGCCCACAACCCAAGGACGGACTCTCGGAAGTCCCTCCGCAAGGCTCCCGTGGCTAAACAAACACTCGGCTAGAGTGAGAGGCACACGTGATCACAGGGGACAGGTGGCTCCCTGCAATTCACGGTCACGGGGCAGACTTAGGAGGAAAAGACCAAACAAGCGAACCATCTGCTTTCGACGTGGGTGCCAAGGACCTTCTGTTTATCACGTCCCCCCGGCTCAACAGCCTGACTAACAGGCAGCTTGCTAAGGGCCTCTGCCACCCAGACAAAACCCTGGGCTTGCAATCTGGGTTTCTTGCCCGACCCCACTGCCCACACCACCAGGAAGCAGCTGCACGGAATGACCACTGGCTGTGCTACTGGAGCCTGGAGCACTGGGCCGGCCCTTCTGGGGGTTGATGGTTCTATGAGCAGTTTTAATCAGCTTTCACATTTTAGTCAACAAATTACTTGCTACACAATTTAGGCTCTACAAAGTATGTGACTAGATCAAAAATCTATAGGATGTCACAAGGAATTTATTTATATGTACACATATGTACACATATACAAACGTACACTCATCTACATACACATATACACATGCATGTGTATATACACACACATGTATATACATACACACACTTATATATGCATATTCAGCACCTACTGTGTGCTGAGCACTGTGCTAGATGCTAAAGATACGAGAAAGAAAGATGGAGGCCCTTGTGGGGGGCAGACCCCAACCATGACAAAACAGTGTGATACCACACAGAATAGGGTGTTAGTCTGTGGGAGGGAATTTCCCCCCACCTCTGCCCAAATACCCTTTTTAGTCCATGAACTAGACACCTGTGTCCAGTACAAAGAAGCTTCTAGTCCCTTACTCTTCCCCCTACTTGCAGGAGAGGAGAATTCTCTGACTGGTGACCAGAATAAGGATTACTTACTCTTCCTTTAGGAAACTAGCTGCCACCGGCCATATGAACATTCCTCTCTACTCCTGCCCCTCAGGTGGGCCCCCCACCCTAGGGCTGGCCTCACAGACACAAAGAATCAACTTGGGTGTCCAAGTTCAAGGCATGTTCTCCAGCCCAGCTTTTCCAGAATGGAAGGCAGCCAAGGATGATGGATCATCCCCAGCAGAGCCCAAGATCACTGACAGGACATGCTAGGGCAGAAGGGCCCAGGAATCTCAGGCCAGGGGAGCATTCCCAGAGAAGGGGCATCTGAGCGCTGTGGGCGTGCGCCTTAACCCAGCCTCCCCACAGCGCCCTATCCAAGGCCCACTCAGTACCTGCCATCCCGGAACCCTTCTCCGTCATCGACCATCCCTCGCATATGATCCACCTCCTCACCTGGATCCCTCCCATCAGCACTTAAACATATGCCAAAGTCTCTCCCATTAAAAAAAACTACTTTTCCTTGAGCCGCCCCCTTTCTCCAGCTCTGTTCCCCCTACCAGGCCAAACTTCAGAAAATAATTTTCTCATGGATCTGAAATCTACTTTAAAATATTTCAAAGACTGTGTTAGTTATAATTAATCTTTAAGTCAAACCATGTACTCCGACGTCGGTAGTTAGCATTGGAAAAGTCCAACCAGAAGCCCACGCCAGAAGCTGACCCGGCAGACACCCCAGCCACCTTCAGCCCCATGCTCCGCTCTTCACGAGCGGAAAACGTAGACTGGCCTCAGTACCACACCTACCCTCGCTCCTCCCGTGTCAGCAGGATACTGCGATCTGGTTAGCAGCCCAACAGCCTACACCGGAGGAGGTCGAATCCAGCCCACCACCCATTTTTCTATAGGCTTACGAGCTTAAGAATGGGTGTTCCTTTTTAAATGGTTGAAAACAAATCAAAAGAATAATTTTATGACACATGGAGATATGAAATTCATATTTTAGTGTCATGATCAACACAGCCACAGGTCCGTTTACGTTCTATAGGCTTACGAGCTTAAGAATGGGTGTTCCTTTTTAAATGGTTGAAAACAAATCAAAAGAATAATTTTATGACACATGGAGATATGAAATTCATATTTTAGTGTCATGAGGAACACAGCTACAGGCAGCCGTTTACGTGTCGTCTAAGGCTGCTTTGTGCCACAAGCACAGAGCTGAGCTGGGACGGAGATTGCATGGTCTGCACAGCCTAATACTTTCCATCCGGCCCAGAAGTTTGCCGGTCCCAGGGCTAAAGGAGACCTTGGGTGGCTACCCGGGGAGACCCCACCGCCATGAGCCCCATCTTTACCAGCGCTACCACCACTAACCACACTGTTTGGGGTACTGTTTGGGGCACGCTTTGAGGCTAGTTAACAAAATTACCTTTTTTCTTTAGAGCTACTTTCTTAAAACCAAAAATTATATCCTTGTATTTAATTCATCAGACTTGGCTCTAAGTGACACCTCTTCTGGCTCCAAAAAAAAAAAAAATCAAACTCAACCTGAAAGGACAAATTTTTCTCCTCAGAAAACAGTTCAAATAATGTGCTACGTGCTATGAAAATAATCCCAAGGGGAGTTCTAGAAACATCTGACACAGGATCACTGGAATAATCTATAGCTTTTAAGTAAAAAGGGAACAGGGAGGTCAGTGAGAAATGACACTCATTTGTGTATTTTTTTTTAATAATCAGCCATACACCTTCATATCCCAGCGAACCCAACCAGACAACCAGACAGAATGCTGTAAAGAGTGTTAGAACCCGAGGCGATACAGCAGTGAAAACTCTAGGGTCCCAGCATCACCCTTAACTTGAGCGAGTGATTTTCTCCTCTGTGCCTCAGGTTCATCTGTAAAATGGGGATGATGTTGGCACCGACTTCAGAGAGTAGTGAGAATGAAATGAACAGAAAGCCTTTAGTGTCCGGACCATCCTAAACTCTCATTCCTAAAGAGCTTGATACTACTGTTCGCGAACTTCGTGATTCTGGAAAAGTTACTTGTCTCTGCCTCAGGTTCCTCTCCCGTAAAACGAGGGTGGCAACGTAAATGTTAACTTCCTCTTCTTCCTTTCCTAACCTTACGCCATGAATAATTAACTGTATAAATCACAGAAATATTCTCAGCTCTTCCAGGCTCTAAACCCACACTCCTTAATCACCTAACTTTTTGTACAGGTCAGAGAGAAGAAAACAAAGAAACTGTCCTCGAAGCTAAAATGTCGTGACGCCACCTACGTGAAGTTTGCGTGTGTGTGTGTGTGACCAGCTGCCAGCATCGCGAGTGTGTGTGTGTGTGTGTGTGTGTGTGTCCAGCTGCCAGCATCGCAGGGGAGGGGTCCCTGGCCACCCCTGAGGCCTCGATCGCACACAACAGGAAAGCTCAGTGCAGTGCTCAAAGGCATGGACCTGGGCATCGGTTCAAGGTCTTCTTTTGTCATCTTATGACCTGAGACACGTCACCTAACCTCTCAACACCCAGTTTCCTTATCTAAAGTGAAAAAATGGCACCTGCCCACACAGGACAGCTGGGACTATTAAATGAGTGATGCGTGCAGGACAAGCTCTAGGCACAACGCATGCCACGTGAAGGGTCACGACTGTTAACTGTACAACCTGTGCACAGACTCGAGGCTGCATGGACTCGGAATCGATGCCTTTTATTTTAGAAAATCATCTCACGCACAAACATGGCAAAGAGACATGACAAGTCCCCATCAGAGACGAGCAAGAACCAATGTAGCTGGAGCACACGGAAGCAAGACGGGGGGCGACGTACAAGGCCCCGTGCTCGAGCATGTGTGTGCCCTGGAGTGACGGCCTGGCCTGCCGGCCCCTCGCAGCTCTGCCTGAGCTCACTGCCAGCCGCCTCCACACGGGTTGCCAAATGGGCCAGGCAAGACTGTTCCCTGGCCATTTCCAAAGCGAGCTAGCAGGCCATGGCCAGAGGCTACAGGTGTGTTAGCCAAGAGAGCAGGCGCCCATGCCCCTCATCCTGAAAGAGGCAGCCTTCACACTGAGATGGCTGCAGGCCTAGCCAGCTGGACCAAGTGAGAAAGCAAGGTGCCTCACGAGACTGGGAAGGGGGTCGCAGCTGCCACAGGGGGCCAGCTTCACAGGCCGGAAAATCACCCCTAAGGACAACAATCATCACTAACTGTCCAAAAGTGGCTGTGGAACTTGCGGAAAGAAAAAACTGCCACTGCACCCGAGTGAGCCGGCAAATTGTAGGCATTATCTTCAAAATCAAATGGAGGCTGCACACAGGACCTTGACTCTTGCTTTGAGACTCTGCAACAAGCCGTGGTGCCTAACCCAAAGTGTTCGTTCCACAAGACCCTTCATTTAATAGATGATGAAACCGAGGCCCAGAATGGAGACCACTGCAGGCTCAGGGAAGAGGCAGGACTGGACCCAAACACTGGCAGAGGTTCTCAAATCCCACTGCCCCACAGGACACCTCCCAAAGCGGCTTCGGTGGGGAAGTGAGGACACTGGACTTCGACTGACCGAGGGACGTAAACGAACACCTGAGACCACACAGGCCCCACAAAGCTCTTTCTCCAAACGGCTTTGGGAGCATTTTTAAAGATCTCTTCAGAGAAACAACAAAACTCTCTTAGGGGCAAAATAATCCCAGCAGTTATTCTTCAGGATGAATTATGCCTCACACTTTATAAGCACGATTAAACGGAAAAGACCTAAAGTAACTGACTAGTGGACTAATTTTACCGCTTAATTAAAAAGTAGGAGAGAAAAAATTCCCAAACCTGCATTTGCTCCAGTAACCCAGTCAGGGTCTGCAGCCAGGCCATGGTCTGAACGTACTGCTCCGTGTTCATGATTCTGAGCTCGGACCTTAACTCCGGGATGATTGCACCGGTTCGCCAGCCATGCTTCAGGGTCAAATCCTGATCGCAAAGATCCCAGAAAGTCAACGTTAATCTCCACAGAATTGAAAGCGTTCGTTACCTTTCCCAGACACAACAGGCATTTGTTGAATTATTTTTTTAATGGTAATGGTTAGTTATTAACCAAGCTGACTTCAATGAATTACATTTCAATTAAAACCAAAGTTTTGACCATTTCAGTTTTGACCATTTCGCCCCCACCCCAGAACGTTTCTGTTCCAGAAATAACTGCTGTCGAGTCACAGACACACAGGGTCTGGAATCATCAACCATGGCCTGTAAGACAACAATGAGGTCAAGGGCAGAAAGAGGCTCAACGCGATGCCACTGAAGGTCTACATTCAAGTTCATCCACAGATGGCTGGGGAACACCCACTGTGCATCAGGCCTTGTGGGCAGTGGGGAACCAGGGACTCTCAGACGTGGACTGATCTTGCAGCACGAACAGACACGACCGCATTTTTCATTCTAAATATTGTAACCCCAGGATTTGCCAATGGATCAGACTATCTGATGCTAATTATGTCCTGGAAAATCTAAGATGTACACTCACCATCTAAAGCGTCATTCATGTTCTCATTTGGCAAATATTTATCAAGTGCTACTATTTGCTGGGCCCTGTTCTAGATACTGAGGCTAAAACAATGAACAAAAACTGACAAATGCCTGCCTCTCATGGGAAATACAGACAACAAATAAGTAAATACACAATGTGAAATGGTCTTATAAATTTAAAAAGATGGAAATCATACAAAGTATCTTTTCTGCTCATAAGACATGAAACTAGAAATCATAAGAAAAAACTGAAAAATTCACAAATATGTGAAAATAAAACAAATTTAGTCTTAAACACAAAAGAAATTCCTTAATAAGTGGAACTAATGTGTCTGTCCCACGACAAAGAAATAGGAAAAAGGCTCCTCACCGCCAGGTCACTGTATATATGGTCACCAAAATACAACACTTTGGATCCTCTCCATCCTGTAAGCTTCAAAAATTCATATAAATTGCCCTGCAATAAGGGAAAAACATAGTATATTGTATGACAGAGAGAGACCTGTGTATAACCCACAGCCCAAAATATCTACTTTTTTAAAACTTCAAAAGAATTTTTTGCTTTTGTAATTTATTTTAAATATCAAAACATAACTTTAAAAGCAACTTAGTATGAAATCTTTCAGGCCTTTCTCCTAAGTCAAATCTATTTTTCAAAAGGGATTCATATTGTATAGAATTTTTTGTAATGACCTTTTTACACTTAACATGCTGTGACCATCTTTCCAAGTCAAATATTAACCTGCCATGTAATTTCAGTTCCTAAGGAATACCATAATTCATTTTACCAATTCCCTGATGTTGAACATTTATTTTGTTATCATTTACTCTGTCATCTATTTTGTAAGTAACTTCATGATAAACATTCTTATACAAGTGTTTTAGCTACATCTTAATCATTTTCTTAGGCTAACTTTCTAGAAGTGGAATGATTGTATCAAAGCTAATTTTTCAAGGCCTAGAAAATACACTTAATGCCAAATCTAGCAGGTTGTTATAATACCCACCAGGAATATATCAGTATGTAAAAAAAAAAGAGAAAAAAGAAAAAAACAACTAACTTCAGTAACGCAATAATAGTCAGCAATTCTTTTATTCAAACATTTCCAAGACTTATATGATACCAAGATATATTAAAGCTGCACATAAAACACAGCTTGTCAGGAAGTAATTACTAACTTGGGCAAGTAATATGCCATGTGATTAAATGCTTCTTAAAGGGAAATTTCCAAGCTTTGCTATTGGCATCTTAAATGTTGTATCCTATTGAAAGTAACGCTTTAAATTTTGTTTTAAAAAATCATTCAATTCTGAGTATACTGAAAATATACTGACTTAAATTTTGCCAACAAGTTATAAGCAGTCAATTCGAGTAGAGCACTCAGAACTGCACCTGGCACCCACAGTAAGCCTCCAAGAACTTTAGCTGTTATTATTACCGAGCACACGAAGCAAAGTAACAAAAAAAATAAAATAAACTGGTCATGAGATACCTGCTTGTAAATCTGGCCTTTCTGCAACTTGTGAATTTTATCCCAGAGTAAGACGCCTTTTTCATTCACCTTTCGGAAAGGTCTGAGAACAGAAACGGGAAACATCACGACACAGGGTAGTCGTGCAGGCTGCCTGCTGTGCGAAACGCCACACGTGGCTCACCGGGAACAGAAAGGAGCTCCATGAACCTGAAAAAGCCCTGAAACCCCACCCCACCCCACCCCACCCCATCCTGGGGCCAGTGCAGTGCCTCCCAGACAGCAGACCCCGCATCTGAGGACATGAAGTGGAAAGGGAATTCCAGGGTCGAACACATTCGCAAAACACGACACACTACCTACGTCCCTCTTAAAAGTTACCGATGGCTGTGAAAAGCCCTCCCTGTAAAGAAACTGTCTTTAACCCAGATTTCCCAAATTTATTTCACTGTACAGGAAACATTTTCTGCAAAAACTGTTTCACACACAAAAAAAAAAGCGCAAAAGTGTATGGAAATACTGCCTTAGTAGTATAACTTACCCAGCTTTGCATCTGAAATTCAGTCACTCTAGATATAAAATCAATCAGAGGACCAGGTGTACCATTTTATGATGAAAAGTGGGAAATAAGAATAAAGCCTTATTCCTCACCCTGGAGGTGCTAGTCCAAAGGACAAGGGGTTTGTTTGCCTACGAAATTTTCTAAGGTAACGCTTATTTGGAATTTTTTTCCTCATTGGAAAAATATTAACTCGCTGCAAAAAAAATCCTGGAAAATGCAGAAAAATACAATGGAGAAAATCACCCATAATTCCAGTACGTAGGTATACCTAGATATAAACACTTAACCGTTTCAGGAGATGTCTTTCGGTCTTTGTACCTATCTTTTTTAATGAACATAAAAATGAGGATCGTTTGGGTTTACTGACGATATCTTTTTTTTCTCTAATGTTGTAAGCCAAGTTCTCATGTAACCGCATGTTATTCATACATCATTTATTGCCATAAACACACTCACTGTTTTTCTTTTCTCATGCATCATTTTTATAGCTGCATAATATCCCCTGAGATGGATGCTCCTTTATGTTGTTTCTGACCTTCATCGTTATAAAATAACCCAGGGAGGAGACGGGTGGAGGATTATTCGGCTCCTGTTCCAGGCATTCGGAACGGAGGCAAAATAAACGGGTGCAGTGAGGGAGCAAGCTGTGCCACCCCGCAACACCCCCCAGGAAAGGAGCCCGAGACACTGTTCTGCCACCGTGTGTAAACATGACAAGGGAGGGGGCCCAGGGCGAAAGGAGAGATGAGGAGCTTCTGCCTACACCCTAGACTCTAATAAAATTCGAGAGAGCGCTTTATCAGCGACTGACCGAGAAGCGAGCTGGTATATACAGCTGTTTTTGATCAACTCTCTAGTTTTTCCTTCATTCCCTTGAATTCTCAGTCTCTGCAGATGGTTTTTGGCTTTGCTTCTTCTTCCAGGAGCCACTGTGACACTTGGAAAACTGGATTTAATCCATTCAACACTAACTACAGAACACCGTGTTATGATGCTATACAGCACCTAGCAGAGAGGGAAAGGCTGCCTGGTTACCAAGTGCAAAACAGCTTAATGTGGGTCAAGTGTTTCAAAAATATGTCATTGTTATACAAATATGAGTTATTTTTATAACCCCCATACTGTAACTCCCTATCTACATTTGGGGGGGAACGACTCTTGGTGAATGTCTGTTCCACACATTAGAAGATATTTTAGGATCCGAGATCCCCCCAACCCACTAAATCCTAAGGACACACTGGGCACAATCACCGTGACAACCCAAAGCTTCCTGGCTCCCCTACTGCCCAAGGCTACTGAGACAGAAAGACATTCTACAAGTCTCGGTAGAGATTTGCTCCAAAACCTGACGTAAAACCTGTGTCGCAGAGAAGATGTGCAAAATCCAATTGCAAGTTTAAAGGCATTGTTTAGAGCTCTCTTTAAAGAGCGACCCACCAGGTGGTTTGCTGCTGCTGCTGTTTTGACGCGGCACAATGCGTCTGCATCAAGAGATCTAATTTACCAAGTGAGATTAAGTCTAGGTTTTTCCTTATTGTCAGTCACTCTCTTAAAGCCTGACTCACAGGAGCGAGACAGGCCAAGCTGAACCGAGAAAGCTTTCAATACAGGCAAGGTGTCTGCTGTGAGTTAACAGCATCCTCTTTGTAATTATTTGCTAGAAGGGTGAAAAAATCAAACACTGTCAGCTCAGATGCTTGTGATTTTCCTACTCAGATTTCACCAAGACACACTACGTAAGCATCCACAGCAACAAAGGAACAAAATCTAGTCCCCTAAAAAGACGGACACTCACCTCCGCTTATCATTAAAGAAGTTTGGCTTCTCGGCCTGAACGATGACCACGTCGAACAGGTCCCTCCAGTCTTTTCCAACGATATACTTCATCCCTTTGTCCCTGGAACAGGTCAGCTAGGTGAGTCTAACATTAAAGGAATTAGCTGTTTTTTGGCAACTTTTTCTTTCAAATTTCCAACTGTTAAATGCAACACAAGAAGTGAGCTGGAAGCTAGCCAGGAAACACAGAGCAACTTACACGAAGCTACTGGGGCTATTGGTGATGAGAAACATCTTCTTGCCATGATCAGCCAGTTTGGCCAACACTGCGCGGGTCTGTTCGGCATAGCAGATGTACTTTTCTAAGAGCAAGAGAAAAGTCACACACAGATTCAGCATGAAGTCCCTCAATCTGCAAGTGCTTGCTAACTGGGGCTGACGGGTCCAGCGCTGTCAAGGGCACTTGGAGGAAGAGAAAGAAGTCGTAAGGGAGCTTGGTGCAGGGTGGTCCACTGGTGTCTGGTGCATCAGTAGCCAAGAACCTGCCTCCTCTAAGAGGGAAACACTAAGTGGCTACAGCTGCCAGCGCCTCTCCTTCTGAGTCAGGACCACGTCAAGTTCTGAGGCAAAGGGGAGGGAGATGGCTGAGGCGCAAGGATGCAGAGTCCTTGCCCAGCCTTCAGAAAGGTGCTCAGCCCCCGGAATGAAAGCAAAATGCCTGCATCATCGCAGGGCAAAGGGCAAGGCTGAGACGATCTTCACAATGATGCTGGGTACGCACCAATATCTGCCTCGATGGCTCTGTACATGATCCCTTTGATGTGCACGTCTCGAATTGAATCCTGTCAAAAGATACATTTTTAATCAGTGAACGTATTAGCCTGAGTACAAGCGAAATGGCATTCCATGAGAACGTCTGTCTTCTGAAGACTGGCAACCCAAGCACTAAATGAAATCCGAATTCTGGTCCATTTATCATAGGTGGCTCCCATGGGGAAAACTTACATTTCCATGGTGATAGTGGCAGTTTCCAATGCAATTTTCAAAAGGGTCACTTGGAGGAGATAATTTGTGTAGATCACTCTGAATTAAAGCCCCAAGTGATAAACTGTAACTTTCATGCAGTATCATGAACAAATGATTCCAGGTCATCTGGACAAAGAGCATTATTGCTCTTTTCACCTTTGCACCCTTCCCTAGACCCCAACAACAGGTTCAGTAATCTAGAAGAAGAGGCAGGGACCAATGACAGGATCCTCCCTTCTTTAGTGCTACCAATGAGGCGAGAACTGTCAATGAGATTATAACTCAGGCAGAGACATGGTCCAGCCAGCAGACACGAGGAGGTGGCAGCTAACCCCTCTGCAGGCCCAGGGGTGTGGCAGCCTGATACCTGGCAGGTGTCAGAGCACAGCCCAGCTCCCAGGTGGCAATGAGCAGGTCTTTTACACAGGTGGCACTCCTGGGGCCACATGGAAACTTCCTGGAGCCTATGGCAGGGGACTGGGCTGTGGGCAAACTGGGCCATAAGCCTTGGAGAATTGGTAGATTTCTGTCAAGAGTGAGCATCTCTGGACTATAACCTCGATTTCCTTCCAGCACAGGCTTGTTTCAACTTCGCATGGGCAGAAAGCACTGGTTAAGAATAAGCCAGACCAAACTTGCTGGCTTCAAATCCAGGTTCTGCTACTTACTAGCTGTGTGACCTTGGGCAAGTTACTCAACCTCTCTGTGCCTCAATTTCTTTATAAAATGAGGGTGATGATAATAATAGTATCTACCTCAAGTGAGCATTATGAGGGTTTTAATTAGTTAATATGCATAAAGCACTCAGAAAACAGTTCCTAAAACATAGTAAACTCTGCATACATGTTCACTATTGGTGACAGTAATACTAGTAAAAACTGAAGTTTCAAATAAACAGCGCTCCTCCTGAGTGCAAAGGGTTACATAACTACAAGTGATTCTTAAAGATTCTTGAAGATGAGGTATTTGTGTGCACAAAAAGGAGACCAGAAACTAAATATTGCAATTTAGTTCAAATAACACCAGACTGATGTTGGGAAACTATAATTCATCTTTTATCTTCCTAAAACCCATGATTTGGGCATTCGAAATTTTAAACTAGTCATAACATAGAATAAAAACATAGTAATATATGAATATGAATATAAAAAAGATATTTAAATATATATTAACATAAATACATGTATAAGTGCTTAGAAATATACACACTAAATTACACATAATCAAGTTCTGAAAAAAGTTCAGACACCTTAAAGAGTACATAAACGCATGTGAATATGAATTAAAATATATAAATAAAAGTTATATAGACGAGGTGTGTCTATATGCATCTAAATATTTATATTTGTCTGTATCCCTCTCCGATTGGATTCCCGCAGCTTCGGAAGGGCCTCGGAAAGCCTATGCAGACCCTCTGTGTGCAGGAGAAAAAGGGCGCCCCTCTGGGCAGCTGCAGTCCCTGGGCCACGGTCTGAGACGTGCATGCCATGTCTGTGTGTGTGTGAAGAGTCGCCCCTCCCTGAGGGTACGCTGGGGGTGAGCTGGGTACAGGCTGGGCCCCCACCTCCGCTCGCCACCCCCTCCACCACCGACCGGGTGCCCTGGACCTGGCCTTCAGTCAGAAAGAATTAGAAATCCAAGTAACAACATGAGCACACTCTTAACAACCAATTTGACTGATCTCTAATTCTCCTAACGTAACACCTTTCTTAGAATTTTCAGGGATAAACTGCAAATACAAGAGTCCCCAGGCAAGGGGCTACTTCGAACTCCTAACCTACAAAGGAGGCTAAGGATTCTGTTACTTCGCTGGAAAGGATGCGGCATCGTAATCTCTCGCTGTGGACACAACCTTGACATCTTTGTACAGGTGGACGGGCTCATAGTCAATGTTGTTCTTCAGGAAGTATTCGTTCACGCAGGACAGGAGGGTCATCTCCGGCAGTGAAAAGATATCCATGAACTGCTTCATGGTGTTTCCATGGGAACTCTGCAGGGGAGGGGGGAGGGGGCACTTTAGAAACGGAGGCCAGCACCTCGGCAGAGCTAGGCTTTACGTTTACTGAGGAGGATTCTGGTCAATATCTGGACCCCTCTCCATGAAAAAAGGAAAATTCTTATGTTTAAAAGTAAATATCATTCATGGCAGAGCTGACATCTTACGCAAGTGTTAACTGGTGCATCCAAGGAAATGCCCAATTCCCCCCCAAAAGTCTAACCATCTTTCCCTTTCCTCCCTCCTTTGTGCCCCATCCAACTCCCAGCTCACACTCTCTCATCAAGCACAGAGGAGCACAAGCTAACAGACTACTGCCCGTGGACTGACAGAACAAGCCACCTAACGCTGTCTGTAGCTGAGTTTGAGCACCTCACACAGCCCGTGTGAGAGCTTAAAAAAGAGCCTTTCTCTGAATGCCTGCGAATTAGAATACTCGGTTTACCAGCTGACTGGGCATCTTCCACTGCATTTTGGTCATACAGATAAAAGCATGCCTCTGATAAGACAAGAAACGAAAAGTCAGAGAGGAAAGAGAGCCACGAGAGTTAGAAAAGCAGAGGTTTCCCTTCAGGCACAGAGTAACCTGCTGTCCTCAATCCCAGGGGAAGTGACAGCACAGCCCCCAAAGACTTAATCCAGAAAGTGGGGACACACCAGGCAGGTGGTGGCAAATGGGTAAGTATAAGGAAGGTGTAAGCCTTCGTCAGGTGAGGAGGAAAAGACTATGAAAGGAGAATCATCAGAGAACTCCGAGAGCCGCTAATGTACCATTCTCTCTCAAACCCAGGGTCTCTCAAAACTATCCCCAAATCCCTTGTCAATTCCCTATGACCACTCGAAGAGCCTAGAGTTCAGCACCCTACATCTCCCGGGCCACGTTTCGATAAGGAAAAAGACAGGCTGCTTTAAATTAATAAATAAGCGTTTCTCATTACCTTTCCATAAAAGTCGCTCATCTGTTCCAAAGGCACATGGGACCCCTCGTACATTTCAATGACTTCTTCATCAGGGACCACACTGAGGCCTCTGGGAAAATGACAGGCAGTGCAGTTAAAGAGCTCAGCTACAGACAGCAATGATTTTCAGATTTCTGGCAACGGCTAGGATTTTTCGACTGAGGTGCAAGACGTTGCTGTCACAAGGAGGTGAGGTGTGTCACCGGTAATTGCTACAAACAGACAAGATGCTACTACTATTACTACTGCTGCCATTCTATTGGTAATAAGAGGAAAAAAAAACAATAGCTACTACCACATGGCACCTACTATATGCCAGACATATGAATTCCATAGTCCTTCACTTAATTCTGAGCAATCCTAGGAGGGAGGCACTTTTCTTCTTTCTTCCAGCAGAGGCAACTGAGGCACAGAAAAGTCACACACTTACCCAGGGTCACCAAAGTGGAAAGTGATGAGTCAGGACTGGCTCCTTGGCTTTGTGGCTCTACAACCACTACGTCACACTGCCTCCCTTGACAAGATACAAGGCTTCCTAATGACTTGCTTCGAGGTGTTTTTCTTTTTAATGTTTTTACTACATTAGGGAGAGAATGGCTGGTTCTGTCTCCATCAACCTCGTGCCCTCTGATACTCTACCCTCAGTGCTGAGATGGAAAAAGTCATGCACGGGGCGTGGGTGGACTAAACCTTATGACACAAGGCGGGAAGCCTGGGCACCGCCTGAGAGATGTGACCCAAACAGTGCTCGACAGTGAAGGCCAGTTTCCTTATCTGCGAAAAGCCGAGATAACGTCCACCCGTCTACCGGCCTCCAGGAGCTGCAGGATAATCTGCAAATGAATCCAGCTCCTCCATACACAGGGAAAAATAAATTTTGGAGTCAGGGTGGCTAGATTTCACCCCTGCCTCTGCCACCAGCACTGTGAGCAGGTGCTTTCACCTGGGACTCAATGACCTAATATCTCCTCACCTGGAATCGCCTACTCTTGAGTGTTATGAAGGGAAACGCTGCTCATCTATCCCTTCTCTAGAAGAGAAGGTGCTTGCAAAACAGACTCCATGATGAGGAAACCACAGAATGAATGAATGATGGAAACACCACGCTGAGCTACGATGAGAGCATAAATAATTCAATAAGAATTCTAGTAACTAATACGGATAGGTTGCTAAGCGTTCAAAATCACTTGGCCAGTGTTAAAGTACATATAAAATATAATTTGTTTGATATGTAACTTCAATGAAAATATACTTGCAGACTCTTTCCTTCATTCTCCACCCTCATATTACTTTTAAAAATACCTGAGTGGATTCATCAATATTTTGTCTCCAATCATAATTAACTTGTTACCACTACTACTAGCCTTTGAAAACAAAAGAGGCACTATTTCCGTTTATCTTTGCTCCAGAAATCAGATAAGATACTGGCACTAAGCCAGATCATTCTCGACAGTGAACTTGGCAAACAGCTCCTGCTAAAGCGGCAGCAGTCAGGCGTGCACACTCCTAAGGCCCTAACACTTAGAAAGAAAATACAAAACTAAAAGAACTCTGCCAGGTGAGTGAATCCTCTGCCTCCACACTAGGCTCAGCCCAGGCCTTCAGAAGCCACTGCTACCTTTAAACAGTCACAGGCACCTGGCCACACGAGCTGTACCCTTAAGGCCTAAGTAACCAAATGTCCACTCAAAAGGAGCAGAGAAATCAGTCTGCCACAGCCAACTGAATTTTGCAGGAGGCAGATGGAGCACCACGCGGAACTACTTTGACCAGCTAAGGCGGCCTGTCACCGCATCTGAATGCAGCCTAAAACGACACTGAAATCAAAATGAAAACTGCTTTACACAGCCCTGTGCGGTTATGAGACATATACAGGTTAAAAGCACAGATCTGAACAAGTCCTGCCTGGGGTTCAAACCCCGGCTCCCATAATTACTAAGGGTATTACCTGAACAAGAAATTGAACGTGTCCAGGTCTCCATGTCATTTTAAAAATGGGAACAATAATAGTACCTCTTTCCCGGTGTTCCTGAGATTAAATGAGCTACTGTATACAGAAGAGTGAGTGGTATACGGTAAGCACTGTCAAAGTTTTGCTGGTGGGACTGTGATGGGAACGACCAACCCTAGCTTTTCTCAAGGTTCTAATTAAGAACTGAGAATGTGGGTACGAAATGGGACGGCAGTGGAGAGCCAGTCTGCCGCCTCCTCTGCCCAGTGGCGCTCACTCCCACAACCCAAAACGTAAAATTCACTCACATGCAGCGGGTCTCAGAAACAAGCGAGGCTGAGGCAGAAGCATGCTTCCCAGCCATCCGCTCATCCACTACCCCTTTTGAGGGGAAAAGAAAGAGAAGACATTTATGCATGCCTGTAGTGTGAGTGCCTTGGGCACTGTTCCAAGCATGCTTTAATCTGTAAGACAAGCTGGAAGCATGCCCAGTTTGCAGAGGAGCAAACCAAGGCTTTGAGAGGTCAAGAGTTTGCTCAAGGCCACACGCATGTGAGCAGTGGGGCCAGGGTTTACACTCGGGGAGTGCGACTCCAGAGCCCACCCATGCACCCCTGCTGCCTCAGCCCGCCACACCCTAAGCACTGAGCGCAAAGCCATCTTCCCAGGTCCTAAAGCTGAACACTCCCTTCTCCTCCAAATGCCTCGCTGGATCCTCCTGCCTCACCTTTCCATGCGCCTTATCACAGCAGCGAAGGTATCTATAGATGAGATAAGACAATTAGAGGAGCCACGAGATCATGTGACCATAGAAGAGAAGAGAAAAAGACCATTTCGGGTTGAGGGGTGAAGAGAGGCCTCACCACAAGTCAGCCCTGAAGGAAGGATGAGTGAGGTTTCGAGAAGCAGAGAGGAAAGAAATCGGTTTCCTGGCAGACGCCAGTGTGAACAGATGCCGAGCAGTGAGAAACGAGAACTCGGAGGAAAGGACTATGCGTGTTGTTTGCACCTGCCCGACATCTGCTCCCTCTGAGACTGGTGGAAACTGGTGAGAAACTCCTCCTCTCCTGTCAACCTGGAGCTGGTGGGATGGAAGCCCGGTATTGCCAGGGTCACCACAGAGAGGGGCCTGCCTGAGAGGGGGCCAACCCCGAGAGCGAGAGGGCCAAGAGCGAGAAGGAGGTCCGACCATAACAATCTGGCCCCTGGAGCCAGCCGAACCTGCAACCGCGCGGTCCTCAGACTGCACCATGAGTGAGCCAACACTGTGTTTTTGTTTAAGCCGGTTTGAGTTGAGTTTCAGTCGCTTGCAACAGAGGCTTAACCAAGCCAAGAAGCGAAGGAGCTATGTACAAAAGAAGAGGAAGTGAAGGTTGGCAGAAAACCTAAGGGGTTTGGGCTCTATTCTCTAGACGGTGGGCAGTCATCCAGGATATCAGAAGAGAGGAGGGGTTGGTGGAGGGCAGTGTTTTAGGTAAATCGGTTGAGCAACGATGTCCAGGAGGGATCTCACGGCAGGTAACTGTGAGGCCCAGAAGAGAAGGAATGAGTGTCTGAGTCAGGGGGCTGATGGTAGAAACACAGATGGAGAAATAAATCGAAAGATCTGCTCAGGGACTTCTAGTTATCACTCGCACTTTCGGAAAGTCCATACTGCATGTGGGCCAAGAGCACAGACTCTGGAGCCACACTGCTTGGGTCTGAATTCTTCCTCTGTGTGGCCTTAAGCAAGTTATTTAACATCTCTGGGACTAATAAGTACCTACCTCTACCTCATAAGGTTATTTTTAGGATCAAATGCATTAAAGCAAATAAATGGCAGTGTGGCAGTGTGTATCCCATAGCAAGACTCAATATTTATTAATTGCTATTTATTATTACTAAGATTATTGTTATTCTCATCACCACCACCACCTCTTCTCCCTCCAGAAACACCATTCGATGACAATAAAAGAGTTGGGTTTAAATTGCTCAAAAAGTAAAGAAAATGAGAGCCAAGATGTCAATAAACGAGACATTTCAACATGTTTTTGGAAGTCAAATCACAGATGAAAAGGAGGCACCTGACTTAGCAACACTGAGAACAGGGGCTTATAAGGGGACACCAAAGGGAAGAACTCATGAACCACCACAGATCCCAGAAAGGCTCAGCCCTTCAGGACACCAGGCAGCTCCTAGAGGATGTGCTCCAGCAAGATGAGGGCGTAAAGCTGGAAAGAAGCAATGGGAACCAAAGGACAGGAAAAGAGGCGAACACAAGTCCAAGGATGAGCCATCAGTGGAGATCAGAGCAAGAGGCAGTTGTCAACTTTTTAAAAAAGTAAATGACAGGTTATATAAAATATATGAATTGTTGGGAAATAAATGCATGCTTGATATTAGTGATGGAGCATTTAGAAAAACGAGGGATACCTACACTGAAAACTAAGCAAATAAAAAGTGAGGTTATTATGAAATCCTAGAAAGACCTAACACTGTACCAGGAACAAATAATCACAGGGCAAACAATGATGGTCGGTCATATATACCCAGATACAAAGATCTTATCGAGGTGAGAAGAACGAGGCCGGAGAAGAGGGTGTGCGTGCAGGAGAACCGAATCCTCGTCTCTCATAGCAGGGACGATGCTCAGAATTAACAAATTAGGAAACAGGAGAATGAGCATATTCATTAGAAACAGGAAGGAGAAAAATGCTTTAATTCAAGAAGAGTTTAAGGGGTGTGGGTGGGGGAGGGAGGACAGAGGATGCTGTTGTCCCCTATGGCATTTTTAGTCCTATTTGATTATAACCGTGTGTGTGTGTGTTACTTGTATAAACAAATATTAACTTCAGCAAAGAATCTGTGAGATATACACACCTCTTAAGGTACCTTATGTGACTCTAGACGGAAACCGCACTCCTAAATCCCACACGAATTTAAGAATGAGAAAAAAGTAAAACCCTTCATTTTCAACGTTACAAAGACTGCTGACTGAGCTAAGTGCTTCTACGAATTCCAACACAAGAAAAGTCTTAATATCCAAACCACTCGATGACCACCGTGGAAAGAAGAATGTGCTCACTCGCTCCAACACCCCTCCCCACCCAAACCTCCTCTCCAGGACACAAACTCAGCTGGCCGGCCATCGCCTCCGGAAAGCCAGTCCTCTCACAGAGTCCTCCAGAGAGCTCCTGATTGTCTCAGCACATGTCCATCGTCACCTTGGTCACTCCGGACTGCAGTCACCGGTTTACGTGTGTGGCTTCGCCCTTCACCCCGAGCTCCCTGAGAACACGCTTATAAGCCAAACCATCAGCATCTACCATGGCAGCCGGCCCCGATGAATATCTTGAACGAGGGAGGGAGGGAGGAAATGATTCCCCAACACACACACTGCAGCCCTCCTCGTCACTCAACAGTCAGTGGGTCTTGAAACTCGAAGCCACTTGGTTTTTTTGAGTGAATTAAATTTGCCTCCTCTGACCCTTACCTATAGACAGTTCCCAGCTGGATGTAATGAAAAGCATCAATCTTCATCAGTATTGCCTTCAAAAACATAAACAACAGGCACACGTAAATAATGCACAACAATTTCCATATTTAATGAGAATTCTAGTGTCACTATAAACCCCATCCGCATTTAAGTTGTCATAACAAGGAAGTACACTGTGTGCTTCCGAAAGGTTTGCTTGCTGATTAGAGGTACTGTGCAATTCATTAAGGAAATGGCCTATTGGCGAAAAAAAGATGTGACAATTGGCAACTCAAAACACCAAAAAGGGATACTGGGAATAAACGGCATCTCCCAAATTGCTAAATGTATTCATGCTTTTCTAATATGTAGTCTCTTGAAAAAGACTTAATCCAAAGATGTTTTGAGTAATTCATTTCTGTAGCCCAAAAGAACATTTTAAATCGATTTATGTGTTGAGCAAAGAAAAACACCAAGAGTACATTTTATTCCCAAACACCGTTAAACTGAAGAAACACATGAGAATTAAACCTACCCGCTGCACATCATAATGCAGTCCACGAATTGCAAAACTGGGGTCGTACTCATACTTCCTGATTTCCATAGGATACTAAAAAGAAAGAAAAGAACCCGTTTTAGCCAACGATGTACTAAGTTCAAGGTAGTGTCCAGATGTGGCCCTCGTACAAAGGCCGAGGTGGCTAACGCACTTGGCTGGGAAGGTGGGGTCAAAAGGGGCAGACCACATCGTGTCCTTCTGCTTCCGGAAGAAGAACCTCCTGGCCCCAGAGTCCTCCCTCCTGCCTCGCTTGCTGTTGATCTGCCCATCACAGGCGAGGCCTCATCTCCCCAACTTCTCTGATCCTAACTGCCCCCTCCCCTCCTTTCCCTCTGCATCCAGACTCCCCGATCCCTGAGAGCCCATAAACACATCTGCCTCTACCTCCTTTAACACACTGTCGACCATCATCCATCAAGCTCACCTTCGAGCACCTGCATGTCACAGCCCCCGATGAACCCACTACCAGGTTTCATGGAGAGACTCAAGCTGAAAAGTTTTCAAAGAGGCCCCTCCATACTGTTTTCATCATTCTTCTCACCTGGACGGCTGGCCACTGCTCATCCTCCATGACTGGAGGGGCCGGACCCCACAGCTGTCGGTGCAGCCCCCTCCCACTCAGGCCTGCAGAGGCCCCTTCTCAGCACGTGGTTCCGAGTTATTGCTCCAATGCTCTGACTCAGAACGTGCACGATTTCTGGAGGCAGCTCGGCTCCCCTGATACTTGCTGGTTATTAAACCGGTCCTCAAACTATGCAAAAATCCCAGCTCCCTCCTTATCTACTGCTCAGAATAAGAACACTAGCTACTCCACTGACAGAACTGATGTACCGAGCACTGCGGGCCCTGCCACTCCCATTTTACAGACGGGACATCTGAGGCACCAAATAAAACCACCAGGCCTGGACCACACAGCTGGGGCGTGGTGGGCAAGGAGTCAGGCTCTGGCCTCTGCCCCTGCTCTCCCCTCCACCCGGCCCCCTCCGCCCGCAGAGCACAGACCTACAGGGCGGAACATCGGTTCTGTGCCACCAGAACTTTCCAATTGTGACATAAACTGCTTCAGTAAAAACTGAGGCGATGATCAGGAGGCACGAGAAACCCATCTGCACGGACACATGGCTCCTTTTCACGGCCAGAGTCACGCTGGCATGGGAACATTTCCCGGTACCACCAGGCAGAACCGCACGCAGCAAGTTTTCAATTCAAGCTGCACAAAGTGCTGACTCAAATGTCACATTTGGGTTCATCTGTCTGACACCTGCCACGTATACCAAGAAGTCACTACATGACACTGCCACTCAGGGGCGTTCCCAAGAATTCTGAACACTGCAAGATTCTCTTTGTTCACTATCATACTTAATATACACACACCCGGAACCTAACACACGGCACCAGACTCCTGCCAACTAAAGTGAGGCTTCAGGACCCCACGCCTCTGGAGTCCCCTTTCAACTCAGGAGTGACGAATAAGGGGTTTCTGAGAGAGAGGCTTTTGTTGAGTCTTGGCCATGTGCCACACACTGTTCTAGACACTTTCTGTGACTTTATTTGCTCCTTATTTCCCCAGCATGAAGGAGGTATCCCATGTCCATTTTACTGTTGACTAACCTGAGAAGGAGGGCTGAGGAGCCTGCCTAGAATCGCAAAGATAAACAGAGGTCAGGCCAGTACTCAAAGCCAGGTCCGGGTCCCGCCCAAGTCCATCCCAACCACCCTGCAATCAATGCTAGCCCAACACTGAGCTGCCATGCTGGATGCTCACTGCCTCTTGTGACAGCTGGTACCGCCACCCAGAGGGCTCAGTGACTTTGCTGGGGGGACTCACGGTTCTGTGCTACTTTAGCCGAGAGACGGGATGCGAATAGGAGAGCATACGCGCTCTGTCCATGGCCTGCTGCAAAGTCTGGGGCTCCTTCCTTGAACAGGGCTTATCTGGGCTCCCCAACAGGACACAAGACATCACAGTGAGACATGGCTCCACGCCCACTCACATTCCCCTGCCTGTCGCTGTCACTGTGTATTCTTGGGGAGCCACTCCTGATAGATACACAATGGTTTTTCAAATGGTCCAGAGACCAAAGTAGATGACCTGGAGACCTGACAGAAGTGGCTGAAAGAGTCTCCACAGGACAAGTCATGATGCAGAACACAGGCCAACTTCTAGTCTTACTATGTGCTACCTGGGTGACTTTAGGCAAGGTCACCTGTCTCTCTAGGCCTCAGTTCTCTCAACTACAAGGTAAGAATAACATTAGTCCTACCTTACGTGAAAGCAGAAAGGACTGAGTTAAAAGGTTCCTGCGGGGAACCAGGGCCGACTCCGGCACGCATTGGAGAACACTGCGTTGCTTTGTAGGACGGGGCATCGGGAGGCTGGGCTGTCAGACCCGCCCCACAAGCTGCTGCTGCGCTCCCGGAGGACTTCAGGTGAGTCCCTTAACCTCGCCAGGCCTCTCCTTCACACGGGAAATCAATTGGTTGAACTGGGGTGATTTCTACGCTCCACTCTTGCCCCTAAGCTGTACTTCTCCATTCAAGCAGCCAAGTCCTAAATGACCTCATGGCCCCTTTCCAATACACACACACACACACACACACACACGCAGCACCTCTAGGAATAACTGCTCATGGCAACATCCAGTCAAGGAAGTCAAAGCTGCTCACATCGGCCAGGATGTCACACTTCTCTCCAATGGCCTACGGCTAGGTTTTCTGGACTCTACATAGTTTAGAAACTTTCCACCAGCCTGAAAAACATGACTCACCCAATGTGTCGTGAAGATTACTGTTATCCCTAGAAGCAGGAAGTAATAGATAAAAGGACTTTTACTTGAGAGTTTTATTAAAAGTTTTCTTATTTAGGCCCAGACTGGTTTCCTTCAGTACCTGAATTTGCTCCAACTCCCGGGGCAATCTGGGTAGGCTAGTATGTGTGGACAGAGAAAGATCACTCTGAAAATGCTACAGAAATGTCTCTTACAGCCTCAAGGAAAGTTAAGACCAAAACACTGCAGAAAACCCAGGGGTTCCCATGTGGGTGACTCCTACAGTTCTGCGGCTTGGCCATGCACCCCTTCCTGGCTAATAACGGAGCCCTGACCACAGCTTGACCTCAACATTACAACACTGCCCGTGATCCCTGAGGTAAAGATGCCTATAAATATATCCGTTTTTCAGAGGCCCCAGTATGATATTTAAAGGAGCCTAACTAGAGGCTAATTAGAGACAGAGCAGAAGAGCGTAAGCAGCAGCTCCCCAAAATCCACACGAAACATGAAGTGGGGGCACAATGACCTGTATCACAGCGGCAGTACCACACCAAGCACGATACTCACTTCACTGTGGATTCCACAAAGACGCCAAGTACTCACTGAGCACGTGCTTTGTGCACTGGGAATGTGGCCATGAGCAAGACTGACAGTCTGTGACCCTAAGAAGTTTCCATTCTACTAAGAGCATACGGACCGTACACAAGTGAACACACGGTGTAGTGATAAGGACTGCGAACGAAATGTAGTCTAAGGGTTCAGAGATCTCAAAAAAAAACCAAAAATCGGGCGCAAGGCCTTGGGCTGCCTGGAGCCAGGGAAGACCTTCTACGGCAGAGGAAATGGCGAGAGCAAAATGCAAAGGCACAAAGGTAGGAACATGCCTGGCAGCTCAAGGAGCAGCAGGGAGGCTGGTGTGGGGGGAGCAGAGTGGGAGCAGGTGGGAGGAGGGGCTGGCAAGGAAGCCAGGGGCCTGGGAGCACGGAAGGCCTCTGTGGTTCCAAGGGCGGTGGGAAGGCGTGAGGGGGTGGAGCCCAGGAGTGACATGATTGATATTTAAAGGTGCTCTCTTGCTGCCGAATAGAGAGCAGACTCGGGAGCAGAAACAGAAGCAGGGAGGCCCGTCAGGAAGCTGCTGCACCGTCGGGCGGGAGGCGATAGGTGGCTTGGACCAGGGTGGTGGCCGTGGGGGAGGTGAGAAGTGGACCGAGTCCGGACGCATTTTGAATGAATTATCTTCTGAATGAGTGAAAAGAGAGCTCACAGCTGCAGAGTGACTTCCTCCCAAAGAATGCAGCATGAGAAGGGAGAAGAAGTGTGAACAATGGAGAGGCCTGATAAACATGGCCTCCGCCAGACGACCGAGGCCAGCGTCACCGGTGATGGCGCACTGATGGCACACGGAGCCTGGATAAGAGGTGATGAGCATGGCCCTTCACCTCTGTGGTCTTCTTCCTTCAAACCCATGACCCCAGTCTGACCATGAGAAAAACGTCAGACAAATCCCAAGAGACGGGCATCCTAAAACATACCCCAAACTGTCAAGGTCATCGAAAACAAGGAAAGTCTGAGAAACGGTCAAAGCCAAGAGGCGCCTCAGGGGACATGACAACTACACGTAATGTGGTGTCCTGGACGGACTCCTGGAAGAGGAAAAGGACATTCGATAAAAACTAAGGAAATCTGAACCAAGTACAGACTGTAGGTAAAATTGAATATTGGTTCTTTCGTTGTGATCAATGTACCACAGTGATGTAACAGGTTAACATCAGGGAAAGCCAGGTGTGGGCTACATAGACAGGAGCTCTCGATATTACCTTTGAGAATTTTCTGTAAACCTAAAACTCTTCTTAATGTTTATTTTTTTAAAAAAGAGAGAGAGGACCTGCAGCATGTGCTGAGAGATCACGCGTGGAACACAGGACGATGTCAAGGATCCCGTCATGGCCTCCAGGTTTTGGGTTGACGTCGGTGCCAGTTAATGATCGGGAACACTGACGAGGGCGTGAATCAGAGACATGAAGTCAAGACCTCTTCTAACGCTCCCTTTTTCATCCCTTGGTGGACGTGTGGAATTAAGATACAAACAGAGTTATTACCCAGTATTTTTTATGTCTATTTTTGTAAAAACTTGTTCTTATAAAAAAAGAAAAAGGGTAATTAAGGAGCTGGAACTTTTACATTTGCTTTTTGGGAAGATGCTCAATTGCACACTTACTGTTCTATTACTGTGCATCTCAAAAGCAGATGTCTTTCCATCCCTAGTACATTTAGTCTTTGGCAGGAAAAACGGCCCCAAACTCAATGCTTCCAGCAGCATCTCAGAAAAATTCTTTTCAAATCCAAAGTAAGAGAAAAATCTGCATAAGCCTAACTGACGCTATAAATATTCCTGATATAATTAGTGTTATGACATATTTCTTTCATCAAAGCAACAAACAGACACAATGGGAATGAAATTTCAATGATCTTAAACCTAGAAGCTTTCCTAATCATAATGATTACACCTTTCTATTTCACCTCTCAAATTTCATAAATTGTTTATCTTCATAAATTTTTAATCTTCATGAATATTTTATCTTCATGCGAACAATAAACCCATAGGCTACAAACAAAAGGTGTTATTAATTCCACAAGCGGCAACGTGGAATAAAGGAGAGAGCATTTGTGCCTTGGAAATAAATAGATCTAAGCTCAAATCCTGGTTCTGCCTCCTACTGGTCTTGTGGCCTTGAACGACTGGCTTAATTCCATAAGCCTCGGTTTCCTCAGCTATAAAACAGAGACAATATCTATTTGCAGGGTTGTCATGCAGAGTAGAAATGACAGTAATAGCTAACATTTATTGTTTTCTATGTGCCACACACTTGACATAAATTAAGTCATTTAATTATCAAAATAACATTGTAAGGAAAGTACTATGTCCACTTCACAGAGGAGGAAACTGAGGCCCAAAGAAATGAGGTGCGTTTCTCAAGATTACCTATGAAATAAGTGGTGAAAACCAAGATTCGAACCCCAGACAGACATCGGGCTCTAGAACCTGTGCTTTTGGTACCTAGCAGACAATCAGCAGATGGTGCTGTTAGTAACAATGGCCTTCACTTTATGAGTGATAGCAGAGTCACAGCAAATACTGCAGGTGACCTGGGACTAGGAAGCCAGCACCAACGCAGCACCCCTTTCAGCTCGATCTCCCAGCAGGGTGGTGGGGAGGTGGTACAGGTTGGCAGAAGGGAGAGCAAGCGCAGGACGACCTAGTTCTCATTCTGCTTCCATCCTTGCAGTTAAGGAAAGGGCTGTGGGTTAGACAGGAGAGAGTCTTTTGAATACACAGAGAAACGCAGCTGTGTGGCAAATGGCTAGATGGGTTGACATCGGGTAAAGTGGCCATAACTAAAAAAAGCTGGCTGTTGGCTTGGTGGCTAGAGGGAATGTTATTTTTGGCAAATGCCATTTCTGTATTTTGCATAAAGACAAGATGAGCTGCTTATTAAATCCACTGATCACCAAAAGCTGAGGAGATCAAGAAATACACTGCATCAATGGTGAGGATACAAAACTAATGGAAATTTTGGCAGCATTAATAAAGGTATGGTATCCAGAATGAGGGAGGAGATGGCCTCCCTCTATTCCACACCCATCAGACCCCACCTGCAGTAACATATCTAGTTCAGGGTCTCACATCTGAGAGGGATAAACCAGAGCACACGCAAAGGAGCGTGACCAAGATGATGAAAAGACCAGAAAAAAGGCCAAATGAGAATGGCTGAAAGAACTAAGAATAATCGGCCTGTTAAAGAAGGTTTGGGGGCATAACAGCTGGTCTGCATAACACCCAGCCTATTGCTCAAACAGTCCAGTTTTAGGCTTCCCCATGCATCCCACCTTTGCTGAGACACTCCTTCCAGACTGCTGAAATATCACCTTCTTTTGTTGTTTTCCCAATTCCCTCTGGCAGAGAAAGTTGTTCCAACCATCCTCCACACATCCTTCGCCCTCTATCCAGATGTCTGTAGAGGCCTCCACCAGGTGGCTTCATAATTCATCTGCCTACCTGACTGATCCCCTACTAGGCTGCTGGGTCTCCAAGGGCAGTACCTGGGTCCTTCTCACCTTCATCCTCTCTGCTTCTGTGACGGGGCTTGGCACAGAGAGATATTTAACAAAGGTTTAAGGAATGTGTGAAGGAATGAATAAAGAAGACAGACTGATGCTGAAAGCTGTATGAAGCACATTTCTCGACCCATGGAAGAATCTCCCCAAAATCAGAACTGCCTCTGGGAGTAACGCACTCTGGTCTGAGACGGAGATTCAAACTGCACGTCCTGGGATGCTGTGGGGGTTCTCCGAGGGCACGAGTCCAAATGACCTCTGAGGATGCATCTCGCCCTGGTTCCTGAAATGTGTACTCACACTAGATTGGAGGAAAGCATGTTAGGTTTTGAGTGTTTTTTTCCTTCCTTATTCTAAACTCTCCACAATACTATGCACCAGAAGACATGATTTGAAGTGATTTAAATCAGTGATGAAGGTAAAACATTGTGTATTTATATGACAAGCCCTGACTTTTTTTTTTTTTATTTTTTGTAATCCAAGTGCCTGACTTAAGATTGGATTTTGGAAGCATCCATTTCAAAAAGGCATCCCCTCTAAATCTCAAATAAACACAGTGCCAGGCACACCAACTGGATAGGGAGCCAGGCTGCCTCCCGCTACTATATGTAGCTCCTTCGATTTACAGATCTTGGTTCATTTCAATAAATGACCACTGGGCTACTTGTTTGCTTTCTCTTCCCATGGTTTAAATTCCTGCTCTTACGTTTTAAATTCATCAATAAAGGGCGAGCCTAGGAAACTACGGCCACCCCCCACCCTCGACTCCAGTAAAAGCAGAAGCCCAGGCCCATGCCCCATCGGCCCCCTCGACCTCACTGTGCGGCCCCAGGCGTGCTGTGTAACTTCTAGGTCTTGTAACTAATAAGCCCAAATCTTTTCAGTTTCCTGATGGTTACTGCTGAAGGGCACCTTGCGATCCTAAGAACCACAAGGATTGGTCCCGCCACAACACTGGTTACTGACAGGCTGAGACCAGTACGAAACATACCGGCCATCATTTGAAGAATTCCTTCTAACCAGAACTCAACGGGCTGCCCCGCCCCTTGCCCCAGACTTTGGAAGAAACTAGGTCACTGCTCTGTGAAAAATTTCTGCAGGTAGAGCCCCTCTAATTCATAACTTGGGACAGTTTTTTGTCAAGAGACATCTAAAGATGTAAAAAAAAAAAAACAACAAAAAACTATCTTCTGGGTACAAAGTTTAGGTTATGCAAGTAAGCAAGTTCTGGAAATCTATTCTACAGCATGGTGCCTACAACCGATAATTTGTACTGTATACTTAAAATTTGCTAAGAAAGCAGATCTTATACGAAGTGTTCTTAAAACACACAGGCACACAAATAATAATAATAGCAAAGGGGGCAGGAGGAAACTTTGGGAGGTGACGGAGAGTTTACAGCTTTGATGGTAGGGATGGTTTCACAGGTGTATACTCATTGCCAAACTCATACATTAAATACATACCGCTTTTCACATGTCAGTCATACCTCAATAAAGTGGTTAAAAAAAAACACAATCTTCCAGATAGACTGGAACAAATTAGACTCATTCATTCAGCCACGACTTGGAATAAATTCCACTCGTTCATTCAGCCACGACCTACCAAATGACGTCTATGTGCCAGGCGCCATGAGGCCAGGTCGGCTCACGGCTGTTCTTGAAATGTCTAAGAGACAGGGGAGGAAGACTAAAATGCCCCTGTGCTCTTACCCGGTGTTCATTGATAAGGAGGTCCCGAGCAGCATTAAATATCAGTGTGTGCAGGTGCTTTGAATAAAACACCAGGGTGTAGTCATAGTCAAAGCCATAGACCTCAATGTCCGACAGGCTCATCTCGTTGTTGGAGAAAATGGCGTCTGGATTCAGCAAGTTGCTCATGATAGAAGGAACCGATTCTGGAAGTAAAGAAAAAAAGAATACATTATACCATATAATAAATAAGGGTTAGTGTGACTTCTAAATACAGTGAGTAAACGAAAGTGCAAGAGCGATTTGCTTTACCTTGAAAACATCAGGCTGAGTGAAAGAAGCCAGTCACAAAGGACGACGTGTTGTATGATTCCATTGATATGAAAGGTCTGGAATACGCATATCCACGCAGACAGAGAGATTAGTGGTTGACTGGGGGGATGTGGAGAAATGGAGTGACTGCTAATGGGTATAGAATTTCTTTTTGGAGTGGTAAAAATGATCTGAAATTGATTACGGTGATGGTTGAAGAGCTGATGTAAATGTGCTAAAAACCTGAACGGGAGACTTGAAGTGAGCGAACTGTAGAGTATGTAAATAATACCTTAATAAAACTGTTAATACAAAAGAATATTCGTGTCAACATCACAAAAAGATTTGCTTTGTTTGTGAAATAAGACAGGTCAATTATAGATTTTTAGAAGACAGATGATTAAATTTAAAAATCATGTCATCACCCAGAAAAAAACTATTAACATTTTATGTATTTGCTGCCAATATTGTTCTGTGTATATATTTTACATAGTTGACCTCGCACTGTATATACAGCTTTGTATTATGATCTCTAAATTTAATATTCTACCATGATTGCATTCTCTTATCATTACAGACTTTCTGAGAATATAACTTATAAATCATTACATAAGATTTAGGTATACTATGCCAAATCAACCTATTACTCTACGCTACACATTTGGGGTTTTTTCCTATTAAAAAAAATAATAACAACACTGCAATAAGTATCTTTGTGTTAGTCTTTACTTTTCAGATTCTTTCAGATGGTTTATTACAAGTGTGATTAACCCCCAACCTACCATCAGGGTCCCTGGATCCAATAATAGCTCAGAGTTTCTTTTTTTTGAGCAGTTCTAACTGTGTGTAAGGATAGCTATTTCAAGACTTATTTTTTCTTGGAAGTTTTCCCAAAACTCATTCTACCTTACAATTTCCATAAGTCCACTGGACCCTTTTAAAAATCTAAGAGGCAATATGAACTGTTCATGATCTTATTCTTCCAACGTCTTGAAACATTTTGCTATTTTTCCATGGCAGGAATTATTTCATTGTTACATGACTACTTCCATCTATCACTAAAAAAAAAAAAAAGACTAAATTAAGAAAGCAGAACGATAGGAGATTGTCTGGACGGTACAATAGCAAAATAAATCCTCACTACATCATCCTTCAGTTCCCTCACTGCACTGTCCAACGTATTACATTATTTTCAAGAAGGTATAAAAGGATTCCGAAGATACCATCTTTGCAGTCATTTTTTTTTAAGCTTTCATCAAACACAATTGGAAATTCATAATTTTCCATTTTCCACCCATAATGGCGAAAAGAATAAAACTGACAGAAGAAGACATTTCACAATTATTAGATGAGTCAGAAGATGAATGTAAAGAGATAGAAAGAGGCTCTCTAGCACCTCATAATGATGGAGAAATTGATCATGTAAGTGAAATCTCAGACTATGAGTCTTCAGCAACCATATCTTAGATGAAATTTAGGATCAAAATCTTTACAATATATTTCTAAAGACAAAAAGGAAATCAGATATTCTCATCCAGTTTTCACAGATAGTCACTTAATGGGAAGAACCTCATCATGAAACATTTTGTGACAGGAATACTAACTATCCTATTTTGCTAGAATGTGACAGCATTCTTACACCTTTTATGATGTTTGTGCACCAGAATTTATTGAAACAGCTCCTAAGTAGACAAACGCTGAAGACAGGTAACTTTCTGGAGACAGGTACAAAACAATCAACACATGCATACAAAAATTCAACTATCCATATTTACTAAAAATGGAACTGTCCTTATTTTACTATTCTTTATGTTACTAAAGACAACCTCCTGGCTCCATTGTAAGAGCTAATATCTATTAAGCATTTACCATATACTACATGTGTTATTTTATATTACCTCATTTAACCTTTACAACAACCTTATGAGGCAAATACTCTTATCCCATTTTATATATGAGGACACAGGCGGCACTCAGAAATTAAATAATTTGCTGAAGGACACACACCCACTAAATAAATGGCAGACCTGGCCTTTGAACCTAGGAAGTCTGGTTCCGGAATCTATGTTGTTAGCTCCCTTCCCCAGGATCATGGGAATCGATAAGCATTGGAGAAGGGTGCATTTGTTTCCAAAAATAAAATGGACTCGATCCTTCACCATTTCAGTTTTTACCAGAGTTTACAGTGCTTCCGCTTTCCCTTCTGATCACCTTATTCTAACTAGGAATGGCTTGTGTTATCCGCTTCCATGCTAAGGGCCACCTGAAGTCCTCGAAAGGTACTACTCTAGCAGGGGTAACAGCTCTAATCAGAGGACGGTCCCAGTTGCAATGAGGTATTCTCAGCACTTCAGAATGTTCTTTACAGCTTTGAGGCTTGGATCCCTTTGAAAACCTAAAGAAGCTATATATAGAATCCTCTCCCCAGAAGAATGTACACACAGATCTTACAGAAAATTTCATGGCGATTAACCCCTGACACCCATTCATGGTCTGGAGTGTAATCAGTTGCCATATCACACTAACTTAAAACCAAAGCTTTACATCCCCATACAGAATTTCCAGGCCAATGAAAGCAAGTGAATGAATGAATGAATGTTTCTCCCACTGACAACCTAGATATGGCTGAGTCTACTGAAAACAGATAATCGAGATTCACCAATTCCATTTCTTCATTAGTTTCTTTTGTCAAAATCAATGAGATGATAATCTTGGCTTTTTTTTTTCCTTTTGCAAATAAAAACAACTTGACAGGAAACAGTAACATTATAAGAAACTCAAAGGCAGACAGTTCACAAGAACTAGTCTTGAGGAAGGGGGAAGCCTATAGTCCCAAGCTCTTCAGCACAGAATCCCAAAGACCTGGCCTTATATAATCAATAGGCTACCACGATGATGCTATTTTCTGAATCTGACCATGTGGCATTGTCCTTATGAAGTAAGTGAAGCGGAGTGGCTTATAGATTGACTAAAACCTCTAGTTTCACAACCAAACTTTCCAAGGGAAGTTCTAACAGCCTGCTTACATTAGAAGTTTATATTTAGAAATGGTGTTGGCAATGAAGTCTCTCTTCCCTTCTATCACCAGAGAAGAATATCCGAAGCTCTCAGGGAAACACTACTAGGACAGAATATAACGAATATTCTAAAGGTGCCCAGGAACCAAGCCCCTTGCTGGACTGAGAGCCCAGGGTGTATTTATCACATAAACATCATCACCAGAAAGCACGGATGTTTAACCTGCCATCACTCAAAATCAATAAGAGGAACACCAGGAGCTTTAAAGGGATCTCGACATCCCCTGCAACCACTTCAAAAAAGTGTTAAGGCTGTAACAAATACTTAAAAGGCAAAAGGAAAGAATGCCAACCACTCACAAAGAAAGAAACAGTCTGTCTAAACTGCAGACTCTAAAATATAAACAGAAGGGCTCTTGATTAGTCAGTTATGTACTTTCCCAAAACAGAAACGAGAGTGGGTACAAATTTAGAAAGTGAATTCCTTTAGTACCTAACGATGAGAGCAAGGCTACAAAGAAATGGAGAGACAGCTCTGTTGCTCTGGCCAAAGCTCTGAGCGCGGTTCCAATGCAGCCACCCTGAGCTGGAAGCCAAGCGCCTTTTCAGAGAACAATGTGGCAGATGGGGCACATTTTGCTTATCCACTCCTCCATCGATGGACACTTGGATTGCTTCCACCTTTTGTCTATTGCAAAGAATGCTGCTATGAATATGGGTGGACAGATATCTCTTTGACCCCCTGCTTTCACTCCTTTAGAATATATATCCAGAAGTGTAATTGCTGGATCACATGGAAATTCGATTTTTCATTTTTTTGAGGACCTGCCATACTGCATAGCCGCTGTATCATTTTCTGCTTTTTTTTAAAAGATAACGAGAATTCCTTCCTTGCCTAAATGTTATCTTTACTACTGACAGAGAAATGAATAAAGTCAGGACTTAGTTACAGAAGTCAGACATTTCCCAGCTAGTCAAGGAAACATTTCTAAACTGTATAAAGACCTGAGTTTAGGAAATACAATATTTGCCAAGGACTTTGTCCCCTTCAGTGTTCAGAAATGCTAAACGACTGTACCTTAATAAAGGCCTCGGGCCTAACAGAGCAGTGTGTGGGGACATTGCCGAGTAGAACTCCATGGCCCGAGTCATGCCAAGGAGTATTCCTAATGTTCTCAGAAAAGCAACGTGACTATCACTCAGCCCTTAGGTAAGTAAAGCTCTAAAAGTTTACCAAAGACATTACTTGCTCTCAGCATTATCCCAGGAACCAGTCAGATCGAGACAGGAGGGGTCTAAGAAATGAGTCTGACAATGAGATGCCGAAGACAGCCTGTGGTAAACACAGCTACAGGCACTGGTTGGTCGTGCTCACCGGTGTGGCTGTGCCATCTCATGATTACTCACATTCAATTCATCTCTCCTTGCAGGCAAATGGGGAGAATTACAATCCTCCCTCCACTCCCCAGCCCTGGCTCTGGCCAGCTTTGGCCAAAAGATTGTGGGCAGAAGTGACATGTGCCGCTTCGAGACCAGAGCACGCTTCCTCCCCCTACTGTACCTATCATGGAAATATGTGCTATGGAGACACAAGATGGAAGAAGCTGGGAAGGCTAAGCCACCACACGCAGGGCAACTGCCCTGGAGAGTTGCCTGAGGCCCCAGTAGACTTTCCAGGAGTGAGAAATACACTTTAGCTACAGCTGTCTATAGTAAGCCAGTAAGCTGAGATTCTGGTGATGCTTGTCACTGCAGCAAAACCAAGCCTAACCTGACTGATACACCATCTATTTCTCTAGTATGATGAATTTCTCTGGGAAACTGCCCTTCCCCAACATTCAGATCATATGGTCTCCTGGAGGTTCCTGACTCCAGGA